TTAACATAGTCGCATATGCCTCTACAGTGTTAGGCCTGTCCATCCGGTATGTCATGGCGTCCTTCAGATATTCCGATAGTCTTTCGGCCAGGGCGTCGATCTTGGCTCCTTCATTGTAGTCTAGGTAGGTCACAATACAGAGGAACTGTGAGTAATAGCTGGCGAAGTCTCCTTTGCCTTACTTCAGGGCGACGAGTTGGCGGCAGGTGGTACCCTGGGGATTTGGGTCTCCGAACGAGGCTTGCAGGTCGGCGACGAAGGTGGTGACGGAGGAGAAGGGGGCAGCAGGGTTAGCGTTAACAAGTGGAACGACCTGATCAAAGGCCTTTCCTTCCAAGTGGCTGTCGGCATAGATAACTTTTGCTGCCTCGTTGCGGAATCGATCGTCGTTGACCTCAAGTTTCATTCGGAGTTGGGTGATGAATCCGGGGAGCTTGGTATGGGTGCCATCAAATTTTTCAGGGTCTGGGATCTTTTCGGACCTGAAGGTGGAGACGGTAGTATGTGGGGGAGCAGCGACAATGGGGATAGGGACGGTGGGGGCGGGGGAGGCACGAGCGACATTGAGGTCAAGGTTTAGCTGGGTTACTTGCTCTTCGAGGTTGTCGATGGTTCCACGGGCGGCAGCGAGTTGAGTACGAGCGGTATCCCTCTCGTGGCGGATACGTTGGATGAGGACGGCGATGTGGTTAAATAAGGCAGCAGCATCGTTCTCATACTGACGCTTGAACTCTGCTATATCATTGGGTGGGACCCATGTAGGTGGATCGAGGGTGGACATGTCGTACGGTACGGATGACAACGCAACGTATTCTCAAGGGGGTGAGTAGCGAGTATTCCGCAGGGTATGAAAGAGTTAGTAGAGGTCGGTGTGGGAGCCTGCGATAGGGGTCCTGAGGAAGTTTAGTATTGGTAAGGGTCAAGGGAACAAGTGAAGCAGCAGCACGGTGGTCTTCTTGAGTAAAGAAGAGGAAGTGATATTATACAGTAATAGACAGCATAGGTACAGAAGACGTTGCGTATCAAAAGAAAGAAGAGAAAGAGAACAGAAGCGAGGGTGAAACCTCCTAATATACGCAAGGAAATCTCAGCGATGACAAATCTAAAGTGACTCATACCCTTACGACCAACAGAACCCGATAGAACTCAATAGAATCTTTCTGACTAATCCAACTCCTCGTAACCCAGTGTATTAACTAATCAATCCATGAAAAGCCATTTCAATTGTCTGGTATATGAGTACATACAGGGCCAGGTTACATGCTGAGAGTTATTATTAGAAGCCAGTTGCATAGTGACATTCAAGTACCGGCAGTTTGGTTAGCTACCAGCTGTTATAGTGACTACATTCTGAGAGCTAGAAAGAGGATCTATTCATGGGAGCAATGGCTGATGAGTCTATGTCTCGCCAATAATCAGAAGACCGGCCAGAGTGAAGCTCTGATTGCCCGGTGACCCCCTGTATTCTCTGAGCATTGCAGGCCCACCGGTAGTGGCAGGGACTATGCCAGGGAAGTCTACAATAAGCAGAAGCTCTGCAGCAATGATTAAGCTCATACCTGAGCGGCAGCTCATTCATGCAGGCTCCGGTTTTGTGGGAACCATGGCTGCAAGTGTTACAAGGGCTTTGGCTAAGGGTGGTTGCCTTTGGTACCGGAAACGCCCGCTAGTACTTAGAGAAAAGCGGGGTAGCGGTGGTATTGTTTTCCCTACCGATAGAAGGTATCACCGGAACTTAATTAGGATTTAGGAGCAGAGAATAGAAGCCTTTGGAGTATAAGTACTCAGGCTCATTCCTGCCCTATATTCCGGTTCTCTCAAGTCTTCATCAGAAAAGAAAATCAAGTTCTTATCGGTAGTAGAGCCCTCAAAGATTATTGAGTTCTAGTGATAGAATCTTTGAATAATCTGCAACCAGATTGTCTATCTTGCACAGCCGTCTCAATTCTATTTTATTCTATTTCTCTTAGAAGAGACCCCTGTTACACATACAAACTTCGAAAATTTACATTGGATACAATAAGTTTTCAAAAACACTTAGCAGCACCACCAACGTTTGTAGGAATTTGAATGAGAATGAAAGTACTCTAATGCTGCGATGGCGAAGTCTTATATCAATATTTGTATTTTTTATTTATTATTGTTAATAACTTATTTTAACTAGAGATTTCGACATATCTCCTCCTTCGAAACACTGTTTGCAGTTTAACCAAATGATTTGGGTTCAAACAAGTACTTGTTTTCTTACCATAAGGCTGTATTCTCTACTGTTGAGAATACTTAGTGTTTTACCTAGTCAGTAAACTTGAGTAGGTTTACTGAGTAGGCGATTCCCTCATACAAGTCGCGCCGTGAAATTCCCGTAATCTGAAAGTAAAGTTAGTCATAGTATTTAATTTTTGGTCAGGTTGCCTTGTCTCGACTTCTATATTCCATGAACCAAATTGAAAAAATTAGCATTTTTTAAAAATGCTCACATTGGTTATGATATATCCTACAAGTACTCTATAAAATATTCTAAAAAAAAATCACTTTTGTTGTCAAAATCCACTATATATTGTAATAGAATAAGAAATAATTACTCCATAGCTATATCGTGGTTACAATTTGAAAGAATGTCTACCCCGTTACGGTCCATGGGATAATGCCCCCGCATCCAACGTACGCATATATCCCTCTGTCGACCATTGAAGAATTGCATTGCTGTTGTCGACTATCACTCGGCTATGAATAAGGCCAGATTACTAGCCGTCGAGTGGTTGCGCGGCTAGTGATCTTGCAGACTCGAGTATGAGCCCGCTCGATCGCACCTTTGTTACGCTACAGCAGAATCATCTCTGGCATCCAAACATGTACAAGGAAACAGCGTGACTTCTATAGCTACATGTACCCGTCATAGCCGGACCCCAGCATTACGCTCGTACCGCTAGAGCAGGGCGAAGCGGGTAAGTCGAGCCTCTTCCTCACTCACCTCTGGATTCTGTTCTCGGGATACAGGCTGACGCACACAGTTCTAACCATATATCCGTCCTGTCAATCTCAGTTGCTATATCGCCCAGGACCCAATCCTCATGCTGCGACTCAACGTCCACTTTGCCGCTGGTTTCACCAGCAGACCTTTCACAGTCTAGATGCAACATATACCCGACTGCGAGGCAGCGCATCCTATGCCCCACAGGCTGCTACCCGAAATATTCGTTCTCACATGCTATCACTCGGGGTGCGAGTGATAGTTCATGACCAAGTGTTCCGCACCTTGTTCGGACGGTGGAATCATTGCGTGGTTAAGATCATGCTCATTTGGAAATGAGCTCTCTATATCCACACGCCGACAGCAAGTGGGTTATGGTACAGACCAGAGTTCGAATACCGCATGCCCCCCTTATCCGCCCGCACAGTGGGTAAGAGTTGACGCAGCGAGCATGCATAATAGGGGAGAAAATCAGTTTCTTGGTCTTTAATGATGGGTGAGTTATGTGCGGAGGGTATGAACGCGCCAGTAGTCACGCCATTGGTGTTAGGAAAGGAAGTCGGTTCATAGCCTATCACTCGCTTTATGCCAAGACTCGAACTTACTAGCCATAGCTCATGTTCGCACCCGTCGTTTTGAGGCGGCCGGATAGTTGCTTTGGGTGATAAATTGACACATGGATCGTCCTACTATGATCATGATAAGAGGACAGTGGAGGGGGAAAGCATTGGGAGTGTAACCAGACGAAATTGCCACCGAAAACTCCAAATCTAGCTTAAACGTGATAGGTAGCTATCGGACTAGAAAGAATCAATTTTCAAAGATGGAGTATTTTACTAATGTTGAAGGGTAAATAAACATACTACCAACCCTAAAAACCGAATTAAGTAAAACTACTGATTCTTCATTAACGTAATTAAGGTACCCGGACATGACCGATGGGAGGAGTTTGGGGGGCAGCAAGGACGTATACCCGAATAAAACTAACGTCCTATTACGTATAACCATAATCGACCCCAAAATCGCATCAAACACCATGTTACCACATGTTCCACAAAGAATACACACATATATACATTGCCAAGAACCCCCATCCCCACTTCCCAGGTACAAAACCCCTTTACACCCAACCCCCAAGCAGTACAAACCTGCATCCAACAAAACCACCGCCGTCAGAAAACCCTACCCACACGCCAGATATACACACTTTGCCCCGCATGCCTAGAGATTAATAACTAACAGCATACCTGTGCGGATCGGCTCATGACAATACCGCCGGAAAACATAAATTGCGGATTCCAGCGGAGCAGCGCGCGGATAATACTATTATTTGTGGATGGTACGTACCATGCGTACGGGGGAGGCCCTCTTAACAGTACATACACCAGTCCACTGCCCAACGCAGGCATGACTTTTATCAAGTATGCGTGTTAAATGTGTGCATGTGGTTGACCGCCCTTTATACCTGTCCAACAGCCTATGTTCAACTCAATGTAATAATATAGCAAGAATCATGTGCTGCAAGTTGATTGGTAGTATGACTTGGGTCGGGGGCTTAGATGAGGCCTGAATATGAACCCCGCTTCACGCGTGGCAAAATATATACATAATTACGGACGTTATAACACTAGCGGATCTCTTATTTGGTACCTTAAGTAAACCCATGTTAGCTAAGTTGGATGAGACGAAGGATATACTGACCTATAAATATTTACATTAAATCGGCATAGAGAAGGACGTATAGAGTATAAAAAAGAAAGACGGGCATTATGCCGGAGACAATACAATAAAACATGAAATATTCTGCACGCTATAAAACTGTTCACTATACTAGAGACTTGATCTCCTCGCCCCTGAGTTTGGTCACTCCTCCAAATCCAAATCTTCTACAGAAGTAGTTGCTTTTAAGGTTCCCAGAGAACTACGATATAATCCTAGTACCCACCCACAGTAGCCTTCCATAACAAGAAGTACTGATATAAAATATACAAAAACCTGGCTTGAACTAGCTTGAGGGTTGTCATGTTTGTCACAAGAGCATCGCGTCATCATCAACCTTGGCAGGAAGAGGTTCAAAAACGGGGCTGTCAATCTCAATCATAGAAGCTAGCTCCGTTGCACTGACGTCGTCGAGATTCCGCTCCTGTGGGTCGGCATCGTGAGTAAGGAGAAGTTGAACAATGGCCTCGCGCTCATAAATCACGGCTAAATGAAGTGTGGTCTGACGCATGGAATTCTTCGCCTGCGGGTTGGCATTGTGAGTAAGGAGGAATTGAGCAATGGCCGCGTGGTTATCAAGAACCGCTAAATGGAGTGCGGTCTGACCATCGGAACCCTGCGCATCTGGGTGGGCGTTGTGAGTAAGGAGAAGGCGAACAATGGCCTCGTCCTGACATCGAACCGCTAAATGGAGTGCGTTTCGACCCGACGCATCCAAAGCCTTTAGGTTCACGTTGTTGCCAAGGAGTAGTTGAACGATACTCTTCTGCCCATCCATAACTGCTAAATGGAGTGCATTAAAACCTTCACGATTCAGCTCTTCTATGTCCGCCTTGTTGATGAGAAGAACCCGAAGACTATCCTGAAGCCTATTTATGACTGCTAGATGGACTGCGTTTTGGCCCGTTTTATCACGAGCATCAGTTTTTGCATTGTTTGTAAGGAGAGTTTGAATAATGGCCTCGTGTTCCCCTAGAACGGCATGGTGTAAGGCAGTCCTGCCCTCAATATCTTGAGCTTCTAAGTAAGCTCCGGAGTCGATGACAAGATTGGTAGCTTCATCGTGTCCCCCTCTTACGGCCACGTGTAGGAGGGTCTCCTGTCTATTATTTTGGACATTAGTTGTGGCGGAAATAGCCAGTAGATTGCGGATTGCAGTAGGGTACCCCTTTTCTGCAGCATAAAGGATTAATCTATCTGTGTGATTTTTGACATCAACACCAGACTTAATATTGTTGAGTAATAATAGTTGATTCAAAAGCATAGTTATGAGAGATCGAGAGCGAAGTGAAATCTCGGTTTTCTCAAGGAGAATGGATAGTCTGCTTGTTATATCTGGTGCCAAAGCATCCAAATTCGCTTCCAGGTACTCCAACGAAAACTTGATGAATGGCCTTTTCTCTAGGTATTCGATATGCCTGCACATCTGGGCGGCTGATATACCACTCGGCCTCGGGATTGTAAATCCGCTCACTTCTTTATACACAATTTCGAGGAAGCGGATGCAAGTTAATTGTATCATTTCTGAAGCATTATGCTCAGTGACGTTTAGGTGAGACTTTTGCACGAGGTTACTAGGGTGGAGGAAGAATTCGCGGACTGTCTGGTGCATCACTTGAACAGCCGGAAAGACCTTCGTACCTAAACGAGTTAATAAGCGTGAGGATTCTGAAACGAGGCTACAGTCCTTCTCTAGTCTTTGATGAACTCAGTCCGATGTTGAGTGATCAGTCAGAGATACAGGAGCCATTCATTAAAAGCCGGATGGCGGACATAAACAGCTTCCCATTTTCTAACAAGGAACATTCACCATGGAACAAACTTCTCCAAGGATCTAAATATGACTCTAGCTGCGGTAGAGAATGGGGTTGTACGTACTTGCTTTAACGTCCACAAAGTCTCCAACGCAATGTGTCAACATCTTGCGAATATCTCCTGGTATCTCAGATGTCCATAACTTGTAATTTGGTTCCTTGTCTTCTGCTAGACCCGGAATCCCAAGAGCGTGCTTTAGATCGACGAGCGCCATTGCGCGCCCAGAGAACAAACAAAACTGAAGAATCCGATTGCCATCCATCCTAGCCTGTCCCTTGTTACAAGCTAGTCGTTGAAGCATACACTCATAGAGGCTCTCAAGGCTTTTGGGAAGGGACTTCAAAAATGAGATTAATGTGCTCCTCCGCGAGCCATTCATGGCCTCCTCTGCTAGCTCTTTTAACACAAGGTAAACCCATATAAAAACCCTGTCGGAAAACGTTAAAATGTACTTCTCTATCTCCTCTTTCACCTCAGGATTGACAGAGTTGAAATCTTCATTTTGCAAAAGGGTATGTGTGTATCTTTCGATATCCCCCCGATTCATCTCTTGCAGCGAGATCACTCGTCTTCCAGGCCAGTTGCTGAATTGTAATTCGTTGATGGGTCGACTGGCGAGGAAGATATTTACCACGCATCCACCGTTATCGAACGCCGGAGCCGATAAATCATGTAAAAATTGGATAATCTCGGCACGACCCGTGCAGGCAGACTCGTCCATAGCGTCGATAATTAAATATATCGTATGAGGTCGCAAATGCATTTTGCAGGCGCGTAAGATACTTTTCATGTCTTCAGAATTCCATTCGATCCTACTTCCCCCACCCCCGACGATAGACGGACTGAAAGTGAATGAAGAACGACTCGTCTGCCCCCAGTAATTGGTATAGCAATGTTCTCAACATGTTTCGATGGTCCCGTTCGGATTCACCATCCCGCGTGTTGTAGAAGAACTTCAGAACGATGGATTCACTCGGGGGAGTGAAATGATCCGCAAAGTATCGCACCAACGTACTTTTCCCACTACCGGGCTTGCCTTCAATAAAAAGAAGTCCCGAATCGGGGGGCCTTGAGGAAATCCAGGATTTGTATTCAGGAGAATCCCACAGCCATGCAAGCGTATGACTGTGGTGTACTGCGATTTTATCGTATCTGAGGTTTTTGAAATGGAGTGTCTCCAGGCACGCTAGAAAAGTGTTAGCCCTTTATAATTTAGGGCCGACAGAAATATACCAGAATCAAGGATATACTGGTTACACATACCTTGTCTTTCCTGATCATAGGTAACACAAACTTCCGAAGGTGGTAGAAGCTGAATGCCAACTCTATCTGGTAGTTTGGTAATAAGCAATCTGATGACAGAGAATTTCCATCGCAGGCGTTTGATCACTGCACGAAGTTTGTCGATTATGTCTTCCCACCCACTTTCGTCCTGCCTAAGGTCAATTATTATCTTTAGACTTGGTTTTACATTCTTCTGGTTTGGCCCTGGGCGGGGATAAAGATCTGCGGCCTTTATAAGTACCTCCTCAAGAGCAGTCCAAAGAGAATCAGACATTGAACATTTGATGAACGTATCAAACGCACTCATGGGCTCCTTTTGAATCTTGATCAACTCGTCATCACGTAAAGACTCCAAGAGAATATGCAGAAACACCTGTAAAAGGAATCGCTCCTGTCCCGGCGGAGATGTTTTAATGGCCTGGTAGAAGAATGTCCACACAACCAGTGAGACCATAGGCTTACAACCTCCCCAGATCTGTTCGAGCGTCCCTTGTTTTAACCCACTGAGGGAGAAATGTAGCAGCAAGCCAGTCCTTGCTGTGCTTTGTAGAATTCGGATAAGATGGGGCACAGCGTGTGGTAAACATGGGAAGGATCTGTAGACTAAAGTGTTTACCTCACTAGTTTCCGAGACCCAGTTCTGGTAATCTAGGTTGTGAAGCAAAAAAAAAAGAAATCCGCAGAACTCTCCTCAAAGTCAGAGGGCTCATCATCCCGTATAAGGGGGTCCATCATTGGATCAAGATAAAGGCTAATTTGCCCTGGTAACACTTTCTGCTCAAGCCTCTCGATGACTTTCGCTCGGTGGTATAGCGCTGTCTTGGCGTTAGCATTGTTTCCTTATCCCTATTTCGGCTACTAAGCGCTGATTAGCCCCACCTTCAGAAGATATCATACAGGTTACAACATCTTGAAAAGCTTTGTCATCGGGTGATTTAAATTTTACCATGTCTGTGTGATTTGACGGGACAGGAAATCGTTTCTCGTTGGGCAGGAAAAGCTGAGCTGATGATCTCTGCACCATTTGGAATAGATCGCCTGATCTATCCCACACTCCTGGTGCCGCCTATCGAGTTTGACTTTAGCCTGGGAAGAATGGAAGGATACATTGCAGGGATGAGAACTCCTAGTACAAACCTCCTTTATAAGTTTTGTCTTCTCAGTTTCGTAAAACGTGAAGAGATCTCCATTGAATAGGTTCCACATACTACATAAACTGTCTTTCTGGCTCTCCAAAAATTCGCAGCCTTCTTCCAGCTGTGATAGTAGGGTCTGTGTCTTCTTATCCCATATTCTTCTATTTGCCATCTCGCTGAGCTCTTTGGTTCTCATACCGCCATGGGGAGTACCGAAAAAAAAAACTCCACGAACACAATTGAGGATGGGCTCGGATTCCTGACGCTGGGCCCATGTAAGTAGTAACTATGAAGAACCTGGTCAATGTCAGGTATGCAGGGACATGACGCTTCTCCTACCTGGTTTACCAAAAGACCCCCTAGGCTATGTGCAATAAAGATGATCGGTCTTTGCTAGACGATATATGACAAGTGTTAGAAACTTTGACACATCAGAAAAACACCATTACCGCTTGCATCGCATCCCAAGAGAGGTCATACCGGACAATCTCGCCTAGCATTCATTATACTCTGCTCGAAACCTCGCGCATAATCAAGCAAATTATAGCCAGTGGGCTTGGAAAGACTGCTGTCATAACCATATGTCATGATGCGTGTTTGGGGGAATCTTTCAGGTAGAAAGTCACGTAGCCACATTGGGCGATCAAGCGGGCGTCCGATTATACGGACCCTACTCCTCCACGAACCAAAAGCGTGGCCGCTGAGACCAGTTATCGCGATCAAGCTGAGTAGCATAGGGCGGTCAGCATTCGGAAAACATTCATTGTGCACCTTGGGAGTCTATGATTGTACTCACTCCGCACAGATCGGTCCTTCGGGGACGTTTATTGGTGTTAGATCATGGAAGTGCTTATCGAATCTGAGTGAGGCGCCTTTCCCCATGTCGATTGCCCGGAACGAGTGATATATTTCTTTGTCGAGACCAGGGAGTATATATCCCTCCAGGCGGCGGTAGACGGTTAGTAATGCCGTCCGTAAGGATTCGTGGCAGGCTGGAAATAATGCGGAAAGCTGCGAACTCTGGGGATCGAGTTTTGGATAGATACTCCGTAATGCTTCCTCGAGGTCCCCCCTGTTCCAGCCAGAAGGTATCCCACATATTCGGAAGCATATTGGTTCATCAAGTGAGAGATTGCCGACCGACAGGTTTACCTCTCCAGGATCGCCTTCCGAAGTTGACGTAGGTGTGGTCCAGGCGCTGCCCAACGAGGACGTGGTGATCGCTGACGGCGAAGAAGTCATGAGAGAGCTGATGTTGCGGTGGGAATGACAATAACTAGTCAAATATCGCGTGAAGCGTAAGAAGAGCAAGTATAGTAGACCCTGTTCACCCGTATCTAGAGACCAGAGTACGTATATCCGCCCTGCAGTTTATGATTGGTAGATATCAGATTCGCGTCACGTGAGGCCCCGACCCTGCATGTCAAGTTTACAATTAAATGATCATGTGATTTTCAACCAGCTGGCCAGGTGGTGGTTCAACGATGTATTCTATCGCCATGTTTGCCAAAATTCCGCTTATCTTAATTCCTCCTCACCACGATCCGCATATACCATCTCTTCGACTCGTGGCCCTAGGAATTGAGACAGCTCGACTCTTCAACCACACTAGCACTACCATCTGGCGCACACAGCCCCAACCAGCAAAACCAACCTCCACTTCTCCGACCCACCCCCGGCGGTTCTCTCTCGCTACGGACCAGCCACATGGTGGTCTAATTTAGGCGTTAGAGATTGCGTAAGATAATAAGACCAATTTCCCACGAGCTCGAAGCTTTTCCAGAAGCTCCAAGCTTCGGACTTGGCTTTTATATCCGCTAGCATTCTGCTTGGAAACATATGATGGTGGATGCTTATCTATACTCGCGGCAGGTAACAAGTACATACCCGAAAATGTACGTCCTAATCTGCAATTTCCATTGGAGTAGAAGTCAAAAATACACCAAACGCTTGCAGCTGCATATTCGGGTACTTCATGCCTGTCGCGAGTATGGATTCCGAGGAAGAAGTCAAGTTGGCTCAACTCAAGCTCTATCGATGACTCCACGTGCAATAGCTTGAGCTATTTGTATGTTTCTATTATTAGATCTTCGCGATCAGTGGGGCAGCTTTTGGGCAGACCTTCCTCTCGTTTATTTTAAATTTTCTTCCGGTCTTGGGCACAGTGGGGATGGCCCCGACCAGATTTTCTTATTATTCCTAATTTTAATATTTGCAACAGCACATATAATCAAGCAGAAATAGGACTTATTTTTTCACAGATAAATTCATCATTTAGCTCAGGTTAGCTTGAGAGCTTGAGATTTTTCCCACGCGCACGAGCCCAGCCTTCTAGGAGACAAATTGGCTCGAGCTATGGCCAGGGCTCGACCTGAGCCGACTCGTCGGCCACACCAGACCGTCGCCGTCACCGTCACCATGATGGTGGTGGTAGTGTAGGATGTCTGACCTACTTTGACTTGGGCGTGGATGGCATTTGTAGTGAAGTGGCAGGTAAATAGTACCACTTCCGTAAAACCTTTACCCTTCCTCACAGAAAAAATCCGATGAGCTCCCCACAACATGCCCCGTCCAAAAGGTTATAACCACCCGTCAGCGTACACCACTCCATATGACTCCACCGGTAGTGCTCTTAAGTTTAAGTGAATAGACATGCAGACCACTGAGCCGGGAGCTATTAGCCCATACTGCCATACCAGCCGAAATAACTCATACCCTATACCAGACCATCACCCCATACCATCCGTAACAACACAAGTCCCCACAAATTCTCATAAACATCCCTACAACACCCACACCCTCCCCTCCACAGCTCTACACAGTGAGAGATATGTACGCCCCCACAGTACTAGTTCTCGAAATTCACACTCATACCCACCCGGCACAGATATCCAAAACTGGAAGGCCAGTAAACGTCGGAAAGACGGTGCGCCATCATGTGAGAGATAGGTAAAGATCCAAGACTACCTCAAGTCTTCTCACGTCTATAATCCGTAGCTTGGAGTCTGCTGCGGCGTTGATATGAGCAAACAGACCCACAGGCTACAACCTACCACTTTCACCGCTCTCTCGATCGATGTGGACACGCCTTCACTCCCCATGCTACTACGAGACCTATGCCGTCGCTTTTCCGGCAGCTCTGGAGTGAAATCAGCGGGCACCCGCCAACCCGATGAAGCATACAATTAATGAAGTAATCAATCAATCAATCAAACCCGATGAAGCGGGAGTCTTGAGGTCGGTGTAGTGCGAGTGACAGGTTGTGGCCATAAATGTCTATCGCTCTTTGTTGTGAATTGTACCGTGTGTATTATTGATGCTCATCCGGATAGGTAGCAAAGCTAGAACCCTTCTTTCGGTGGATATCTTGACACTACCACAGTACCGTAAGTTTGACCTTCCATGTAGTGTTCCAGACGGACGGGTGTGAGATTCTCTCTAAATCCGCAATATCGAAACCTGCATATACTTATATCGAGATATCCGACTCCTTTACCACGCAGGAGTTCAGCTGGATGACCACACGTATAACCGCTCCAACGTGACAGCGACCATTAGGAGTGTTGGTAGCAGACATATTCGGCCCGTGGGTTCAAAGACGTTGACCTCCCTCCAGACATATTCCGCACAGATGCAGACGATCATATATGGCGTGGCTCCGATGCGGAAGTATCATGGCTGTGCAGAGCCGTAGGCGTGGGCGTGGGTCTTGGTCTAGGTTTAGGTGACGTGACTCGATGTAGTCCAGATTGATCGCGGGGTGCCCGTGCAAGTGCAATCGTGCAGCGTCTCACTTCCAGCGCCGTAGTACTGGGTCATCCGTGCTACATGTACACTCCCGCACTCCCGCACTCCCGCACTCCCGCACTCCCGCACACGCTATCCTGCGGACAGTCTCGAAACAACAGCCGCACCACCCGGGCATCAGAACCCGCCGCGAAGGTAGATATATGGGTCACTTGTGTTCAGCAGAATTCAAACAATATGAGCCCACCGAACAGGACCACCGCTAGTGCCAAAACAGCTGATATATAAAATGCGCACAAGGCCCGGTATCTATTCCGCGACCGCGTGTTGCCGAGCCGCTATGTTCTGGCCGCATTTGATTCGCCATTACATCTCGCTGCTGACGCTCACGCCGGAAGAAGAAGGGTTTATATCGCGATGTCTGTAAGGCTGGCGTAGATGGAGACACCGCTATGTCTAGTGCAATTGCGCAGGCGAAGAAACCGAGCCTCTTGATGGAGAACACATATTTTTCCCTACAGACAGACAGACAGACAGACAGACAGACAGACAGACAGGGAGCACGAGATTCACCTTCTGCCAGAAAACACAGGTGTACGTAGTAAAGGAGACAAAAGGACGGTTAAACCAACACGGATATATCAGCGTCCATGTAAACCGGAGAAACTGCCTCACATCTCCACCCACAACCTCTCTTAGTACCATGACATCTATTTCGCTGCCATTGGTACATACCGTGGGATAGGTACATACATACATACATACATACATACATACATGGTGTAGATATATCCCTTTATGATTTACCGCACCGGTATAGAAGGGCGACAGACATGAACAGCATCCTTCTGCCAACTACTCCTATCCATCTATGGCGAGCTTGCTATCAAGAATATAACGACCAGCCAAGACGCGCCCTGTCTGCTTACGGTTCTCGGGAGACAACCAACGTCGCCATGCTCGGCTCGCCTTTCTGTGTCTGCTTGGTTGTGTACAGGGTTATGTAAGTGTGGTAGGGTCACAGCTGTTTGCTCCCACGATAAAAACAACGATTCCTCCCATCCGACATTCCCAGCTGTGCCCAAGTGCGACACCGACACCAACACCGACACCGACACCGCCAATCTCAGAGCGTGTGCGTGCCCGTATGCATATGCACCACTGGCTGAGGGAGCAAGGTGGTGGTGGTGGTGGGTGGTCCGAGCACGGGCGGTATCGCTAATCTGGTATGTAGCTAGCTGGTGGGTTACGTTCCGAGAGGATATAAACCCCCCCACCCCCCCCCCCCCCCCCCCAAATCCACCGCCTGCCTCTCACCCAGTACCATACTTGAATAGCACTCCCACCAAACACCCTCCCCACCCCACATGCACGCTAAATGGAGAACCACCTCAGACCCGGCGTTGCCATCCTCACAAACTCCGCCAACGGCACCCCACTCGCGCTCTCCCACAATGTGCTCATAAACGTCGCCGACGACGGGAACGTTGTGCTGAAGCCGCGGGATCAGAGTGATGAGCAGCTGCTGTGGACGCTGGAAGATGGAAAGGATGTGTCCAGGTAAGTGTTGATTATTGTGGTGTGCTTCTTCGGAACCTGTACTGATTTGGCGTGCGCAGTGGTGTGGTGGAGGGACGCCTGCAGAGTGTGGCGAGGAGGGACCTGTATATGGCTGTGGCGGGGCATGTGCCCATGCCGCCGATTATGTTTAATGTCTCGGCGATCGCGAAGGATGGCAATGCGGAGAGGTTCAAGTGGAGGGTAGAGTACAAGTAGGGGGACGTTATATATAGATGTATCGTTTAAATACACTGTCTTATATCTTCAGAACTGTGTCTACACCGTGATGTGTATATATATGTAGATGTTTCAATGAAGGGCTTCGATGGCTGTACTGGCCTAGTCGGTGATGAATGCCGCGTTGGATAGGGCACTTTTCAATGTGATCTACAATAATACATCGACACTCGACACAGCGCAGTGCACACAGTCCGCGAGGGCGAACACACCCAACACAAGCCCTCCACCCCGCAAGTTTCTCAAAGCATACCCCATCGCACCACCAGTCTATATCCAGTGAACGCTTCCTCCAACTTATTCCCCAATACCACTTCCCCCCCGGGGGGGCCCCATCTAACACCCATATCTCCAGCATCCAACAAAACCGCACCACCCACCATACTGCCCCCGTAACGAACACACATAAAGCTAATATACCAACCAACCCGTCGAGGAACGTACGCCATACCTCCCACAACCTCACGCAGCCTCACGCAGCATCCAACAACATTAAACAGCCCCGATCTCTAAACAGCCTCTAGCTCCGATGACTGATATATACTAACTCCCTAACCCTATAGACTGGTGAAGTAACAGTGTGTATCTGGCTACGGGTCCGGATATAGGGAGGGATAGTAGTATGCGGGTGGTTGGCTTATAGCGAGTATTAGTACAGAGATAAGGGGGCGGTATGGTGGTATGAGGGCACGGTGGCGCGGTGTTGGTGCCGGGATGGCGCGGTGGTGGAGTTGGATTTACGGCTGCTATAATAGATTCTCTTCATATATCCCTCCCCTATACCCATTCCCGAACCACTTGATATTCCGTCTTCTACAGTATCTTGCCACAGTCGTCGCTCTTACAAAGACGACTCTAGAGTCTATCCGATATACCACACCGCTGACTTGGAACAATACGCTGTCCCTTTGGGAGTGTCATGATAGCGAGTGATGAGCCATGAACGAGTGACACAATATGAGCGAGTGATGGGAGATGATCGAGTGATGGGAGATGATAAAAGGTAGGTGGGTGGGTGTAGTGTTGTGACTTGGTGGTATGTGGTATCGAGAGGTGTGTTGGGGGTGTTGTTAGTTATGAAGAGGAGGTGTAGGTAGTGATTGGTGTGTCGTGTGGTGTCGTGCTGCATTTAATAACACTGCTTTCCACACGATACGAAAGTGAGGATAGAGCGTAAAATTAGATCTATTAAAAGTTCAGTATATCCTGTAGACACAAAGACCATGTAGTAGACGTATTTGTATTTTTCAAAGTCATCTTTGGTGACTTTTTTGTGTTGTGACTCACTCTATCTATACGGAATGTGTGAATTGTGCTCGACGACCCTAATAGCTCCTCGGGTTAACCGGGTAAGAGCTCCGAGGGTCCATGAATGCGCTATAAGGTGAGTTATTTCAGTTTAATAGTCAACGATGACGTTGGAGATCTCACGACCGTTCGGCAACTGAGACCTCCGGCCTTACTTCAGATACATTCGCTGAGCGTTTATGATTATATATTTATGTTCTTGACGATTACTGTTGACAAGAGGTGAGGCCTGACCTATTCTCCCCTTGCTATAGTGACATCTGTCCTAGATGCCAAGATATACCCTCAACTCCATCAGCTACATGTCAGCTCAGCCTAGATCATCAGTCTCCTCGCCCACAATGGTAATCGGTACATACATACCGCCAATAATGAACCGGGCCCGACTGAGACTGCACGAGCGTGAACACTGCTTCTTAGTGGCTCGAATGGAGAATGGACAGTGTACCTAATTCACAACGGCCAAAAGGGTAGGAGCTACATAGTACAGGAAGTGTACTAGACCGGCCTTGTTTGTTATCGCTGAGGTTTTGCGGTACTTTACTGACATCTTATACCACAATCGAATTGCCTTCATTCTAGCTTTTGACTATTGCGAGGCCGCCAAGCCCTTTTCGGTATCCAAACAGACTAGTTTTTCGAGCTCGGTGTATTCAGTCATAAAACATTTGAAAGGATATACCCTTTGGAAAGATCCGGGGCAGTTAGGCGGTGATCTTGAGGAATACAGAAGGCGTGTCCTTAACCTGGTCTAGCCCGGGAGCCAGGTTTAGGATTATCAGCCTGGATGCGGATTTGACCAAGCAAGTTTTTCCACAAACAAAAGGGTAGGTTTATTCCAGAAAGTCCTCGTACTAGAGGGGGGAAGATCAACACATGAGAGGTGTGCGAGGAGGTACATAATTCCACGTTCGACCTGCAGCTGTGCCCTCTATCTCGATAATTCTATTTTCTGCCATTGCAATTGATGTTGAAGCTAGCCGCAAAACCGGATATAAAGGTTAGTTTCCGCCAAATCTAATACATTTCTTTGATGTTCGGTATGGGGTGTTGATAGTGTCTCATGGTTTCTCGTACACAAAAAGATGATGTTTTCTGATGAGTTGTCGCGTCGAACGGTTGGCTCTAAGTGGAGGGAAGGTGGGATGTGAGCCTTGGCACAGGGTTAGGGGCACAGGGTTAGGTTATGATAGCCTGCGACAACTTATCACAGCCCCCTAAGGCAGGCGGGAACATAGGGCAACATGTATGGTTTGGGTTGGGCAACTCGGGGGGTGCGCGTAATTGTAACTAAAAAAATAAGACATGTACCTCAAGAACAAGCAGGGTCTTTTGTTTCTATTCTAGCTGCGAGTCGTCTTGGCGCCCTACTTACAGCACTGTATCAGGCATGATGCCTGACATTGTACGTATCATCATCAATTATAATCATAAATCTAGATCTTAAGATCGAAGTGATTAGTATTTTTGTCAGTATATGTACTTATCTCGCCACCAGGTGAGACAAGAACCAACAGTTTCACAGCTTGGTGAGATAGGCCTTTTGCTATTAATATTAAGATATGGCGATTTTTGGTCTAGATTTATATTGGTATTCTCAAGCAAGATGTTAAAAAAAAAAAAAAAAAAAACATATACAGCCAGACGGCTACAAGTATTCTTGGCTGCTTTTCTGCACTAGAGATTACACTTCTGGAGAGGTCCACCAGAATTACAGCCCAAGAAGATTACTTTGTACGTACGCGTAGCTCAGACTATACCAGCACATTTCAATGCATTGCCCTCAGGCTCTGAAGAGCCGGAAGCAAAGATACTGATTAATTAACTGGCTGTTGTGTTCACTCTGAAAGCACCAACTGGTAACCCCCCTGACACGCTTGCCCGGATTGTCACCACGAAAAGGACGCACCCGTTTGGAGACGAAGTTGCTGCGTATAATAGAGGAATGAGATTATAGACGACGTCCCTGTGGCCTGACGTCTCCTGTCGCGTCGATATATAGACTGTCACGAGTTTTTACCACTTTTAAGATCTTTGTTAAAGTGTCAGGAAGTCAGGGGAAGTCCTTGTAAAGTTGTCGGGAAGTCGTAGGAGGATATGGTAGCACTAGGGAATGTTTTCCAGAGAAGCTGACGACGAAGACTATCGGGAGAGCCGCCGGGAAGGTCATCGGGAAGAGTGTCGCGATAATAGAAGTTGGAGGAGTGTCCCTTGTATACTAAACGTGGCGATTGCTAATGCAGTATACTTTCCAAGTGTTTTGGGCTGGACTAGACTGCTGCTTGCGAAATTAAACATGCCGGACAAAAGATCTACGAGAAGGGTTTTCCAACTGCCGATGTAGATCCTCTCTAGATATTAATTAACCTCGAGTTCACCATGATTTGAGACCAGGACCTCAAGCTAAAAGACGATTATTTGGCCAGACTTCAATTGAGGTTGGGGTTTAAACATACCAAATTGGAAATGTATACATCCTTCAATTGTCTCTTTCCTGGTGCTGATCTAGCTCCCCTTACATCTACATGTACTCGGGTACGAGGGTTAGAACCAGAACATGCAATGAGGTTATTTGTATGGCAGAGCGGCGCCACTCCATACAAATAATCCTTGTCTCTTCACTTGCATGTTCTGGTTCTTGCTACACCCGAGTATCGAGGTACATGAATTTACTCTAGAGGCGTCCAATTATCTTGCATGCCTGTTCCAAGTTGTCTTCTGTTCATGTTCCCGGGGATGCTAGCTAGTCGATCGTTGGTAACCTTTAATTTATGTAGAATATGGGACTTTCAGGGTCCGAGAGAGTAGAGTAGAGTACATGTACTAGGTCGTGCGTTATACACTAGCGCATCTAGGTGCTCTAGAGTACCCTGCGCAGCTGCATCACTACCATGCTCGGAGGAATCCAGTCAGCGCAACCAACCTTATACTTCTTTTTTTACATCATGTATACGTAGGTATACGTACTCTTGATCAGCAGCTTCCACATTTACGATCTAAGTTCACCTTCCCTACTCTTATACGTCATGTACTTTACCTCTATGATGGACTCCATTATCAACTCTAGCCGCCCCGTACAGAGAGGAGTTTTAGCATGAGCGATCGAAGCTGATGAAATGGACTAGTAGCATAACAATTTTCTGTCTAGACTACATGTATTCAAAGATATAAACGCGTACTTTGCATTCCAATACCCACATGAGAGACAAGCGAGCATTTGCTAATATTCGAATCAGGATATATTGCCGGGTGCATGTAGTATCCATGGCTCAGGATCAATGTCCTCCATTGACCCTGCTACAGCTAATCATGCCGATCGTTTCCGTGCCACTTCGCAAAACAAGCACTACCATATGCCCTGCGCCCTTGAATATACATCAACCTCAGTGCATTGAGAGAATTCCAATTCTAATCACAATATCTACAAGTGTTGGCTGTCGCTGCACTCGATATCCGTGTAGCGGTAACGATATTGATATCACCATTGCATGGGCGATTGGACCCCGGTGTCGGTTAAGTCTTCGTTTTCTGCATGCTTTCCATTCCTTATATATCAAGATCTTTACTGGGGAAACTAATAGTGATCAGAGGCCCCCTCAATGCCCGTCGGAGATACCTGACTATCAGGAACGTTCCTTGATATTAAGTTCCCTGATTTTTAACAATCGCTTGACATCATGCACGAAATCCTTAGAACCTGAACCATGCGACTATCAGCTCGTCGGGATCCCGTGTCTAGCATCTGATCTGGTGACTTCTGCCCATAGCTACATGCAGTTGGTCCACGGGCCGGGTGTCTAGTCAATGGGAGAAGAACTAGCTACATACTCTAGAGTACTTGGAGTATGGTGCATGTGCCTCAATTGCAATGGCCAACTTCCTCATGCCGTCGGTTGATCATACACAGCTGAAAATGATTTTCACGGGTCTGTAGATGGAGGCCAGATGCCATGCATGCAGCTACGATTATTCCTCTGAATCGTAGCCTCAGCCAAGTTTAATCCTGTATAGGTGCGCCGTGCACGGACGCCGCGCATGAATGGAATCAATGATCATGCCGGAGGCTCCTAAGAGAACTCGGAAATGGTAATGCATACTTTAGTAATCCGCACGTAGAGTAGTTACGGGGAAACAAGGTTTTCGTCATCGGAAGCTACATATGTAATTGCAGTTAAACAAGAATTGGAGAGCCCTGATCCCGATTTTCCTTGCTTGCCTCTCTTTTTCCGCCCCGAGACGTGCACCGAGATTCCCGGACTGGATATTTTCTAGCTGCATCTGATGCGATCCTCTTTCGCTTCGCGCTAGAGGACTGGACAGTGGAGTCCGGGGTAAAATCTTGCTCAATCTCGCTCCCTTGTCAATGGTAGGTTAGAGCACACTCATTCCGTGGTCGCTTGAGCATACACGGTAGATATGATCGGCCCCGCACTGTTTAAACACTCGGTTCGGAGCTGAGCTCAGACACATTATGCTGCAAGGCGACGATCAACGACGCATAGATGAAGATCTCTGCAGATACCCCCCGCATTTACCAGGGTACGCTCCTGTGCGACCACTCGCGACGCCAAGCCGCCTGCTCTTCATAACCTCTCACTCGGGAGCTTGCAGGAATCCTATATCAATGCCTTCCTGCCCACGGTTTCTCAGCTCTCCCTCATCGATATCATCACCATTCTACACACTTCCTCTTAACAAATTCCCATCTAAAAAAATTTTTTTTCCCTCCCTTCAAGTAGTTATACCATATTATCGCAAGATGTCCGCACCAGCTGGAACCGCGAGGATTATGCATGGAGATAGTAACTCTCTCACCCAATTCAACGATAATGCAGTAGTAGGGCTCGGGCAGGAAAGGGAATGGAAAATTCTTCCCACGGGCGCCGGCGACGGTAATTCTGTCGTCATTATGTTGAAGGACGACAGCGGCGAGGACAAGTGCCTTACTCTCGATAGTCAATCCGGTGACTCTGACGGAATAAACATTCTTGTGAGGCCACTGGAATCACCACCCAGACCTGAGCAGATGTGGACCATAGAAGATGCCATTATGCAGCCAAGGTTAGTTTACGTGCACACGACTTTGTTGGCTTTCTAGAAATAACTGCTGATATGTGTTGGGATTGATGATAGGTTCCCGCCGATTGTGCACGGCAGAATACAGAGTTGTGCGAAGAAGAACTGTTCTGCCACAATTGGGGGTATGGTCCCGTTGCCGAGGATATTCATGAACGTAGCCGCGGTACCGCACGACGACGGCGACATGGACAGGTTCAGATGGCGCATTGACTACCTTAGCATGGAGTAGAGAGCTTACAAGCATATCACTTAAACCCATGTATTTTCTTAGTATCGTTAGCAACGGTTTTATTAGTCGGATTTATTGAGCAGACTCTACAAGTAGGGAGGAGAAGGCTGTTATCCGGAACGTGGGGATTTTGTATCGTGATGTAGTAGGTTACAATGAATAAAAGTACCCAAGACACAACCCATTCCTAAGGTTTATTTCGACGCATATGATTACACGTATGTGTCAGTATTCTGGTTTGATGGATACGTATATATACCCAATAGGCCTTCTGTGCACCCAGTACGAAAAAAATCATGATCATCGAATTCGCGAACCCTCTGTATCACCAACCAACAATTAGTAAGACGTTGTAAAACCTGGTATTTGTCTGATCTTCAGTGGATCTTTAGGATTATAGCACTCCCACCAAGGCGATGCGTCATGTTGGGCAATTGATTCATTTTACTACCGGTAGCATAAAGTTATACTCATATGGATTGAATTGTCCCGGCTTTAAACTACATATAGCTGCTGTTCCGGTACTTATATAATGGGCCCCAGTAATATCATTAATGCGGTAATATCAGTCCAACATAGCTCAAGGAATAGCGATTTCACCGCAGGTACGACGCTATTTCTTGAGTGCAAAGCCTTTTCCGGGTTGTTCTGTTAGTGGGTTGCAATTGGACTTTACCAATTCCTTTGCCTCAAAAGTTAATTACCAAGACATGAAACATCACTCGACTCACCTGAATCGAACAAATTTAGAAGCCAGTACAGTCGTAATAGGGTACATGTAGTAAAATGAAGAACATGCTGTAATGTATCGCAAATATTCCGGTGATTTATAGAGAGCTAGACTCTGTACTAGGCTCTCAGAGGCGCATGCCGGGGCCTGAGGTTACAGAAACCTCGAACCAGACTATTTCCACCTGTGGGGTAGCCCATTTAATTATGTCCCTTTTGTTAAACCTTGTTAGCATCTGACTTATCTACTCACTCGGACATTGGGGCATTTGGACATTCCTCGGGGGAGGTCTGGAGAACCTTTGGGGAATGATTACACCAGACTCAGTAGATGGTACACATGGTACACAGCACAGTCTGAAGACCAGACTACCTAGGTCCCCATGACCTTTTAATTGAAATTCTATTTCTAAAGCCTAAATGAAAGCTCGAAAGATCTAAAATGGTGGCTTCAACGGCGCGTTTTACCTGTGTTAACTCTCGTTAGACCACGCTCTTATTGTTATTCTAGTTCTGAGCCTGGTTCTGATCGGTCCTCAATTACCTGCTATAAATTTTTAATTTACCCCGCTTCTTAAGCTGAGAGCTCATAGCTGTTCAAACAACTAACACTTAAACTAACTTGCAAACCCACGCTATTGTGCTACTAGAATTAGTTTCCGTTTTCCCTTATTATTATTAATCATGAACTACTTTTTCCCTGTCCTTTACTTTTCTTGGACCACTTGGCATGTATTGTTCATACAGCGTATGACAAGATTGTTGTAGAAGTACGGGAAGAGTCCTATTGCCCGAGTCAGCCACTTAAACCGTGTTTTTAGACCCCTGTTTCTCTACCTCACGCTGTAGGCCCTCCGGGCAGAATTCAAATGGAAGAGTTAGCTTTCGGCACTAAAACAGCACCCACCTTCACTGTCCGTCACATGACGAAAGCCGATTTCCTGTGGTTTGATCATTGACACGAGTGATAGACTGTGAGTAAGACCTCTAAGGCTGGAACACTGGACGGTTATTGAGGGGAATGGCGACACCAGATGCTGGGATGGTTTTAGGAGCGGCATAGTTGTATCTTGAAATCTTGGAGTGGTCCTGGAGTTCTGGTAGTGTGTGGGGCGATTATTCGCATGGTTTAACGGCTCGGGGTGATTCCTAGATGGAATATTAGTGGAAGCATCATGAAGAAGGGTAGGGAATTATGCGTTAGTTATATGCTACTTCTCTCCATTTGTTTAGCTTTTGCCTGTATATCCTCATGTGATTTTTTCGAGGAAACCCAAGGCAGCGGCGTGCCTGTATGTACGTGTCATACCTTTAGGTATAACCATCACCTTCTGTAGCGCTGTATCTGATAGGCACACTTATATCCAGCTCGTGAATATGCGGGAAAACTATCAACTGAAAATAACGGGACTCTGAGTCGTTTTCGCTTATGTTGGGTTAGATGATACAAGTAAGTACGCCCTTGACTACTATTTTACTTGTGACGATTGATATCTGTGGCCTTATCGCTCATCCTAAAGACCGACTGATGACGCAATCACCTTAGGTAGCTCAGGGATATACATATATATAGCGATTGGTCGGCGGTGTGGCTACTAAGAACTTCCGGATACGTTTGATCACCGGATCAAGAACGCCTTTGAAAAAATGTATCACTGTAATCTGGTCGATTATCAACCCACATGTACAAGGAAGATCATTCCCGCCAATGAGCGCGGATACCAATACTACAGGGTGCGATTTTGCCGTACGTACCCGGGGCCCGTTCTCTAAGGTCAACTGGGAGTTTTGAGAAAGGGCGGACCCTTTACAACTTAGGTGTTAGATAGAACCGATTTGAAAAGTATGTAAATGTCGGCATGGAAATTGCAAAGTGTGGGGTGTAGGATATGTGTGCACGGTTGATGTGCGCGAGGGCCCCTCTGGCCAATGGGAAGGCCATGTTATCAGTCGCCTTACTGCACTCCTGCCACAAATTAGTCAAGCAGCGCATTTGGGGGGGGGTATAAATGGGTATAATACTACTGTTCCACTTCATGTAGTCTTGGCGCTTTTTACATAGAAAAATAGGCGATTTCAAGCTCTAACAACCTTTTAACCAAACCGGACTAGATAAAGCGATGATTGTATTATGAAAAAACTTTGTCTAGACAGATTTCTCCGCCACCCCCCAACCATGGTCAACTACATGGCACACACAAATGCGAGCAAACCCTGACCGCCAACACCGCCAACCCATCCAAAACAATACCACAACGCTTCATGACCACTGATACGACCGAGGCGCTGTGAGTACAGTGAAAGATGCTAAGGCGGTGACCCGGGAGGGGTTTGGTGGGCATCGTGGAGTGGGGCTGGGGGGGGGGGGGGGGGGGGAAGGTTGCGTGGTAGGATGGATGTGAGGGTGATTGTTGCTTGTTAAGTGGGGGATATTGTGCTGGATAGAGTTACGGCCCTGAACTAGTGGGTGTGGGCGTTCGAATTCCGGTGATACTTCAGCATCGGGGTCGGATGTAGGCGGGGCTTTGTATAAGGGGAGTTTATGGATGATCGTCCTCTCGGCGGCGCTGTTCCCGGGCATTTAGTAACGGAGATTTGGGCGTTTCTTGCGGAGACACATCATTCTCGGCAGGAAGGGGTCGGGTATTTTTTTTTCTCATCCCCCATTTTTCAGATACGTTGTTATGTGTATCTTGCTTGTTTATTCACCACAGATTCATATTACTCAGGCAGGTTCGCTGCCGGTGATTGTTTACTCTTACGTTTGAAATAGTCCCCTACCATGGCCAGGTTCAGGTGCGATAGGCAATTACCTAGAGTCAGTATTTCGAAAGCGGGGTTAGTTCCGATAATATACAAGCGGGGGGATAGAAGTAGAAGAGAAGGAGTGTCTTTTATCAGTTATATACTGTGCCTAGCCCTTTAGCTTGATCTTTTGGCTTGTATCTTTGCGATGCACTCCTCCTGGGATACCGGAGATAGAGTTGTATCGTTGCCAATTCTGGGCATAGGGCCTAGGTACCGAGAAGCTACCATTTACAGACCTATTTGGACTCCGCATTATATGAGAAATCCCGGGCATCACACGACCCAAGGTAGGCTCTTTCGTCTCATGTTGGACCCGACAAATATCATGCATCGAGCTAGTAGTGTTAGTGGACGAGGCAAGCGTATTCTGAACCGCGCCCCCCTCCCCCCCCCCCCCAAACCAACCCGAACCCCGCTCTCACCGAAGACAATAGAATATCACCCCTTACAGCGATAAGATGCCAATCTTGCAGAGAAAATTTAAACCGGTAGATCGAACGACCGAGTGATATCCTATGAGCGCAGCCTGCCCCCGATCGGTCGCCAGACCCGGCGGGCACCAAGAAATTGTTTTCGAAAACGTTTGATGGCCGAGCCACACCTTCCTTGCAGAGGTGATCTGCGTGGATATGTCGCTTCGGTTCTATCGTGTTACTGTCCGCTGAACGCACAACTCCGTGCGGGCTCCCGGGCGGGGATCCGGAGGCTGCCGCCGCGTCAGTCAATTTGTAGCGCGGGCTCCGGATCGCCGCGGTTGGGTTGGTAGCCAGATATATGGATATGGACTGGGGACGTGTATATACACATATATAGCCGATGCCGACGGTAATCATAAGCACTCATGGCGGTACCTTTGGATGGGCTCGGGATGGTGTGTGTGCATGGTAGCTGGGCTGTGGGGGATAATCGTGGACGGGGGTTATCAATTAAGATGAAATGAGTGCGCAGGAAGTTTCCGCACTAGAGGGCACAAAATATAACAGACCGATAGTGAGCTGTGGAAACAAGCAGGCCCGGGAACCTGCTGCACCTGTAGCTAGTATATGGAGATGGCGTCTACCTACGCATGCGCCCGCCCGGAGCTGGGTCTGAAGAGAAGTACCGCGAAGACCGCTGCAGCGCCCTGCCCCCTGCCTCAAGGTAGACGTGATAATAGATGTAATTTGCTAGCTATAGTTGATCATGAACCGTACGTTGCCAAACATAAATAGACTGAAAAGAAATGAAGGAAAAGAAACACAGATCCCCAAAAATCACGACTAGATTCCAAACCACATCACAATTTCTAATCTTCTCAAGCCAAAACACACAACTAACAAGTTTAATCCCCCCGTTCCTCCAATTGCCTCTCCATAACGGGAGAGATGCGAAAGATGCTGCTGTAGAACTATACTATCCTGGTGCTGGATGCTGGACTGTCCTTATTTGCTGCTGATAATAAGACACGTACGACTTTTTTGTGATTATTTTCCCTCGCCCATGAGCGGTGTCCGGCCGTGCTTGTCCGCTCTGTTGACATCTATGCGGCTATCCCACAGAAGCAGTTCTACCACCTTGTCGTGACCCTTCTCTACCGCCCATAAGAGTGGTGTCCGGCCATACTCAGTATCCGCTATGTTAACATCTGTGCGGCTATCCCCCAGAAGCAGTTCTACCACCTTGTCGTGACCCTTCTGTACCGCCCATAAGAGTGGTGTCCGGCCATACTCAGTATCCGCTATGTTAACATCTGTGCGGCTATCCCCCAGAAGCAGTTCTACCACCTTGTCGTGACCGTCCTCCGCCACCCATGAGAGTGGTGTCCAGCCGCGCTTGTTCGCTCTGTTGACATCTATGCGGCTATCCCGCAGAAGCAGTTTTACCACTTGGTCGCGGCCCTTCTCCGCCGCCCATGAGAGTGGTGTCCAGGAACGATGATTTACCTCATTCAAAATTTTCTCGCTGCTCGTTTCAACATTAAAAAAATCGCAAAGTCTATAATAACATGCTACCCAAAATGGAGAAACGAAAGTAGTCTCAGAAACCTTAAAAGGATCGTCTTCCTCTTTTGCAGCTGAAACCCATAAGTTATAAGCTGTTGATGGCTTTAAAAACTCTATGCACCGTTCATACAAAGTGGACTGCGGAGGAGATCCTGATAATCGCACGTGCGTCGCCCAATGCTTGATTGCATATTTCATAAGGAATCCTATTTCTTGGCGGGATTTGGACTCTGAGTGATGATATAGAAGTACTTTCAGGCATATCTCCGCCATGGTGGCATGGTTTATAGACCCTTCTTTAAATTTAGGATTACCGAGGAGATACTCCTGCACCGAAAAGTGAGCGAACCGGAGGTTCTGAGTATTGCTATCATTGACGATAAGGTTTTTGCAACAATCGAGTACTCGAGGCAGGGTTAATCTAAGAATATCTGGGTCAAACTTATCCTCGCCGGGGCCCACAGCAAGACCTTGAAGAATTGTTGAAAGTGAGCACGGCTCCTGGGCGGAGAGCAACCAACTCAGCACCGACTGGGCAATACGACTGTAGCTTTCGTTCGTCTGGGTGCGCTCTATGATCCGGTCATATGTTTCTTTTAAATCTTTTGGGAGCTTTTTAAGGGCTTCTCGAACACAACTGGCAGTTGGCTCCTCGCACAGAGCTAAAATCTGTAGGTTCACCCACATGAACCTAGCATTTGTAATGTGAGCCTAGGTAAATTTTCAAATAAACCAAGCGAAAGATACATACATTCCGTTGGCCTTTTCTTTAAGTGTCCGGCTAATCTCCTCCTTTAGCGCATCATCAACTTCCCCAACAAGCAGGAGCTTTTCCGCTCCACATCTCCGGGCATCACAACGTAAATCGAGTTGCAAATCAATATAATTATTGATATCATTGGTGTTGTCCGAGGGTTGGATATAATGGCACTTATAGCCGTCAAACATACGTTCTATATCTTGCTCATATCGACTTGCTAAAAACACCTTAATATTGCTCCCAGCGTCTACTAAACTCTTGAGGGCGTAGAACAAAACATTTCGTGTGTCTTGATAACATTCGTCGAGGGCGTCGACAATAATAATTACTTGCAAATACATTTCCGATAGCTTTAGGATGAGATCGGTGCTTTCCTGATGTCGAAGACCGCCTGACGCGTGTCCTTGTCCCTCCCTTTGCTCATATAGTGACAAAATACGTGCGGGAACTAGATTCGGGTCCTCAGGGCCCTCAGGGTCCCCAGGGTCTTTTAAGCAAAACTGTTTGATAAGAGTACGCAAAACTGTATCTGGTTTCCTGCGGTCGTCTTCCTTATAATTGCAGTAGAAATACGCCAAAACACATTCATTTCTGTCGATATTTTCTCGTAACTCGTCGATAACGTAGGAGCTATATCAGTAAATAGTAAATACGTATATCTTATATGTAGAAACGCTGATGAATTCTACTTACACTAGGGTAGTTTTGCCATATCCAGCTATGTCGTGAAAGACCGCATTTCAGCGAGGAAATTCCGTTAAATAGGAGTGAACTCTTAAACTCACCGTCCCCGCGTAGCCAAAGAAGTGAAGATGATTCAGAATCCCTCCACTCCACGAACGTTTTGTTCTCCCGCAGCCACAGTCCAGTGTTCTTCTGACGACGTTCGCGAGCAAATTGATGGTGGTCGATAAACTTGATTTCAGATAACCAATTTAAAATCTTCAATTTCCTATCCCCTATTGCTATATACGTCAGCAAATGCAATCGTAAGAGGAATATATATCAATTTTCACTTGCTTTTAATTTCTCTGTAGACCGCTTCCACTGCGTCCTTAATATTTTTAAGCGGCTCTTTTATCTCCGCTAGTAGTGCTTTCAACCTCCCGGTTTCGTGTCTCTGTTCTATCCGAGAGTAAGCTAACGGTTCCTCGGGTAAATAAAATAAGCGATGATCCCATACCTTTTCGTTCTGCTGCGGATGCTAGATATCAGATACGAGTCTTAGCTTTGTTCCTTTCTAATCCAAAAGGGACACCTCGGTACAAACCTTCTTTCTCAGCGATATCGACATTTACCAGCACTAAGCTTTCCTTCTCTCGGATAATATCTAAGAAAGTCTTCAAATCCGAAAAAAAGCTTTGGAGCACACGAGCTTAGTACGATATATGTGTCAGTATATCCTGGCCCATTTCTCGCGAGAACTGCTAAATTGACGACCTACTTCCGGTGTTCTCGCCGAGGTATTTCTTAACGTAGCAGAGGTATTTTAGGATAGAAACATATAGGTCGACAAGTGACGTATTGAGATACTGAACCGCACTAAGCTGACTAGTCCCACAGTACAATCTCTCATAGATATCACAGCAGAACAATGTGCGCACTATATATTCCAAGCTTTCCGAAACGGTGCGCATGTCCCCTGTGTAAGCTGTCCCAACCTAAGGATTTAAGTAAGCAAATGAGCTAGGGTAGTTATTGGGTTTACAATTGAGACGCAACGTACTTGTAGGAGAAACCTAAAGCCTGACCATGCGAGTGCTACGATATCAGGATGGTGCTGAAGAGCAACATCGCCGAGCTGTGCATACTTGTTGAGCTGCCCTACAAGGGCTTCAACATAAAATATATTTTCCCCCTTGCTGTTTGTATAAAACCATCTCTTTGCATTGCATGCCTTCTTTTTCTTGTTTATCTCATCAATGAGGGCCTTGACTAGATCAATGTCATCCCCCGACCCAGCGATATTTTTTCGAGTTTCGTCTTCCAACTTATCTACAGCAAGCCTCCATAGGTTTAAAGCTCTAGAAACGATTACTTCGTCAGTGTATTTCATTATATTTCCCACGCCATGAATCTATGCTCGTACCGACTGGGTGTAGCAGCAGAGGTCCCAAGGACCCCACTGTTAGGAGTTGATACTGTTGAATCAGTTTCCGTAGATATTTTCGGTCTTCTGACATATGTTAGCTAACGAAACACTAATATGAACCGGAATTCATACGTTAAGGTTACCGCGGGAGCAGCCGGTTCAAGTTTTACTTCAGGTATATATGTACCTGAACCACTCGACGATGCGATCGCAAAGGGTTTTGTAGCTATAGCATGTGCACTAGTCCTAATAGCGCTAGCACTTGCTGTTAAACACGATACTTCCGAACTTTGGGAAAGAGTATTTGATTACTCATCAATAGAATTCGAACTCTGTGCTTCCGTAGTTCCTGTGGGGCGTGGAGAACTAGATGGACCGGGAGGATCTGTTGACGAAGCTGTGGGGACCTGAATAGGAGCATTTCCCAAGCGAAATACCCCTCCACTAACAGTAAAAATAGCTGTGCGTTAGATGCGATAACATCGGACAAAAACAAAGATACGTGTTTGATTTACTCGATAATAGAATCCTGCCCTTCTGCTTCTGATGCAGGGAGCCCCGGCAAGGCAGCCGACACTTGAACCTTTTTGCGGCGACGGTTCGGCCATAGCTTCGACATAAGATATTTGCACATAATAACTTGCTATGTTCTGATCGACAGCGCGCGAACGTTTCTAAAATTAAATAAGAGTTCGTTATAGTCGAAAGGACCGCTTGAAAGCTTCTAGAATTCCCCCGCGCGGTGTGATAGTTATAGGGAGGATGAGTGTGCCAACAAGGTGACACGGCGGTATCTGGAATCGTGGCTGCAAGGTGAACTCCAAGGCCAATGAGAGGGCTTATTCCTAGCCACTTTGCTCAGGCGCTTTTTACATACAAAAACAGCCGGGTTCAATCTCTAATAACTTCACAACTAGGATAGATATCAAAAATCTGTAAAGAAAACGTAAACTTCATCATTACTACTACACTTTTACTTTACCTATTTCTTTTATGTTTTTTGGTGGTAAAGTTATAAGCGTTTGACTTTTCATCACTTTTGGTTACCTTTAAGAGTGGCTTGTCTCGAACCAAACCCTTCGGCTTGGCATTGAATAAATCAATTAAAGCCGTAGGGCAACTTTTTTTTTTTTTTTTTGTTTCATAGTTTCTATTGTTTCTGGGTACATGAATATCGCATGGAGCCTAAGCTATGGCTTGAACAAAACCCCTCCTATCCCCCGCCCAGTCCCTTGTTAAAATAACTATGGTCTGATAACAACCGCACATCTTCTTACAAAGCAGATGACAAGAAACTTCCCCTGACCTCCACAAAACGAAAAACACAACAAAGGAAAGATAAAAGAGTAACCAAATGGCTAATATAGCCGTACCGCCCGATGGGTCCGCGATCGAATGCAGTGTAATATCGAAGGGGAACTCCTCCCCGTGGGGCTGAGCCGGTGTCAAGCATTTAGCCGCTACCCGGCCGGTAGAAAGAGATTAACCGAACTTAGCCGAGGCTTGGTCCGGTTGTTGAGAGAGGAGAACTGCCATGTTTACTGTTTTCCACAGTCTCGTAGGCTGCACTATCTTTGCGTTTCTGATGAGGATGCGTTACCCAGGGAGAGAAAAAAGGTGGAGTTCTTCGGTGAGGAGGAGGCTCCAGAGAGAGGAGAAGAGTTCAACCCGAGGAGGGGAAGCCGTAGGGCAACTCCAGCTTTATTAATTAAATACACGTGACAATCAGCAAACTCGCAGCCTTCGCCAGAGGCTCTGGGCGTTCAGGGCGCTCAGGGCGCTTGGTAGATAAACCCCCTCCCCAAAGATACCGTGAGTGCTCCTGGCGCGCCGTGATATACACCCCTGCACAATGCGCACCATGGTACCGCATAGTAACGCCCGGCATCCCCAGATAGTAAAGTCAGCTACCTGACAATGCTAAGCGCCTTATCCACTCGCCAGTTATTCTCCTCTCTGTCCTGATCATTCCTGGAGAGTTCTCGACTGCTTTAGCGGTGTCGGGTAATATTCCGACCACCCCATGCTCTTCTGACGTCGCCGGAACTATATTTCTTCTCTCTGGTCCTTATTTCTATATCAGGTCTCCGCTGGAGAGTATTTCCTCCTCTATGGCTTGCCTGACAGACCGATTCCTCCAAGTCGATGCCCTGTGCACCCCTGGCATACAACAATCGCCCCCAAACGCCCTCTAGTATTCACGTTAACTCCATGAGTTCCTTAGCTCATCAAGACACCGCCCCGATATCCCTTGAACCCCCCTCTCTATTGTCTTCAGAGCAGTCATGATAGCACTGTCAGAACTATAAGTATTCACCACCCATCGAGCTAATAAATACAATACACCATTAAAGAACAAAACTACAAATAATAATATAGTGATAAATGCCCCTTATTCACTACCCGATGCCCCCTTAGCACTCGTGATTACTCCCTACCTGCCCCTGTTCCTCTCCCTTTGTAGTCCTCTACCTCATCCCCACTCTCCCCCCCTATAGGTAGTTTCAGCTTCTCCTCCTCATGCTCTTCCTAGCTATCAATTCCGCGAAGCTGCGCATTAATCACCTCGTCTTGAGCGATGTCGCTATTGTTCTGTGTAACTCCTGGAATGCTCGTGAATGCTCTCAACGCATCTCAGAATACGGTAAGGTCCGCAGCCAAAGCTTCAGCATCCTCGCTAAAACCCTCTTCCGGTATCACCTCTATCGTTGTGCCATTTTTATCTCGTATCTATTGGGGTTACTATTTAGAAAATTATAACCACAATCTAAAACTATCATGCCTTTTCTCGAAGATTATCCTTCATTACCTCTAAGGTTGCCTCTTGGTTCTGGGTACTCTTCCCCTTCCATGTGTTGCTCATTCTAGCGAACAGTTCTATTTGAAGTTGTGTATCAGCTTGGCAATCTCGTATGGCCATAGGAGCACCACTCATTGCTCTCATAGCACTTGCGGCAATCTCGTATAGCCTTTCATGGATCGATTAGTGAATACACTGGGTTACGAGGAGTTGGATTAGTCAGAAAGATTCTATTGGGTTCTACAGGATTCTGTTGGTTGTCAATGTATGAGTCACTTCGGATTTGTCATCGCTGGGATTTCCTTGGGTATATTAGGGGGGTTCGTTTGTTCTTCTTGTTCTTTTCCTTTCCTTTCTTTCTTTATGCAACGTCTTCTGTACCTACGCTGTCTATTACTATACAATATTACTCTCCTCTTCTTTACTCAAGGAGACCACCGCTTCGCTGCCCCTTGCCCCGTTGACCCTCACCGATGCTAGAATTCCTCAGGACCCCTATTGCGAGATCCCACAACAACCTCTACTACCCCCTTCGTACCCTGCAGAATACTCGCTACTCGCCCCCTTGAGAAGCCCTAAGAGCTCCAATCATTGCTCCCATTTCACTCGCGGCAAACTCATATAGCCCTAGTAGTACCAATCATTGTTCCCAGGGCACTCACGACACTAATGGAGGCATCGGGCGGTACTTACTCACAACACTCTCATTCTATGACTGAAACTTTTCAGGCTTCACGTAACTTCCTGTTGACCACGCTCGAATTCCATGCCAGACCGCATCAGCAAGATTGTACATTTTAAGCAGCCTCCCAACAGTCTCCTGAGTCTCCTGAGATTCTCCTGAGACAACAAAACGGTTTTTGATTCTCTGGAGGCTCAGGAGATGCTTTTCAGAAATTGTTCACTTTCCTGATTCGCGGTCGCTATAAGGAAAATCAGGATAGGTGTTATCTGATCGAGGAACTCTGTATCCCTAACCCCCCGCATCCTAACCCCAATAAAGTATTTGAAATATAATATATCGATAATATCTAGAGCCAGGAATCGCAAGTGGTAGGTCTAGAATCCATTAGGGTTATCTCGAGTGCTCTCTGGGCATCCACCATACCTCGTAATACTCTTTAGGGCTCAAGAAACAATCATTCTTCAAAACATGTTCCACGCGAGTGGCCCTTGCCTCCGGCCCTGCAATATTTGCAAAGCTGTATATCGTTGCGTAGGCCAGACTTCGTTTCACCTTGTGCATCAAGTAGGAACAGACACAGAAGTGCAGACTTCTACCCCATCCGATCTCAATTAGCCTATCAGAGCACTTCTCAAGGGGGCGAGTAGCGAGTATTCCGCAGGGTACGAAGGGAGTGGTAGAGGTCAGTGTGGGATCTCGCAATAGGGGTTTAAGGGACTTCAGCGTTGGTAAGGGTCAACGGGATAAGAGATAGCGAAGCGGTGGTCTTCTCGAGTGAAGAAGAGGAAGATAGTATTGTATAGTAGTAGACAGCGTAGGTACAGAAGACGTTGCGTAAAGAGGGAAAAAGGAAAAGAACAAGAAATACAAACGAACCCCCCTAATGTACCCAAGGAAATCCCCGCGAGGACAAATCCAAAGTGACTCATACATTTAACAATCAACAGAACCCGGTAGAATCCAATAGAACCTTTCTGACTAATCCAACTCCTCGTAACCCAGTATATTCACTAATCGATCCATGAAAGCACTCTTCATTTCTTCTAGGGTACTCACCTGTTTAATAACAACCTCATCAAGCTCAACTCTACACCCCACTTGGCGACTTGTGCTTGCCTACATGCTCACTCCCAGTACCGAAAGTCTTGCTGCAAGTGGAAAGGGTTCAATGAACAGATTATGCTCCCCGATTAACAAGCTATACTCTTTCTCAATATGCTGAGCCTGCACTGACAACACATTTGCACTCCTAAAGTTAGAGACCACAGACTTCTAAGTCAATTGGCTAGAAGGAATATTGTCACTGCTCTCCAAGGCATCGTGAATGTCCTCCGAAATACTAACCTCGCTTTCCGGTATCGGAATACTCTCACTTTCTGGCATCGGAATACTCTAGTCCCGCTGCATTGAGTAGTACTGGTATTCGATATCGTAGGTTCTTTGCGATCGACCTTGACTGTGGCTTGAAGGAATCTGATGACTGCTTGCAGAGCTTTTGCCAACTACCACAAGGTCGCTGCCTTGAGCAGGCGGTGAAGAGCGATATGTACCAGGGTAACTGGGGGACGACTCCACATACCGAGATCATAGCGAAGAAAGATCAATATGGCGCGTAGAAGCAGTATACTCAGAATCCAGAAGAAGTGCAGAGGGCCTCGACTGTGAGGATGTTAGAGGTATTCTCTGAAATGCCAGGGGTATTCGCTGTTACACCGAGGGTGTTCTGAAGGATGTGTTCTGGCTAATTGAAGTGGGTGCTGCTTTCCTCTGACCCCCTATTTGCATGACCTTAGCACCCGATCGAGTTCTCAGCTGAGTTATTAGCTCCTAATACGTGCATCAGAAAGAGCATCAATGATCAAGGTAGATCTAACCTGTACCACGTCCACTGACATATCAGATGAAGCAATGACCTCGGCTACTGCGCCAGTTGGTTTCCTCCAAGCATTGCCCAATGCTCTGGCAGTAGTCAGCTGAACTGAAAAAAACCTCTTTCCACCAGTTTGAGGCCTCTGCGAAGAAGGTGGAGGTCTCTATTCATCTTCGTCAGAGCCCTCGCGGTCGTTCTCTGGAGTATCATCATAGTCTGAGTGGCTATTATTAACTATCTCTTGTACTTCTGACTCAATTGGCTTCTGATATTCGAAACTGTCAGTATGATCCTCGGAGAGATGAAATACCACCTCCTAGGACTATCCCCACTGCTCCTAGGGGTTTCAAAAGTATGAAAAAGATTTTTTCGAGTCAATTGGGCGGCGGTGGTGGTGGCAGTGGCTGTCGATTGACTGCTACGGGCTGGAACTAGTAGTGTCAGTAACTGTTGAGGTATATCAGGCTCATCTGCTTCAGTCGTTGAACCTTCATATTCTTCAAGTCGACTTGAAGGGAGTCGAGTACGCTTTGCGGGGGGGTTGCTGCACCGGAGGATCGCTTGCTAGAAGCCATTCTGATGATTGGCAGGAATATCCGCAGTGCTCACGATATTTTTGATTAGAAATCAATTCTTGGCGTGAAATTTTTTGCCGTTAACCCTCGTATGGCAGGGATCATCTGGTGTTATTGGTATTTCCGCAATCAAATCATTCATCCTCACTCGTTTTACTGAACATTTCGAAGAACTACTGAGTGCTCTGAGAGCAATCTAGGAGTTTGATTCGACTTGGAAAAGCGATGTAATTATTAGGTCCACTAATTTAATCTCATCTCATCTAATCTAATCTAATCTGATATAACCTGACCTAATCTTGCAAGAGAAAGAGAACGTTTCATAAAGCCTAACAAACAAATCCGAAACACTAAATTGTAGTGCATCTGTAATGGAGCCATTTCAAATATCTGGTGTATGAGTACACACAGGGCCCGGTTACATGCTGAGAGTTATTGTTAGAAGACAGTTGCACAGTGATATGCAAGTACCGGCAGTGTAGTTAGCTACCAGCTGTTAGAGTAACTACGTTCTGAGCGCTAGGAAGAGGATATATTCATGAGAGCGATGACTGACGAGTCTATGCCTCGCCAGTGACTAGAAGGCCATCCAGACTGAAGCTCTGATTGCCCGGTGATCCTCTGTATCCTCTGAGTATTGCAAGCCTGCCGATAGTGACAGGGACTATGCCAGGGAAGTCTACAATAAGCAAAAAGCTCTATAGCAATGATTAAGCTTACACATGAGTGGCAGCTCATTCATGTAGGCCCCAGTTGTGTAGCAACCAACGCTGCAGGTGTTACAATGGCTTTGACTAAGGGTGGTTGCCTTGAATATCAGAAACACCTGCTGGCACTTAGAAGAAAGAGGGGTAGCGGTGGTATTGTCTCCCAGACTGAGGAAAGGCTTCACCGGAACTTATTAAGGAGTTAGGAGCAGGGAATAGAAGTCTTCAGAGTATAAGTACTCAGGCTCATTCTCGCCCTTGAGTCCTGTTCTCTCAGTCTTTATGAGAAAAAAAACCAAGTTCTTATCGGTAGCAGAGCCCTTAAGGATTATCGAGTTCTAGAGATAGTATCTTTGAATAATCTGCAACCTGATTGTCTATCTTGCATGGCCGTCTCTATTCTCTCCTGTTCTATTTCTCTGAGAAGAGACCCCCGTTACACTGGCACTCCCAGACGTTGCAGGAGCTCGGGGCGCGAGGCGTGCGTCAGGATGAAAGGGGGTGCGCCCTGACTAATACACGAGCTTGCTGATGCCCCAAAGTCTGGTTTGAGACAAAAGAGTTGCCACGTAGGCGCACCATAAGTATAAGAGCCCCGCACCCGCCTTTCTGGTAAGAATGGCTAAAGCCATTCAACCTCTTCGGATCCGAGTCTTCGCAGCAATAGAACGGATTATTTTCAGTGGCGTTCAAAAAGCAGAGCACTCAGTTCTTAGTATTCAAATATCAACATCATTAGAACAGTCAAAGTATGGTAATTAACCTATCACAGATCAAATCCATACTGATTCAATGCAGAAATGAGCTTCCTTTTCCAAGCGGTCGTCGAGTGCCTGACAAGCAAGGCTAGCACTGACATCGTTAAAGTTGACAACGTGGTCAACGATAAGAACCACCTCGAGTTTAAGGAGGACAAGGTGGGGCGCACTGCTCAAGATGTTGCAACCGAGGTCATCAATACGCTGTACAGCGCAGAAAAGAAGGGCCGCGATCTCGAGCAAGCAATCAATAATATCGTGACGGAGTACGGATGGACTGAAAGCATTGGGATTGCAATTCTGAATGCACTAGAGAATGCTCTCAAGAATGGCACTGCAATGGGACAGGTCATGAAAGAGGCCTTTGACAAGGCGACCGATGCAGCGATATCTTTCGTGAGAGATCACCCCGTATATTGTACCATTATTGCACTTGGGATCTTGGTCGTCCTCGCACCGTGGGTGCTTGAGGCTGTGGGATTCGGTGAGCTAGGGCCAATCGAAGGTAAGATCGATTTTCGGAATATGCGCAGACAGTGAGATGATACTGATGTCAGGCATCTAGGGTCTTTTGCTTCTGCATGGCAATCTAGATATATGGGGTACGTGCCAAAGGGCTCCTTGTTTTCATTCTTTCAACGCCTCGGGATGGTTTGGAAGCACGTACTTCAGAAGCAGAGACCACAGGACTGCAGTCTTGAGTGATTTTAGTTTGACGTTGTGTTTGGGCATTGTATGTTTGAATGGATAATATTTCCTGTTCTAGCTACTATGGAGTGTTTTGGACGATTTGGATGCGAGGGGGAGCGATGCGACCGTGGTCATGTTTTGTCACTCTGATTTATGTAATTTATTATTCAAGATATTTATTATGATGATTGGGGACCCTCCGTGAGGGAAGCGGAGCGACCGAGAACAGCGAAGCTGTGGTAGACGGAAGCGTCTCCAGCCGTGATAAAGACAGTATGTATACATACATGTACCTACATATTTAACATTCTCGCCAAGCCTTTTTTCTGGAAAAAATGTCGGAGTATGTGTGAGCTAAGCGAGCCCTACGCCCTGACGAAGAGACCGGAACGGTCTGTGCTTTTGGCTCAACTGTGCCGCCGGGCACTACATGTACTCTCTACAAAAGTTGGTATCTAGCACAGATGGTAGAAAGCTTCTAGGCTGAGTGTGCCAACATGAAGTTACAGCTGCGATCAAAATGAGCAGGATAAAATGCGCTTAGCCACTCACAAGATGTTAAGAACTACATGTACTCGCGCTGCCGGATTGAAGCCGCTCATACAAAAAAGGTACATAATTGATCTAAAGACTTATACTGTCAGATCACTCGCCATAGTAATTTAGCGGCTTTAAACCGGCCGCGCGAGTATAGGAACTGTAGGTACTACATGCACGGTGGACCACCTAACCTATTGAATCCTAGCAAATAGCTCGACACTACATAAATTACATGTAGGTACTTCATAGAGTCTCACTCGGGACTTCATAAACCCTGGTTTACAATTGCCCTAAAGTTTAATTCAGGGTTAAGCAACTCCGGAAGGTTGGGATTACAGCGAAGCTGAAGCTAGACCACAAGTGCAAGAGAGGAGGGCTAGAAAGCCGTGCAGCGGCTTGAGAGCCCGACATCGAGACATATGTATACATGTATGCAGTAGGTATTACTCTACTATGTAACTGGAACCCTGACACGTGATAACGCTTGGCAAACAACCCATTACGTACGTGTAGGACTCAACATGTAGGCCTACAACTCCCCGCCCATTCACTATCGCAACTTTGACTATCGCCTCAGCGCGGTCTGCTTCTCCGGAAACTGAGATGGAATCAACTTCCCCCTCGCGGGCGGCACGTGCCAAAACAGCTCTCCATTCCACCATTACGCGCACGATTACACGCTTTACCCACTTGAGCAGGACAATAAGCTCAAAGTCAACCACAGGCTTCCGTCCCCTACCAGTTACACTTTTCACCCTGGTCACATATCTCAGCCTCTTCACCGCATTGATCTGGATCGACCGTCGAGTTCCTGATGTTGCATCACGTAGCGAATTGGATCGTTGGGGTGTCAGTGTTGACGAGGCGTTCAAGGACCTTGAGTTTCTAACAAGGACCCACCACCCGTTCAACAGCAGATCAAACGACGGTGTTAGAGAATACCTGCTAGCTAGGATTCAACAGATCCTCTCGGAAAACGGCGTTGGTGGCTTCAACGGGAGTGATTTGGTGCAGCTTGGGGATCGGTATGATGGCACGGTGGAGCTTATCAATGACGGTGCGGACTCAACGAAGGGAAGCAATGCTACATTTTTCCAAGATAGGCTCGGCAGTACTGTAAGCCAACTATCCATCATAGGCCGCCTACAACTTTCTTTAATAGCTTGCATAGGTGTATTTTGAAGGAACGAACATCATGGTTTACATACACGGCGAAAGACCTGCATCAGAGCTCTCGCCTGCTCTCGTCAATGCCCACTATGACAGCGTTTCCACGGCGCCTGGTTTGTTTCCAAGTCAAATGTTTCTGAGAATTTAGGTTTTATGCTGACAGACAACCTCGAAATTAGGCGCTACTGACGACGGAGTTGGCATTGTCTCCGTGCTTCAAATTGTCAAATCGTTCACTCGTTCAGAGGCGAAGGGTGGAAAAAGGCTACAGAGAGGACTTATTGCATTGTTTAACAATGGAGAGGAAGATGGCTTGGTAATTAGTGGATTCACGTCCTATCCTTGATTTCCAAAGTTAATATAATACAGCACGGTGCACATGCATTTGCCGCGCATCCTCTCGGACGGCTTCCCCGTGAGTATTCCTTCTGTGTCTCTGTTATGGCGCTTGGCACATCGTGGTCTTTGGTATTTCCGTATTCTTCGCTGACCGATCGTCGCCCTTCCAGATATGCTCTTAAACCTAGAAGGCGCTGGTGCCGGTGGAAGAGCTACACTATTTAGGTCGAATGATTCTGCGGTGACAAGGTTTTATCAGAAAGGGAAAAGGCCTTTTGGCACAGCAATGAGCAACGATGGATGGAAACTAGGATTAGTTCGGTTCGTGTTCCATCAGGAATTGGCTTTCAACTTTGAACTTATTGGTTTGTTTCGATCAGGAGTGATACAGACAATTCATTCTTTCACCGGTATCTCGGTATGAGAGGCCTTGATGTGGCCTTTTACAAACCGCGGAGTCGCTATCATAGCATCGACGATGATATGAAGCATAGTAAGACCATACGATTCTCTCCGGCCTTTTCCCGCTAACCATTCTACAGTTAGCAAAGGTTCAATCTGGCATATGCTCGGGGGCTCTCTTTACACGCTACGCGCAATGGTTGATGATACTAGCAGTGAATTTGATCAGAATGGAGGCCCAGGAAAGGGCAAACCAGGTGTTTGGTTTGATCGTACGTATCTATCCATTTCTTCTGTTGACTTTAAACTCACGGGTATAACACAGTTTTTGGCCGGAAAATGGCAGTATTCGACCTGGAAACCTTATTTATCTGGACCATAGTTCTGATTGTCATTCCATCGTGTGTCGTTGCTGGGGGAATCTATATGAACCGCGACAAACTTCCTACAATTCGTGGTGTCTCCCGATTTCCAGTCGCCCTTGTGCTCGCAAGTGGCCTTTCCATGATTGCTGCTTTATTGATCCACAAGGTCAATCCGATGATTTTATACTCATCCTCGGACTCTGTATGGGCAACTGTATTGGCTGTCTGGTGGACTGTGTCGTGGTTGGTACTCCGAGGGGCGGATGCAATCAGACCAACCGCGCTTGCCCGAGGATATGCTTGTGTCGAGATGTTCATGTTTTGGTTCGTAGGCATGATTGCCGTGGCATATGGCAGTTCGTCTGGGGTAGGTTTGGCCAGCGGATATTGGGTTCCCATTTTTTACCTGGGAGCATTCCTGGCTTCCTGCATCTCCCTCTATGAAGTGAGCGTACTGCGATGGAAAGCCGGACTGGAACCAATCAACCGAACAGGCCACTTGTCGATTGGTTCCACAGGAAACGCAATCCCGTCGGGCCCCGGATCGGGCCAGGGAGCTGCGCATGACGGAGATGACTCGCCTGCTACTGAAACAACCCCGCTTTTCCGGAGCACCAATGGCACCTCTGCTCGCTTCCGGCACGTCCGCTCCAGCATTCCGCCACCGAAAGATGAGGACATCTACGGGTCTGAAGAGAGCTGGAGCAAAGACCTCCCGACCTGGACCTGGATCCCGCAATTCCTCGCCGCGGTCCCGCTGCAAATCATCTTCTCCGGCCAAATCTCTCTCCTCTTGACCGCAGCCCTAGAGCAAACCGGCTGCGACGGCGGAAACACAGCAGTGCCCTACATGATCATAGCCGTCTTCGCCACCGTCCTCCTCCTCCCCATCGCCCCCTTCCTCCACCGCGTCACCTACCACGTCACCGTCGCCCTCCTCATCGTCCTCCTCGCAACAGGCTTCTACAACCTCACCGCCTTCCCCTTCTCCTCCAGCGCGCGAATCAAACTCTTCTTCAAACAGTCCGTCGACCTCCGCACCGGCGAGAACCTCGTCCACGTCATCGGCAACCCCGCCTTCGTCGAGCGCGCCATCACAAACTTCGTCCCCAGCGCCGCCACAGGCGGCTTCCACTGCGCGCCCGAAACAGAGTACGCCCCCTACCAGACGCAGACGCGCTGCTCATGGCGCGGGCCCGCGCCCAATGTGGCGCCCACCGTGCCCGGCGCGGCCGGCAACGGGACGGCCGCGTGGCTGACCCACAGCGTCACGAAGCTGCGCGATGGCGAGGCGCTGGTGTCGCTTAAGGGCGCGAATACGCGCGCGTGTAGGCTCTTCTTTGATAACCGCAACATCACGGACGTGGAGGTGCGGAATGGCCGTGGAGGGCCGGGACAGAGGGCGCCGAGGTTGGGGAACCCGATTCCGGAGATGGGGTCGAGGCAGGTGAGGCTGTGGAGCCGTGAGTGGGGGCGTGGGTGGGATGTGGAGGTGGCGTGGGGTGGCGGGCTTAGGGAGGCGGGGGCGGGCGGTGAGGAGGGCGGGGAGGGCGTGGAGAAGGGTGGGAAGGGAAGGTTGGAGGGACGTATCGTCTGTCTGTGGAGCGACGTCAACGAGAAGGGTGCTATACCCGCTTACGAAGAGCTCATGACGCATCTACCGGCGTGGGCGGTGCTGACAAAAGTTGGTACGTATTGCGCTCTATATCTATCTATCCCCCCTTTACAAACCGTGACATGTACTAACAACGCAACAGACGATGGACTCGTCGAGGGCTGGGTGCCGTTTTCTGTCTGAGCAGATGCAGAGGGGGGGGGGGGGTATCGTTATGTTATGACAAATTGTTTTTTTGACTTCTTCTTCTTCTTTTCTCTCGCTGACTTGAAAGAGCTTTCGTTGTGGGGATGCGTGGGCGTGTGATGTACTGGTGTATTTTTAAGGACTTGTTGCGGATTGCTTGACTAGCGTGCTGATATCGGACGTAATGAACGGAAGGATATATCTTGATTCTGGTCGTCTCTGATTCCCCCGACTGCTGTGAATACACTCAGCTATAGTGCGCAGGGAGTCGACTACTGCTTTCCTTGAACGTGCTCAAATGCTGTGTAGTCATGGTACAAGTGATACTCCAATCTCACTCGATCCTACGAAGCCCCAAGCCGAGACGAACCTGTACTTCCTTCCCATAATCACAGGGCATCACTCGGGTCTTGGCAGTATGCAAATAATTAACAGGGCGCAACAAAATGTCGGGCAAACAGCATTCGAGTATGCTAAGGCCCCAGGAATAAATTGAGAGGTATAATAGGCACCCAAGGGCATATGTGGAGGGGAAATTCTAGGCTGAATTCCTGATATTCGTATTTCTCCACCAATTCCTTTCCTTTTTTCTTTAGTAGTCCATTACCAGCTGGTACATATATACGATTTCATTCCCTTTTTCTCTTTTTTTTCGTGACGGTGTGCTACATACAGTAAGATCTCATAACATACATTAAAATAACCAAATCTTGTCATCCCCCAATCCACTCCACTACAAAGGGCCAGGGCCCATGTCCCTGACAGTGCCGTGCCTGATGAAGCCCGAGAGGCCACCAGGTACCTCCTGGTATGTGCTCCAGGTGTACAGGTCCCAGCTATCGCTATAGATGTACTTTCCGCTGTCGTACCCATCTGCGAACAGCCTGTACATGCCGTTCTCGAGCGTCGTGATGCAGGGGCCTTCTGCTCGCCCGAATCCTGCAAAGTTGCCTATAATCACTTGTCAGCACTGCTAATTACGATGGGGAATTGGGGGAATAAATACCAGTTTGTACGAAGGTCCATGGCCCTGCGAGACTCGTAGCGACGGCGTGTTCGAGGTACTTGCTCGTCTCGTTCTTGGTGTATGCATGGTACATCTTGCTGTCCTCATCCCAGACGATGAATGTGTCAATATAGTTGGGGCCGATACCGGCCATGGCAACCGGCCCGCTCCAGCTTGTGAGTGTGTCGTCTGTTGCGGTGTATAGGTAGGGATTGAAGGTGGTTAGCGACTCGCCGAGCGAGACAATGATGTTGGTTTCCCCCGTGCGCGGGTCCTGGAAGATCTCGGGTGCCCAGGTACGGGCCTGAGTGGTGTCAGAGATGCTGACGGTCGTGTGCAGTGTCCAGTTGAGGAGGTTGCTGCTGCGCGCGATGGCAAAGTCGCGGCCTTCCCAGTTGGTCGTGTAGGAGACGTAGTAGTCGCCGTCGGTATGGCGGATTATGCTAGGGTCGCGAATAAGGCCGGTTGTGGGGACCTGTGCAGCGTTAGGACGAGAACATGGGGGAGATGGAGGGAAAATGTGACGAACGTAGGCAGGCCCTTTGAGGAGCGAGAAATTGAGGGCATCATCAGAAGTGTAGATGTACATGTTGCCTGGGTGAGTTAGTACATGGAGGTACTCGTAGAATATGCGGGGGACATACTCTCGCTGGTAGAGGTGAAGACGGAGAAGACGTAGACGCCCATTGCCGACTGCATGAACAGCGCGCAAAGCACCGCGAAGGAAATGATTGACCGCATGGTATCCTACTACTACTACTACTTGATGCTTCCTGAATCCTGGGGGGTTAGCTGTGGAGAAAGGAATGTGGGATTGGAAGGGGGGAGGATGCGAAACTATATACAAATCCAACATTCCTCTTTAATTCCTCATTCGGGACAACATCACCCCCTGCCTTCGTGGAAAATCATGATACTATACGATGCCCTCCCTGGTATCTAGCGAGAAAGTCCCCCGGTGTGAGAGAGAGATCTGGATTGATTTGCCAAAGAGACGCATACCGTATGGTGCAGCGGGACCAGCATCCAGAGTTCGGACCAATGCGAACCGGACGGCAATACTCGAGTTTGAATGTGTAGCGCCTTCCCGGATGAACTGCCGGGGAAAGATGGGATTGGATGGGATGGAATAAGGATCAGGCGCAGAACGTTCTCAATGCGATAATTGTGTATACACTTGGAGATGTACATACATGTATGTCCATGGATATATTCTGCCTAATGTGTGGGTGCATGTCGATCCTGTGGCGTAGAGGAGGACAGGGGAAGAATGCGGCTCTACTCCACCTACATTATACCCAGAGTGGTTAGATCTTGAGTTTTACAGAGCCGTATCGATGGCGGGTGGAAGCCATTTGAGATGTTGAAACCATCATCGTGCATGCGGCAAGGTGAACGGATTGTATGTGCAATCGTTTCACCTCCCACCAATTCCTCTTCAGAAAAAGAAAGACACTCCCAACTCCTCTACTCTCGCTCTAGCGGGTTCCTGCAGCGACGGGCGGGAACCGAACCCCGGAAAGCTTGTGCGTCCCCAAAGCCAAACCCCAATCTCTCTAGGCCGCTGCGGGAGCGATGTCTGAGACTGACAGAACGGTTGACGTCTGATTACTCGCAGGTGCTGATCCAGGAGGATCAAATCTGTAACTGGAGAGAGAGAAAATCGTGTTGTCTTCTCGAATACCCAAGATCGAAGAGCAGGATAGCTATCGAGGAGAATTCGAAGCTGGCCGCAGAGTATCTATGGCTTTTAACTTGCACCATGACTTCATCGTGTCCTTTTGATCGTGTTCTCTAGATCTGGCCGTACTTACTTGTGTCCAGATCCTTCCTCCACACACACTCTCTCTCATGTCTTTGATCCACATCGCCATTGCACCCCTATGTTACATGTAGCTACACCAACATGTACCCGTTCTGCCCTCCACCTCCACCTTCCCTGCGAGCGCGTGCAATGCCATATCCCCAAGTAGAGCAGAATAGGCACTGCGTGCACACACGGCACAGCACAACAAAGCGATATAAATACGCAATGTGTCTCTGGATCCCCCAACCCAATCACACACGCAAGCACTCGCTAAATAAACCCCATGCAGTGAGAGTACCATACACCTGCACCGCCACAGCACCGACTGCCCGTCCCTGCCAAGTGCCCACCCATCTTCTCCACATCCCTATCCCTACCGCAACCACCACTTCTGCCGGCCAACTCTATTTTAACCGAGCGCCCCATCAAGCCCGACGATTCCTCCCCGGGAGAAGAGAAGTGAAGAGTAGAGTGGGCAGCTACAGTACGTATGTAGCTCGGTTCTATGAAGCCCCGATGCGCATCCATCCATGTATGTACCCCGCGCAACACCCAATACCTGCCCTAACGGTGTGTTCTCCGATCGCTGTAAGTGCGGGGTGCGGGGTGCGGGGTGCGGGGTGCGGGGTGCGTTAATCTATGCTGGTGCTTTGATTAGGCTTTAGCTTACGGACGACGGGGTGGGGTTGTGGTTGTGGTTGTGGTTGGGATGTTCGCTGTTGGTGACGGGAGATCACCGTCGACCGGGAAGCTGGTACGTTGACGTAGCGAACTGTGCAAGCTCGGGCCGGCCGGGCACGCGTACCGGGTGTGCACGTTAAATACCGAGACGCCTTGAAGGATTGGTTGATTTTGTATGGGAACCGCCCATGGTAACCAAAAGCAGCCAATGAATTTTGGCCTTGGCCTCAAAATTTATATGGTGGAAAAAAATACCGAGACGTTTTATCTATCTTCACTTAAAAATTCAAATATTTTCCTAAAAATACAAAAAAATAACCACTGAATAGCCCTTGCTCACAGGTTCACCTGAGTACTGATTCGAAGTTATCAAAGAAGTTTTGGTGAAGTTCGAAAAGAACAGGAGTAGAAAAGAGGTTGAGGAGGTTGCGTTGCAAAAGCTGTGGGGCAGACTGTCCAAATACCTGCTTGGCTGCCAAATGTCATTTTAATTATATCAGCCCAATCAGATTCCTTTACAAACCCTCACTTTTTAAAATTCCCCAAAAAGGGGTTCTCAGTACTTACCCTCAACCCCCGGTACACCGGCGCCCGCGGCGGCATTGGAGAATGTGCGGGTGCAGGCCGACCGGCCGCCGCGTGTCCAGTCTCTCCGGTACTCTCCCGGAACGGATACTAACATTGATGACCGCGCTACCTGTGCCTTCTGTGCCTTCCCCGGATGTAGATGTGCGTGACATGCGTGACATGCGTGACTTGTGGTATTTGTTGGTTTTGGGCCTTCGGGCCTGTGTGAGAGTTGGATCCCCGGGTTGAGTTCTTGCGGGAGTTGAGGTGCTTGTATGGGTTTGGCATTCTTGTCCGCTGCTGGGTTTTATATATATATATACCAGGGACTGTTTTGTGTGGTTGTTGGAGAAGGTCGACACCGCTATGTCGGCTTCGTCTTAGTGTTCGGAATATCGAGTGATGGCCCATGATTGCAATTCACCCCACCACTTCAAAATACCCAGTATCCCTTCATCTGTCTGGTGCTCTTATCCTCGAACTTGAAGCTTACATCGCCCCTGTCGGTGCTATGACCGCGGGCGGGCTAAAAGCTATCGGGACTCGGAAGATCCGCACTAGCGAGGAACGGATCGGAGAGCTAAGGTACATATCAGCGGCGCATCGGTAAAGGTACCTTAATACCTCCCAAAGATGACCCTCTTGAGCGAACCACTCGTTGCCTTTACACTAACAGTGCATCTCAGATGTATAGCAAGAGAGTGGTAAGTGTGTGGGTGATGGGCTTGGCTCACAGCCACTCACTCGATTCCCCCACCTATGCCACGTTTACAATTTTTTTTTTTTTTTTTTTCCCATTTGATCCGCTTACTGAACGCGTAGCTAGGGAAAGCCTCATAACGCGACTGCAGCCGTGGAGAACGGCTGCAGGAGAAGATGGGTTGCTGGGGTTGTATCTCCGTCTTGTTCGAAATTTGAAGGTCTGTGGATCTAGATACAGACCCGGGACATCTCAGCCTACCTAAATAATGACAAACTACAAGTATCTTGTGTCAACACCATGGCAGGTTGGTTGTGCTATATGCCTATAGGGTTGGAACCGGAGAAGCGGTGGGCGACGAAAGGCTTTCAGCTGGGATGGGCTTTTAGCTGGAATAGGCAGCGTCATGCGGCATCACTCGGAATTGCTGGACCTATATTGAGTTTCCACAGACCGACCCCTCCCGAGCGGCGGAAGAAAGTGTATGTCAGTAAGAAATGATACGACTCGACCATTGTCACGGCGGGAAATATATGCTCACTATCGAGACGTTGATATATACGGTCGTTGAAACCAAATGGCCTTTCGCAACGTCCAGTAGTTGAAGTATCGCCTCACCAGCCTTGAGTGGGCAACACAATTTTGCGAAGTATAGTCGAGCCGCGCGCGTTCCCTCATGACGTGGAGCTTGTTACTTTGTTGGCAGGATGGATTTGTGCTGGCTGCGGTTGCATGGGGACCGGTGGGAGTCGAAATAGTGTCTACGAGACGGGGGCCATCTGTCTAGTAGTGAAGAATAAGAAGCGGGCAGACTTGTTTTTGGCTGTCTCGGTCATTCATCATTAATTGATGGAGTGACTTATCATGTTCAACTCCATGGGCTTTCTTCACTGACATCGGGGCCTGCAGGCTCAGGAAATACTAGAATACCTTAAGGGCCCAAAATCAACTGAGATAAAAATCTACTCAGACCTTCTTTTATTTTAAGTCACCACCACTGTATACATCTCTTCCAACAACAATTAACCTTGACCACCGGTACCACTACCACCATTCTCATTTAATTACCCTTATACCCATTGTTGCTAATCTATCTTGCTTATTGAAACCATGATATCTATATAGAAATCTAATATATTGTGAACTTGTATGACAGCTCAATCCTCGACTATCTTTTTAAACCTAAAATAGGGAAAGGATTGGGCTATGTATATATGCGGATTTCCAATTAAGGTGGGGTACAGATTGCATGACTGCCAAACAAGAGGTAGGCAGCTTCTCTTGGAACCAACTTAATGGAGGTAGATAAGTCGCTTGGTGGATAAGTCGTTGCAACGACCTTCTGGCTTCCAAACGGCCCCTAAGACCCCGGAAGTGGCCATGAGAATGATATTGACCAGATTACGATTTCCCCGAGTTCTTATAGTTGTGGTGCCATAGGGGTTAATGTTATCTCTGTTGTTCTTGACACGTCAGCTATGTGTGTTCTTTTGCGACTACCGTTATTTCTCGAGTAATCCGCTATCTCCGCTTAGTTAAATGTTAATTCCGGGATAGAAAACGCGTGTATCTGCACGAGCACGTGAAGTTTGATGCTGCCAATTCGCCCGGGCCCGGACTTCCTACATGTACATACAAATACGGAGATAGTGGATTTCTCGAGATATAACGGTATCCTTTTTTCAAGCAGTAAACACGTGCTAAACAGTCTCTTTTGTCTGCACTATAAATAGATCGAGGAATATATATCCCCTCTCTATATTCTATAGATCAACAAGTGTCGGTTATCGTCTTGCTTCCTCCTCTCCCCTGAATCTAAATAAAGAATCTCGAGAAGAAGCTTGATAAGGCTAATCTTTGCTGAGACTGCACTCGTTATGCGCTGGTGGGGTGGGAGCTGATAGGGCGCGCGTACTTGCAGTGGACACATGCAGGTACAACCGTGCTCTCCCGTTTGACTCAAACTAGTCCATGCGTCATCAGATAAGATCTGTACAAGTAGTCACCTCGTCGGCGGACATGAGTCAAGTACAGTCCACCGCTATACATGTGCACAGCACCAGACGATACAAGAGGAATGATCATGATACCTCAACCCCACCTTTCGACACCTCTGCTTCTCTTCCTGCATCCAGAGCCTGGGGGGGGGGGGGGCACATATATCTCAACACTGCCAACAGTGCAGTGTGTTTAGCCGGGGGAACTATCCATTTCTTCGACCGATGCTCCCTGCATCTTCACCGGGAGTCTCATGTAGAAGGATCGACAGCAAAGAGATGCGTGCTCATGCCTGCTGTAGCTGTACCTGCTATAACAGCGCAGCCCTGTAGCTATAATCAGGACCGTTCGACAGGTAGGTGCCTACATTCCCCGACAACTCATGCACAGATATCTCTCCTTATCTATACACACATCTGAGCCAGTGTTGACAGCTCCCGCAGCTTAACCCTGCACGTGCCAAAAGCTTAGCTTCAGGTCTGTGTTACACCGCGCCGCCAAGACACCCACCCTCCTCTGGCTGGGCTATGCAGCCCTGTCCGTTTTGGGGAATGCAAATCTATTTTTGACAGCAGCTGCGAGACATGCATAGCTCTAATTTATGCAAGTGCTGTTCCAGAAAAAAAACCAAAACAAGAAAAACCCGCGAGCGCTGAAAGCTACACTTTCTTTGCTAAGATATATTATATTATCTTCTAAAGCTTTGTGTGGGGAGTGGTGGCGCAGCCCACCGGCTCTTACCGGCGTATCAGCTTTTCGAACGCTGCCGGACGAGTGGTGGTAAAGAGGTACTTGAGTGCCGCGTACTTTCGAAAGAGAGGATTCGTCCAATGGACATACAATATGTGCGCCTAAATCTACAATATCTACGAGGATCTCAAGGTCTGGATATCACGCCATGGCACACACTGGGGGCTAATGGTTCCCACACACACATATGCACGGTCCGGTGAGACATCGAGTGATGGCTTAACTACAGAGGTATGTAGCTTCTAGCAGCGGCTGTCATCCGCAGCAGAGGCTATTATTCTATTCATTCTTCAAGTGCAGTGTTCAATATTGGTGCAAGTCTGGAACTCCGCCCCCCAACGCACGAGCACGCAAGCCCATATCTGATCGTTATTAGCCAAACTCTAACAAACACAGTCCTTTATCATCTCTTTTAAAGATGTCGACCTCCAGCGTTGATCGTTGGCCTGTAGACTCGCAGAACCAGCACAAGCAGTACGTTCCTCTTCTTTTCTTTTTCCCAGCCTTATTTGTCAACCCTAATCCCACATACCTACAACTACAACAACCATGAGGAGCTCTCGAATCATGGATGCCTTCTGCAAAGATGCAGCCCGCGCCGAATGGACGCCCCAGCCCACGAAACCACAAAAGCTAAAGAAGAAACACAGATTCTCTCTCTCCAAGCGCAGCACATTCGGGAAACCTATCGCCTTTTCTGAAGATGACATTCCCGTCGCCAATCCTCGCCGACTATCGCGGGCACCACGGTTGGAGGAGGACTATCGTAGGGCACAGGGGGAAGGCCCATTATCAATCTCAAAGGTCGGAAACAACCCCCCACAGCCTGTGCCGGAGCCCATTTTCCCGCCGGACCAGTTTGCGGTCAACGAGAGCATGACAGCATCATATCGGCGGCGGTCGTGGACGCTGAAGCCGCGGAATGGGGCGGGGCCTGCAAAGCCAGCGTTGGTGACCATTGCAGAGTTCGAAGAGGGGAATGAGATGAAGTCAGGGTTTGTGTCGTGTGCGGCTTCGATAGCCTATACCTCGCCGTCAGTATCACGATCGACGACCTACACTTCACCAACAACCGCAACATCTAACGCCCAAGAGAAAGGGAAAGAGCACGACACAAAGGCTCCTCTCCGCTCACCACCACCCCCAAGAACCAACCCAGACGCACCCCCAATCCCAAAGCTCCCCGACTCCACCCCCAAGCCCATCACCCCCAGCCCCGCAACCTTCAACCCGCAACCCTCCCCAGACCAATACATCCAGCAGTCCGCCCGCCGCCCCCAGAGCCAGCGCATCTTCCGCGTCAACAGCCGCGGCACCGCCCCAAAGCGCATGTCCAGCAAGAAGTCCTACCCCACAAAGGAAAAAGTAATCACCCTCGGCGCCGCCCGCCCAAAACTCATCGAGATCATCCCCGCCGGCCGGCGGCGCAGCCGCGGCATGCGAAACTCTGCGCCCCCGAAACTGGCTTCGCCGCTGGCCCTCACCGGGCCGTATGAGCTCCCGGTTGTATCGTCGCCGAAAGCGACGCGTGTGGCGGAGTTGCCGGCGGTCGTGGTCGGAGGGGCGTCTCCGACGACGCCGATACTGACCTTCACTGCGCCTACGCCCACGCCTACTCCGACGCCGGAGTCTATTCCGGCGCCGACGAGGAAGCCACCGCCGCCGCCGGTGGTGGCGGCAGAGGAGAAGACGGAGAAGACGGTGTATAAGCCGTACCGCGCGCCCACGCCGGAGGTGGTTGATGAGAAGCCGCTTCCGGCCATTCCGCCGCTGAAGACGGGGTGGCCGGCGTGGAAGAAGGAGGCGGATGTGGTGGTGGTGGAGAAGAAGAGGATGGAGGCGGTCGAGAAGAAACAGGAGGTGGTGAAGGAGGAGGTGAGGAAGACGGTGGTGATCCCGGAGGCGTTGAGGATTGGGATGGCGAGTCAGAGTTTGGAGGCGAGGTTGGGGAGTTGGGAGGCGTTGGCGGCGGGGGAGAGGTATTAGTTTAGTTTAGGTACAGCATCGTGGGTTATCTGGTGATGGCGTTTTTGTGTTTTTCATGGTTTAGTTTATTGTATCTTTTTTCTTCTTTTTTCTTTTGTTTCTTGTAGTTATATGTAGGGAGCATTGCATGCGCGTGGGGTACATGGTGTTTTTTTTGTTTATCTCTTCAGCATCATCATTGATCAAGCAGATCTTTCTTTTGTCTTTAGCATATTCTGGGTATAAAAAGTTTCATGGGTTTAAAAATGAAGGCGTCTATTACTATTCAGATTACTCATTATGTGTTCAGTTACTCGTCTGTTTGCCAGTGACGCTTGGGATTTTTAGTTATATGTGTGTGCGTATGGGTTAGGGTTATGTATGTGTAATGGATTCATGAGATATCACTCGGTAGTCTTATTACCATGTCTCGTCAGCTGTGGCATGGATTGTACAGTGTTAGAGCAGATGAGACAGCGTGTAAGTCAATTTTATTGGTAATAAGCAGCAGAGGCTGCATGGGGTGGGGACGGACAGGTATTGGTATGAAATACCACTCAGCCCAACAGCTCTCTAGATATCTCCGGACTTAGACGAGCCTCAGGACCTTATCTCGGAAGTCGAGCCCTGGCGATAAAAGTCTATGGTGAAATGCGGTGTCTCAAGATCTTTTCGCGAGTGATGGAAAAAGACGCAAAACATCCCAAAACAGGGGTGCTAGCTAGATAAATGCAAGATTTGGATTGTGTTGCTTATTGAGATCTCATGAGTTTTGCGCCAGGCCGGAATGGGTGGGGAGGCTTCTTTTTTTTTTTCCGTGTCTGTAATTATATCTCGCTTTTGACGTCTTGGGGGCTTGGGGGGTAGAGCTGGTTGGTTAGTATGTGTTGCAATTGTATCTACGCCCGTTGGCTGTGCTAGTATCGTTGGAATGAGCCGGATTTCCGGGTCGGTCTGGAAGTAGTGATGGGCACGAGACGGAAAAATCAAAGCTAGAATGAGAGAAGACACAACAAGCCAAACCGAAAAAAGTCTAGTCTTGAAATTTTCGAAACATGTGAGTGATCATCTGTGACCCGGATATCAGCATCGAAACCTAGTTCTGCTGGCTTTTTCCCCGAAGCTACTATCTGGTAGTCACTTGAACTGATACGAAAGATTAGCTGGATGACTCTAAGCCTAGGTCTCGAGACTTCGCGCAATACGTGGCTCAAGTATTGTGAATTCCGAGACCTCCCTCTGTGATTCCGGGAAAAGACTAAGTGCCGTATTGTTTTGTCTTGTGCCCATGGCTATCTGGGAGCGCTAGGTGTTGGTGGGGTATGGAATTTTGTTGGTGGAGGGTTATTGACATGGCGTTGGGAAGGGAGTGGGCTGGAGGTGGTGGGATATGCGCGATATAAAGGACAGTGTTGAGGTTGTGGGTTGACGCAGTGGCCGGCTTCGATCGACGGGCCCGGTAATAACGGTTTGGCTTTTCATCTGATAGAGTTATCAGATGGCGTGGTCTGATCATAAACTAGCACTCGTGGGCGAGCACAGTCACTTGCTGTGTACGACATGCATAATCCCGCTTGCACACACACACACAGAGACACACACAGACACACACACACACACACACCGATACATGTTTGGCTCCTCGGTATCCCGCTCCCTTGCGCTACCGATACATGTATGCACTCTACGTCAACCTCAACGGCCGGCTGTACGGCACAATGGCGTGTGTGTTTGGTTTGTATTGGCCATGTTTCTGCTGTGTTGCTTGAGGGATTGGATCGATGGAACGTGCAATACGACATGCAACGAGGGTGTTTAATAATGCGTACACGTCACCGCGTGGCCGCCCCGTGCTTCGCTATAAAGCGGTCATTTTCCTTCTACTTCTTCTTCTACACACCTGCCTTGATAATACCCTCTGTTTCCGCCTTCTCAGATGATCAAGAAGTCCCTTGGTCATCTCCGTGAAATCAACTAGGTATGGCTATATCGCGCAAGTCACAATTTAATCAGAATCACGCTTTCGGCCTAGACATCTTCTCGGTCTAATGTTTATCAATTTAAGGTTAAATTCAACATCCAAATACATCCATCGTCCGCCTAGCCAACAACTTCTCCTCCCGCCAACCAAACACACTCCTCCGCAATATCCATCGTCACCTCATCAACACATCATCATAGTTCTCGTCTTCCAAGGTTTACGGGCACACCAATTGCAAGTCGACTGGGAAGGAATCAGTGGTAGTGATGAGGCCGGCGGGAACCCAGCGGATCTTTAATCAAAAGTGTCAGTCTTTGAGCCATCGAGAAAATAATGGCCAGCAACAACATACCGTGTAAGCACCCTCAACAGCACCGTAGGGGAATGCGTAAAATCTGTCGGCCACATCACCATAGGTCAAGAGGCCGTCTGTGATAGCCCAGTCCGAGAAGCGTGCCTATATTCCCAGTCAGTACACAGTCTTGGTATTGCAGATAATCTTATTCCTACCTCTGCAACGGCAAAGTCTGCAAACACCAGCTGCTCGATACCGTTAGTCCCATATGGGACCAACATGAAGTTGTCGGCACCATCGCCATCAATACCATTCGCCATGAGCTCTACGGGTGCGACATCGTCCCAGAAAGCCTCAACGGTGGGGGCGGGAGCAGCGTTGACGACAGCATCGCCATTGTAGTTCTGAAGAACGAGACCATTGAGGTCTGGGCCGGCGGAATTGGCGACATGAAAGTTAAAGACGCGACATTGAGCAGCGGCCTGGGAGGCAAGGAAGAGGGCAGAGGCGATGAGGGGGTTGGTGAACTTCATGATTGATATTATTGAGTAGTTGGGAGTGCGGGTATACCTTGATGCTGGATTGAGGTGAGCGGGAAAGGTAGGGAGGGAAGAGACATTTGAGAGGATGGCTGAAGGAGTTTATATACACTTTCTTCTTTCTTCTACGATTGCTCTCAAAGCACACCTGATGGTGTTATCAGAGCCTTGTCGAGTGCTCATCTGCGACAATGGTTCTGCAACATTCCATCCAACCAGAGCTCGAGGGGGCGGTTCTTGGCCGCAGTCATCGCCAAGCGAATATATTGATATCACAGTTTCGAGAATAACATGATTCTGGCTTTTGGGGGCCATTTGGAATACGATATATGGGACCACAATGGCACACAGCTATCCAGACCCGAATAGAGCATCTCAACCCGGGAAAGATGAATGCTGTAAACATTCAGCCAGCAGAGGAAACGATTTTCTCCATATCAAATTCCATCACGGGCGATAGTAACCAGATCTATCTATTGCCTTGCAAGTATTTGGGTTTGGAATCTGACAGTCAATATCGGTCGCCTCGCAGATAGTGTACCTGTCCTGGTAACTACTACCCGCCCGGCCCCACGAGTGATGACAGATGACGGATCACCAATCTGACTCGGATGGATTGCGCCGCATCCGGATATTCTGATTGGCTGTACGGGGTCGGTAATGATGGGTTTGTAATAATCATCATTCCTCGCACTCTGATTAGTAGCAATATCTATACGACCTTCCGTCGCACAACTCCAACAACAATATCGGCACTGTCTACATACATGTTGTAAAAACGTCCATCAGACAGCATCCGTCCCTCCCCGCGTGCACCGTCTATAACAAAAATAAAACCTGCTCACTTACCGGTGAAGAGAAAGCTAATTTTTGCGGCATTTTATTTATCTCTTGATTAAAATCGGCCCCCGAAATCCCCGAAAGCGCCGAAACCCCCAGAATTCCGTGTCACCATGATTAGTTGCCGTTGCCAAGACCTGCAACTAGAACAGATGAAGTCGTTACTGGACAGCCGCTTGTACCTACAATACCCGGCCGGGGGTTCTTTGAAATCTCCTGAGAGCAAGAGAGGTTAATGAGCTAAACCTAGATGCCGGGCCTCGGGTGCGTTAATAACCCGGTGAAGAGTAGCTTATTGTAAGCGAAATCTATAGGCAATCTTCACGTGGTCGGGTAGAGTAAGTAAACAAGAAGTGCAGAGTGCAGCAGAGAAGAGACATACATACCCCTGCAGACGGGACTACTCTCGGCGGAATGACTCATTAGCCGGCAGCTGCACACACCTGTCAGCATAGCTAGCAGGAATATTAATCCGGGTTGAAAAACTTAAAATCAGCCTTGTTGCGGGTGTGGATTTATGTCAGTCTCGTTCCAGGACCCATTCGGCAGTTTCCTTTTGGTTGTGGTGCACGAGAGCGAGAAGGCTTTAGGGTGCACTAGATACGGATCGCAGTATCCCTTTCTCACATCATTACAGCTAAAGACGGAGTGAGGATCTGTACCTATAGGTCTCTTCAGTAATGTCCCACCATGACTACATACATACAGCCAGTGGTATTACTTCATCTCTATTTCCCTTCAGCTGCAGATCTGACCATTCATGAATATTTCTCAGCTAGATCAGATAATTGATTATGATCGATCATCATTCAGCTTTAAACAATTAGGCATTTATTAGCAGTTAACTAGCGCACACCCCTACCGTAAAACGGTCAGCGCCTCGCACATGGAATGCTAGATGTAATGCACTTGACAGAGGCTGAAAAATTATAAAGCGATCTCTTGGCAGCACCCTCTCCAATGAGAAATACTATGCGGAGAATTAATTCGAAGCCTAAGTAATGAGGGACGTTGGGATAACGTTTAAGCTACTGGAATGTATGTTTATGGATATATGGAGGTGTACTAATATGATAAAAGTGCATTTTGGGCGGACTGTGGAGTGGTGGGTTGCACTTTGGGTCTTGTGTGTGGTTGGATGGTTGGTTGGTTGGTGTGGGTAGGGGGTGGGGGTAGGGGGTGGGGGTGAGTATAAGAATGAGCATGCAGTCCGTAAGATTTGTGTCTGGCCAACACTGCTGTGCTGATTATTTGAATTTAGTTTGGATCATGAAGGTTGAGACGAAGAATGTGATGTAGTCACATTTAGTTAGACATATCAAGCCCACCGCTGCTCGGATGAATGGAGCTTAAGAATGGGCATGGAAACGGGGTTGTCAGCTCTTACACTGGGGATCTTGGCTGAGTATCGGCTTAATGCGAGTGCAGGATCGATATGAGGTCGGTGTATGTTCTACAATGGATGTTTAAACGTTTGTCGCGTGCCTAATCCGGATTTATAGGAAGTTCCATGCGTGAACTGCTGGCGGTTGGTTCCTGCTAAGGGATTTCTCATTGGTGGCCAAAGGAGCTGGTAAGTTAGAGGAGTATATGGTGACGGATATAGATATGAATTTGAATGTTTCCTTGGCGGACGTGACGCACGCGCACGTCCACCGTATCTTTCGCTCGGAACTCTTCTGGTATCATCACGTGGGTGATTGCTGAAAGCTCAAACTGGTAGATTAGTATCTACTACTAGTCCCACTCCGGATCCCCACTTCTCAAACCTACCGCTATATATACTTTATATACACCCACGTATATAGAGCCTCCACACCACGCGCACGAGTCACATCAGTCGCCATCATGAACTCCCTTCCTTCTTCACTCTCCCGCTTTCAATCATCCGGAACTACATATGTACGCCCCGTAGGGAGAACAACGTCAGAGCAGAGAGATCCAAGTAAGATACTCGGACCAAAGTGATAAAAGCAAAGGAAAAGCTGAGGTTATTAGCGCTATAGCACCGGACGTTAATAATTGTCTTGGCCTCTTAAAAAAGATTCAATATCTCGTGCCCATATAGCTAGTCAAGATATATATGTTTTACTATGTTTCCAGATCTAGACATAAATCATGTACATACTCGGGGTAGGCAGAGACGGATACATTGAGGTACCTCTGCCACGTGAGGGGCCTTTATTGAGCAATTGATCAGCAAAGAAGGCTGACGCCTCGAGGTGGTACGTACTCAACGCCTACTCGTGGCAGACAGTTGCTATATTTAGACCTATCACAAAGTTCAATCCATGGATTTGAGTGCCGTGATGACAAGAACACATGTTGATTCGACATCTTGGGGGTCATTCAGATTCATATATATATATATATGTGTTCCTGCTGAACGGATTATATATCCCCTAGGAACTGACCAATTACTATGGAATCCGTGCAACGTCAGGTTATCAAGACTACTATTTAGCTCCATACTAAGGGCCTGTTTGGTTGCAACGAAAGTCAATCCATGGATCGCAAAAAAAAATAAACCGAATTATTGCCATTCCATGGGTTGCAAGTAAAACTGGTGGTGGTTTGGTTGGGCACTATTTTTCTCTCCATTAATCCTCATTATAATCAACTTTATAACTCTATCAGTATCACTCCAATATCTATTTTTTTCATGAGATATGACATCTAGTGATAGGAAAGATCATAGCCATGTAAGAATTGAGATTTTAGAAATTGTTGTGGTGGTGGCTTTGGGTGTGGTGTTTCTTAATTCATGCGAAACTATCCGAACTTTACCTCTGGAGGTGCAGTTCAGATTACGGCCTTTCTGTGGTTTCGCTCGGTTTCAGATGGTAACAGCTGTTGTTGGCAAACACTTCAAATATTTATGCCATGGATTGGGCTTAATCCATAGATTGAGCCCAATAATCGTTGCAATCAAACGGGCCCTAATTATAAGGGCTAACTATAAACTCAGGGACTTGTGCTATTCATATCCTAGAGACAAAGAGATTGATTTCATAATGTAGTAAAATTCACAAACCCTCGGTTAATTAATGAATTAAACAAAAAAACAAAAACCCTCGGTTGTGACAATACGAGTGATATCTGGTGATTAAGGCAATAGATCACATACAACGAGCATGAAAGTCTCTGAGGGGAGCATGCTCAATTATCATTCAGTTAATCATGTGAGTATAAACATAGAGTATTTGACCGTTAAGTGGCATGATAACATGTAAATACATGTATGCACTAGTGTTTCGGTTTCAGACCAGGTAAGACGGTAACAGTGTTGGGCACGAGCCTGTTCGAGACGAGCCTGACATAGAGCTCGGGAGCATGGCTCGACCTCCCATGAGTATAGCTGAAAATAGTCATCTCCATATGCTTTTTTCATTTCTAGGGACAAATTGAGAGGATCAATAAATAAGAAAGAAAAAAAATATTGAATCGGCTCCGTCCGGGATTCGAACCCAAGGTCTCCCTGCTGTCGTCATAAGTTTCCTAAATCAGGGTGCATAGACCACTATGCTAACAGAGCTTGAAGGTCTGCTTGCTGGGGGAGATAATAAGCTCTAGTATACGTAGTAGTAGCAAAGAATGAATGACTTAGGTTACAAGTACATGTAGCTCGAGCTCTGATTACATATCTAACTGAAGATAGTCATCTTGATATACTTTTTCATTTCTAGGGACGAATTGAGAGAATTTATCTTCGATATATTAATTTATTATCCAGCTTTGCCATCACCAACTCATTATTTATAGTCCAAAAAGCTCGAGCTTTTCCAATATTAGCTCGAGTTGGCTTGAGCTCGTAAAATGGAGAGCTCAAAGTATTCGAGCCTAAACCTCGAGTCCAATTCTCGAGCCAGCTCGGCTTGTGCTCAACAGTAGACGATAATGAATGTGTCCAATCTCATAATTGGACAAAAGGCTAGGGGGGATCATAGTTTACAGTCAACTGTGAAAGTCTTGAGTTTTTGTGATTTTGAACCGGGAGCTATTTTAACCCTTTTCCGACATCATTTCCATCTTAATTGCAAGGTGCCATGACCAAGACCGTGCAAAATCTTTGCCATCTCTCCCAGCATGTACCCCTTCCAGCTTCGTTAGCATAGTAACATGTACTTTATATAGAAACTGAGATTCACGGCGAGGACCTAGATCCGATTAATTCCCGGTACGAAGCTACATCTTTTTTTATCCTATAAATTCGCAGTTTTCCCCCACCACCAGCTTTAAAACCCATAGTGCTGCTTCCTCAGCAGCACGCCCTACCTTCTCCGAGTCCCCTGGTCTCACGGCTCAGAAAACTTTGGAGTTGACAACTATGTCTCTATCACCAGTTTCTCGTTTCCTTTATTTTTTTTTGGAACGGGACTGGGAAGAGCAATCGGTGGTGGGTTAGGGTTTTTTTGTGGATTTATTTCAATTCATGGCAATTCTTCTGTAGATAGTATTTTCTTATTGGAGACCTATAAATAGTCCTTATTTGTCTCGAAAGTCCCAAGACTCTCGACGTATTATATATTTTCGAAATTTTAGTAGCTGAGAGAGAAATTTAGTCGATATATCCAACCGATAGAGCCACGTCCTAGATTAGACATCTCAATACCCGCTTTGAGAGGCCTCGTGCCGGATCGCGGACCATACGCTACTTACTACATGTAATACTCCACCTAGTCTTAGCTTCTTACCGTCCCTTATTATCACTGGAGAGTGCACGAGTGTGATCCCCTTATAATAGCTTACCCTATGCATATGGCGTTAAGTGTCGACACTAGATCTTCTTATTGGTATTCGTTCTAATTTCTTCTCTTTCCCAGTATTTCTGCAGTCTTTGGTTCCGTACGAAGAAGAGCAACTTCCTTTCCCACCCAATTACGGCAGATGCTGTCTCTTAAAATATACTAACCCTAACCCTGTGTTCTTTTTTGACCATTATCAGCCACGCCCCGCCACACGTGCACGCCACTACGATTGTACTACTTTAGAGCGTGAGAACCTATGCAACGACGGCCACTGTCTGCGGACTTGACTCGATAGGTGTACTCTTTGCGGTAGTTCTGAAAACTTTGAACAAGACTTTTGTGCCTCTTTTCATCTTTAAGCTTTGTTGGCCCCAGCTAACTCTAATCCTCATAGATACGCATATAATTCCACGATCCAGGATTCTATCTGCAAGTATAAGAGAGGGGTTGGTATTCATTGAGTGGGTACTGTCTGTTGAGATTTTCTCCGTATGAGGTTTTCTGTAGTACAGGAACCCTTCAACAAAACCTCAGGTGCCAAAAACAAAGGGTTTAGATTGGCGATTTCTAGTGCAATGATACATATGTACGCCTGGAAGTTTTTTTTCATCGGAAGATACACTTCCTTACCCCTTACCTTAGGAAACAGGTGATACAACCACCAGCGCAAAGCCGGTTGGCAATGGCTGCAGAAAGTGAAGTTAACTATCACCAAAACCTAATCTTGCCCACAGCGCACCTGAAACCCCCACTGCAAGCCCTCTTCCTCAGGCTGCAGGTGATTCTTGAATCTTCCAAGCTCTCACACCCATCCCCAACGGTGAGAGAAAAAAACTCACTTGATTACATCCACGTGGCCACCAGAGTCGGCCATGGATTTAGGGTCTCAAAACTGCCGCTGTAGCTCTCGTGGTTCGGATGTCGGCCGGGCTTAAAATTCGGGCTTACAGACCCGAGGAGAGGGGTGGTGATCGACGTAATAATCGGAGTTCAAGCATTTGGGGCCCCAGGTCAACAGTGCCAATCATCGGAGATTCATTGGATCGACGGTCGTCATGGATGTACTGGCTGGGGTGGCGATTTAGACTTTGGATTAAGGGTGGGAGAACTTAATTTTTGCAGCTGCAGAATTGTTGGTAATTTGTGTATGCATGGCGTTATCTAGGCTTTCCATGTGTGAAGAAGCAACCGGCTTTATAAGTACACTAAAGTTTGGGTTTTACATAGAACGGTCTTGGTTGACATGCTATTAGTAAAATAAATAGACGATATCGTTGTCCCCAATGTCTGGGTCGATCCTGTTCTTTGGTCCTTATGTGTTCAATCCAGTTTTTCGAGCCACTCGCAGCTGAGATCTCGAGGCTTGTATCAAATGATACGGATACCAAAGACTACCTAGACGATCTTTACCGCTAGCACAGGCACAAACCGCTATTCTTAGTCAGTGCGACTTGAGAAGCCAGAGATTGTGGAACGATAGTTCCCAACCCTTTGTTCAACTAACCCTAGCCCTGAGACGCCACCCAGGGTGAGTGAGTGATGCCACATGACTCACGCCAAAAGCTGCACCTCACCCATCACATTCGAGGCTGAATGGTCTCGGCTTTATACAGATGGTGCCGGCTAATATTTTTTCTTGTTCTTTGTTGGCAGAATTTCTGCACCTTTTTTTCCCAGTCGTGATCGGATCCATTTGAGGGAATGCTTGGCGAAGTACTATTTTTAGTAGCATATCTGGCTCTGATGCCATTGGTTGCGTAAAATGCAAATATAGTCATCAACGACATGCGCATTTAGCGAGAACCTCTTTGAGGAGATTTCCAGAAGGTGGAGGGACAATAAACACAGTCATCTAGCCAGTGGATGGATAGCCTTTCTTCTCGCTATTGAGGTTGATATCGATGAAAAACTGGAAATGTTATATATAGCTAGACTCGATCTTATGCCGAGTGGGAGCGGAATAAACGACGGAGTTTTCCACTTTTCTAGCGGGGTAAGTAGGTACTTTCCATAGTGCCTACATAGCCAAAGAACATGATGGGCGGTTTTCAGTGTTCATGAGTGTTCAGTATTAGTGATATTGTGTTCCTTGACTCGCAGGGTTCTCCATACGGTGGCTATCTACGTACCTGTATCTAGTACGTAGACCTCAGTACTATTGTAAGCCGCCTTACTTGTACTGTATACGTATTCTCCCTATTTAACCATATACTGGCTTGTCCCAAGGTTGATTGATTTGGCTTACATACCACCAATCCGCAGCGCAGAGAGCAACAGAAATCCTACGACTCGCCCCCATGAGCACCAGCCTTACAGAAGCCTTCCCGTCTTATCCATCGGACCTTAAATAAACTTATCGCGATTCTGCATAGATACGAGCGAAACGTTGAAGCAGTTGCTTTTTAACACGTTATTACCTGGCTGTGCAACAACCCCTTCGTTTCTAAAAATAGTAACATGGCTGAGGTGGGTAAGTAGAGTGCGACAGTTAGTAGACACACTAACCCTATGTACTCCTATCGAGATCTCACTTCCAACTAAAGACTTTTTTTTTGTGCTTGCAATTTTCACCGCGTGCCATACAGGCTTTCCAGCGATGAAAAGCTTTAATTCGTCAAGATAATCTTTTGAGACAGCGGAAGCCTACTGGATGGCACCCGAATTCATGATCAAGGCAGTAAATGTGCCGCTCCGCAGTCATTCGGGTTTAAGCTTTCACGTATGCATGCCTTGTTAGGTACCAGGTGCATAGCATTGCAATAGATGTATATGTAGTACCCGGATCCAGCGTCCCCAGAGTAAAGCCCAAAGTGAAGCTCAACATTCCTAGCAATCCTTTTAGCAGATCGTGCTGATATTTAACACGATGTACACCAAACCTCTCGAGCGTTCCAGTAGTGGAACCACTGATACTTCAACCGCTTCTTACCGCGCGATGGAAAAAGTTATCTCTAATAATCGTTCTTGCGGATGGCTCATCATCCGTGTAATCCAGATCATTACTTGTGTTCTAGTGCTTGCACTCTCAATATTTATTTTAACTTCGACATTGACTGAGGATCATATATGGCGAGGATTTGAGGGGGATACCGAGGTGGTTGTGTTGGGGAATGCGACGATGGAAACTATGCAGAATTTCTTTCCGTTATATATTATTCTTGGTGTGGTTAGTAATTTTCTGTCCATATCTCTGAATGGGAGACTGATTTGAAGGGTGAAATTTACTAGTCGGGGCTGTCATTCTTGTCATGCTTCATATCCCTTATTACGTATTGCTGCCACAGACTCAGTATTAAGCTGGTCGTCTTTTGGGACTTCCTCATGGCGACAGGCTGGATAATTGGCTCTGCGTTTGTTGGAACGTTTATCAACTCCCAAGGCGGTTGGGGAGAGAAGTACTGGCTGATTACCCTCTACAAAGTCAACCTTGTCCTTAGCATCCTCTCCATGTGAGTTCCTGGCCCTTCTTCCTCTTTTACTATTTACCTCTTTACTAACATATTCTCATAGCATCCAATTCATTATCTCGGCCGTCCTCGGGATTCGTCTTCACAACGCTTCAAAGCGGAGGGCAAACTCAACCTACTATGGCCCCATGCGCACCCCGGCTCCACCCTACACCTCAGCGCAGGAGAACGGAAGTGCGACTCCAGTTATAGGCAGGCCGTACCAAAGTTATAGTAACTTCCTGACGGTCCCCCCGCCAGAGCCCCCATTGCAACCACCGGTATATAGGCCATCGGGGGAATGGGAGGCGGTCTTACTCGATGGGAAAGACGCGCCAAGTTCCAGATAAGTTTAGTATAGTTCGTTCTGTTCAAGAGAGAGGGACGATCCCATCGGTTTTTTCAATTTGTATATTTCGTTTTGTTTTTGTTTTCCTTTCTGATTTTGGTGTTTGGGGTATGATATGGGCGGGCTCGACAGCTCTGGTGTTTTTCTTTTGTAAGATGGCACGATTTCCTAAGGACAATCGTTTTGGGATGTGTTTTACTCTGATCTTGACGAATCAGCAACAAAGTAAATAAATCAAATCACTCTTTGAAGTTACCTTTTTCTGATGATCACTCGCCGTTCTGAGCGGAGACCGAACAATATCACCAAGTTTTCAACTCCAGCTTCTATGCAGGCATTATTTTGTATTCGAGTCCATAACCTAAGAAATAAAAAAGATATTGCGACATACCGAGCTAGTTCTGGTCTTGTGCAGCAGGTATAGCCCAAAAGGCGTCTTCCAGTCGGGATGTCTGATTTCGGGCAATATATTAATCATTTCTCTGAGTTACGGCGAACCTATCCACTCGATCATCAGGTTGGACGTGATAAGAAGAGATATATGAATGAGAGAATCACTAACCACTCCCATCTGATGGGGTGTTGATAATATCATCTTGACAAGGCCTCTAGCTTTGAATCACGCCTGGCGCTTCGTCTGATTAACTACCTGACAGATCGATGGATCCGTCCGGACAGCTGAGGGATAGGTCCTATCAGAGATATTATCCCTGGTGCTCGTTCTTATTGAGTGACATTAGAGAATTTCTGAATATAGAGTTGAGGTTTGTTATCTTGCTTTCGGTACGTTTTTCGTGTGATTGAGTGGGGTTGGGGTGGGGGGTAGCGACGTAGAACCGAAGTCAAAATCCAATCGCGTCACGCTTACATTCTGGGTTCATTTTGATAGGTTAGCTTATTGCAGGATTACTTTAATTTATCAGCTTTTCACAACCTAAGAATTTTTTTTCGTGTACTGAGCAGCTTCTTAAAGGAATCTAGATCTCTGAAATGATCTAAATCTACTTGAGTAATTAATATGTGATAATATCAAAATCTTGCATTGGATAGCGATCCGAGTGACTTTCCATGATGCATGCTGGAGCACCAATAATCACTCGCTATGTGTGCAATGATTGATTTGATGGATTAATTCGTGCTGTGCAATGATTAAAGTACTTGTTGAAAAATAAAGTATGATCTCTAGGTAACAACGGTTTCGCCCATAGCTCTACGGTTTATCACTGCCACAAAATTCCATTTCAAGTAGAATAGAATTCTTAATATGAATTGGTTGATATGAGCATTATTCTATAGAACTATCCCACTTTTCTCGATGCCACCCGGTTTTCGAGATTTACCTTTATATTACACTCTTCTTTTTGGTAAATACACTCGACACAAGAAAATCCAATCTGATAGATTGTATATATAACTTCACACCTTATATCACAAGGACTCAACATCGAGTAAGTGACTGTCCAAATTCTATCGATGTGCAGGATCAATTACAGGTTACATGCGCATAACTCATGTGCATTTGGCATCGAGCTAGCGCTATTTGTGCGTCACTTGGTAGTCTGATATACATAAGGTTTTAGGGAACCATAATGCATATTTTACTCATTTATAAGCGTTCTCCTCATCTCCTTTTCTCCATCATCCTTCAAGAATCTCGACATCCTGAGTGCATAAGAGCAGCCATTCACGATAGATATCAAACTGTCCTTTCAGTCCCTTCAGATTGCCAGACTGTCTAAGTCCGTTTCATATATCGTCATTTACACTCTCTTCTTCTTTTGATCTCCATCACCATTAACCAACGCCATCAACACCATAGTGGAATAGAGATGGCTTCCGGGTACCATCTTATCACCCTGTTCCTGGCATTTCACCTTCTTTCCTCCTTTGCGTCTTACTCGATTGCGTTCCCCGTCGAGCCCAGGGACACCCTCAACAACCGCTGTGGCCCCACTCTTGGTGGTAATTGTCAGTCAATCAGTGGTGGCTCGCAATGTTGCTCACAGTACGGCTATTGTGGTGATAGCGTTGGACACTGTGGAGTTGGCTGTCAACCAGGTTATGGAAGATGCACTAGTGGCACACCCACAGCTCCAACACCAACACAGCCAGCACGGCCACCAGTTGGGGGAAGACCCCTCCTTGGTACCGTACCCTATGGTTCCCTTATATATTCGTGTAACACTCCTGGCACGATTGCTTTGACGTTTGATGATGGGCCTTATACGTGAGTACTTCCTCTGGCACTAGTGGCTATCATGAGTTGGCAGTGCAGTTACTGAAAGAGTCGGACATTAGACATACTCCCCGGCTTCTGGAGATACTTAGATTACGAGGCATCAAGGCAACCTTCTTCATAACGTTAGATAAACCATGATTTAACTTCTCAAGCTGTGCACTCACTAATATCATAATGTAGTGGCAATAATCTGAGCAAAGGGCAAATGGACGATCGCTCTACAGCCTGGCCTTCAGTTATCAGCAGAGCCTACAATGAAGGCCATCAGATCGCTTCTCACACGTTAGTATACCGCCTCACAATCTTTGAGTGCATTGCAAGACCTGACAGATGTGAGCATAACTAGGTGGGATCATCGAGACCTGAACACTCTGACAGAGACTGAGCGACAATATCAGATGACCCGAAACGAGCAAGCGTTCCTTAGTATTAGTCAGTCTACCCCCTCATCCGCTGCTGAAATTCTCTAACGCGTATTTAGTTGGCCGCTACCCAACTTATATGCGGGCCCCGTTCATCCAGTGCAATAGAGAGTGTCTGAGGACAATGGAGAGGCTGGGATACCATGTGGTGGTGTGGGATCTTAACACTGATGATTACAACAATGTCACCCCGGAGTTGATACAGAGATCGAAGGATAATGTGGACACGGCATTGGAAGGATTGAACAGCAATTACAATAGTCTCTTGAGCATAGCGTAAGTTGGATTGCAAGAAGACTTTAAATGACTGCTAACTGTGGCGGGACAAGGCACGATATACATGATCAAACGGTTAACAATTTGACGGATTACCAGATCACTGCTGGATATCAGCGTGGGTATAGATGTAGGGTTAGCCTATCCTATTTACGCCGATAATACGCTAACTTATGAACTACAGACGTGACTGTCGGGGAATGCCTTGGTGATCCACAGAGTAATTGGTACAGGACACAGTGATATATGAAGGGATACTTAGAAGGGGACTTTGCTTTTAAAACTTGTGAGAGACTGGGTGAAAAATGAACGGATTGCTGTCAGTCATCACTGAACTAGCTTGGTGGTGTCTGATATCAATTACATTACTCAACATTAAGAATAGAAAATAATTGCACAAGAAAAAAGAATACCACAAACTCGTCGTGCGATATGACTGACGAGACTTGCTTTACAACATAAGAGAAACTCCAGCAACTGCAACGAAACAAGTCAAATGCAGCAATAGGGAGGCGGGCGCCGGCATGCCAGGCGAAGATCCAGTGGAGTCTGTCGAATTTGCCGTGGTCAGATCTGTAATCCCATCGGCGCCACGGGAGGAAGTTGTGGTGACCCCAGTCGAGGAAATCTTCTTCTCATCGTCGAAGGGGTACATTGATCCCAGCTGGAGAAAAGGAAAAGACGATGTGACATTAAGATCCGGGCATACGTCATTGATGACAGCAATAATGTCTGCCTGTGTGGCGTTGTTTCCCTGGAATTCGCCTGTGCTGATCACGGATAGTAGCTCGGACTGCATGAAGCATGTGGCTTCACTGCAAAACGTCCGGTTCCTCTCGATCGCCTCCTCTTTCGATAGGTGCGAAAAGCGCGACGCCTCAATGGAGGGCCACACGGCTACATCCGCGTCTAATTCCGTGAGTGTGCAATACTCTGTCGAATTCCTGCCCACCACAAATCCTATTAGCCTCCCCATCCTCTCTCTCCACACTATCGGCGACTACATAGACACACTTACAGATCTCTTGTGCACTTCCCCCAAAACATGTAATCCAGCCACTCGGCCTCTCCATCCCGGTAAACAAACCCAAACGCACTTGCGCCCGAACCCGCTCCCGGCACAGTTAGTCCCGACTCGTTCAAGATCGCTTCAGGGTCCGTGAAGTCGTTATACATTGCCGAAAACAAGGTATCAAAGTCCGCCGAGCAATCCGCCTGCACCGCAGTCCTCCACGATGCTAACGAGTTGTAACAGGACTCCGTGCACACATCTTTGTAGAGGGCGTGGTATGCCGTGGCCGGGATTTCCTTCGTGATTGCGGTGTAGTTTACGTAGTCGGGCCCGACAAAGACGAGGGAGTTTGAGCAGTTCAGTGATGCGGAGTACGCTGATGCGCACTGCTCCGAGAGGACACCCGAGGGGATGATGCCGTTGAACGTCTGGTTGACGATCGTGATGCCGTTTGAGGCGAAGGTCGAGTTGAGAGAGAAGAGGGCGTGGGTTAGGGGAAGGAACCCGACGGCGAGGGCTGCCAGAAAGGCATGTGGTGAAGGCATTCTTGCTGTCGAGCCTGGCGGTGGCCTCCTGTGTGTGGTGGGTGTGTTGCGCGGGTGTGGGTGGGTGGGTGCAGAGTGATGGAATCCGGGGGAGGGGTGAGCTTAAGGGGAGCGAGGAGTTAAAAGAGTGACATCCAGTGTGTGCTTATTTTTTACTTGAATGAACGTATAGGGTGAGTTGCGGCAGAACGAACGAACGGACGGTGGTAAGGCTGTGGAGTTGTGCAAGGCCAGGCAAGCAAGTCAGGTATGTAAGTATGTAGGTCAGTCAGAGAGGTAGCCCGGCTAAGGGGTGGTCGTGGCCGTGGTTATGTTGATATGGATGGCGAGGCATGGGGCGGCCTGTCTGTTTGTCTATGCTCTGGCTCTAATCTCACCTCGACCTGCCTACTACAGATCTACCGACCGACACAACGAACCACGCGGGGTGCAGAATAGGGGTTGATCCCCGCTCAGTCGCCAGGGTCCAGCACGGGTCAATTTGTGGCACGGGTGGCGGTGCAGATGTCACGATGCCCGTTGAGATGGAGATGAGATGGGCGGTGCAGGGACCATCGCTGACTGTTATCAAACCCCAGAAGGTATTTCATATTGATTGAGCCACACAAACACATATATGATGCTAATTTCAGAACATATGAAGCAAAGTAAGGTTGATCTACGTACCCTCTCAAAGTCCCGCATCCCCAAAAAATATTCAAAACAACCTCTCAGGTCAACCATGGGTTGAGCCAGCTGGTCCTGGCTCAAGAACTTATGATGGGAATATCCTTACCCACAAACCGCTTTGGAATGCAGCCATTAAACATGGCACTTGCGGAACTTTCCCCGGCAGATGGCCCGATCCACACCGGGATCCCAAGATTTTCGGTCTTGGCTCGCTGAGCCTGATGAACCCCTAACCCTGGATTGGTTGGATAAGGTCGATAACAACCTTTTGCGCAATACATAACGCAACAAACACGAGTGGGGCAGAAATAATGTAATCTCACTGGTCAATGCTATGAGAATTTCATTTTTCTGGCGGTGGTGAATTGAGACCCAACGAAATTTGACAAACCGGAAGCAGTATATACTTATACCCTCGGTATTATATGAGATTTCTTCTGAGGCATGTCAATGATTAACCAATCACCTTGTTCATACCCGGGAAATTTAAAAGCTAGAGCGGATTTGATACACGTATTTTTTTTCTTTCGAGGTCAAGCAAGAGCCTTGCATTATATGCGTAAAGAGATGATTAAGTACATAACGACAGTCAATATTTAAAGTTTTTTTTTTTTCTTCTTTCCTGTTCGGCAGACAGTTTTTTTTGGTTTTTCCTTCCCCCGTTCCCCTAGTTCTTGTCGAGATAATCACATAGGAAAAATATGTAGCTACATGTCGTGACGAATATCGACCTCTGGGTTCCTTTACTAGTATGACATAGAGTAGTACTCCCCGGAAAGGACTAGAGTACGCGGACCAGTTAGTGACATATTCATACACTAAACACGACTACAGCTACGCCAATGCTCCAGAATGATCACTTACAAACAGGGTAATCCAGGCCAGAAAGGTAAGTAGGAGTCCCGGTGCACTGAGGGCCAGACCAGATGACAGCCGACGGATACCCCACAACCCAGGTGTAGGCAATGAGGTGGAAGTTGCAGCAGTACTTGTTGCACCAGAGGCTTCTGTTGTACTGGTAGAACCATATCTGGTACCAGTCTACGGTCGAGCTGCTGAGCGTGTTCGTGCCAGTGCTTGTTTCGGTGGTTCCCTGGCTTTCGGAGGCGTCGCCGGCGTCGAATGTGACGATGCCTTGGTCCTGGCGGGCGTCGAGGATGGGGCTGGCGAGGGTGGTGAAGAAGAGGAGGAAGGTGGCAAGGAAGGCAAGGAGTGCTTTGGGATACATCTTGAAAGTCAAGTAGCTTTGTAGAGGGCGTTATGTGTGTATGAGGTATAGAATACTAGCTGTGTTTGAGTCGATGATGGTGGATAGAAGAAAGGAGAGCTAGAGCTGGATATGCGGAAGTTTATATAGTTGATTTCTCGCTGATATTTTCTATCGGTCGATACCCAAAAGACATCACGGAGAGAATTGTTGTCAGTGCATGAGTTGATGATCGGTGCTATCCTGATCGACCTTGAGTTCACAACCCCGCTCTCCAGTTCTCGTATTGCCTTGAAGTGCCCTTGGAAGTATACACTTTTCACGATTCTCAACTAACTGCTGAAGCTGAAGATTGATATGCCAAGCTTCGCACTGCCTCCACTGAACAAGAACATTAATAAGACACTCTTCAAAGTGTTGATTCCTTGTTTATCGATAGGTGGAATCGGCGATCACTCAAAGCACCTGTCGAGCTCTCGTTGGATGAAAAGAAACGATAGTACTGGTTAGTGATGGACAAAACCACGATGTACTTGTTCTATCGCCAATAACAGGACGGGGTTTTTCATTTACCAATAATTGAGATATGTGTTGTGCAAAACTCGATCAATACCGGTACCGCAAATAAGCCCAAGGGCTAATTAACTTAAAAAGAAATGTATTCGGAACTTAAGGGCAAGGGCAATTATGATATATATGTACGCCCGTGACTTAAGCCAATCGACGTCGACAACATCGTTTCCGATCCCTATCTACCGCAAATTTTGAATTGTATCCTACTGACTCCCATTCTCCGAAAGTTCATGAGACTGGGTCGATGATTACTTAAAAACCTTTTAATATGTTAGAAAAAGTAGCAGCCTGTCCCAAAGCATCATGAAATCACAGGTGCAGTTCGAACCCACACGTGATATCGATGTTTCTGCCCTATGGTTATTTTTGGAATCTTGCACCTGAATCCCTATTTGCACCTGAATCCCTATTTTCACCTGAATCCCTATTTTCACCTGAACGTGCAATAAATAGAGCCTTTGCGCAAAGGGCTCGAATGAAAAACCCCCGCGTAGGAAGAAAGACCTGACAACGGCTTGGCAGGTGCTATTTGCAAATGATCCAATCCATCATTCATGTGGCGTACCTTTTCTCCAACAAACACTGGGACGGGTAAATACCCTAGCTTAATTTTCAAGCCTTTTTGCCTCTGCAAGATAGTGCCAAGTTCTCGTATCGAAGATGCCCTTTCACTGAATCTAGTGGCGGTGATCTGGCAAATAGTAGATGATTAATACAAGTATATATTTATGGAGCGGTAAATGTGTCAAAAGTAATTTTACCAACGGTAGTAAATTATTTACCACCGGTGGTATAAGCACTGGATTTCAGTCATTGTGTCTGCACGCCATCCTACATTAGTATATTTCCCACCGGTATAAACACTGGGTTTCGGTCTTTATGCTGCGCTATACTACATAAATAAATGTTCAATCATTAATGCCAAAACTTATGAAAATTTCCCACCGGTGGACAATTTTCATATATATTGGCATTATATGGCCCCTTTTGGCCAAAAGATCTGTGCTTTTATCATAAAAATTAGGATTATAGGTATAAATACTGGTATTATTTTCACCACCGGTGGTAAAATAATTTACTACCGTTGGTAAAATTACTTTTGACATATTTACCGCCCCATATATATTGGTCACAATAATTTTCCTCACAACTAATGGAATTATGTAGATTCATATCCAGCTATACTTAGGTATTTATTCCGTCAATGATCGTGAAACTTGTACAACGAGCTATCACAAAAATTGGATTTAACGTCAGCTGAAATTAAAGCGGTACCAAGGATAATAAACTGATATTATTGTGTTAACATCCTATGAACAGTGAAACGATCAATGGTTTTTTCAGGCTGTGAATTTCGAGTGAAGGGAACTTTGTTACTGGACGCCCTGTTCCATTCAGCTACCAACCATTTTTGCTGTCGCCATTATTGCCCGGTTAATATCCATAACTGGCACAGTAATGTGAGTAAATTTTTTCTGAAAACTACCCGAATACCAGTCCATAGTGTCGGAAATCCCTAAAACTTAAAATTCATATGGTCACCAATCACTAATTTCCCTCATAAATTCGCACTTGCACCAACAGTGACTCCTTCACTCGTTATCTCGAACCAAAACTGCCCAGTCCCACCATTAACCTCACTTACCGCCCTCTGCAAGCCCCCACCCAGTCCCACTGTATCTGAGAAGCCCACAAACCTCCTCTCCTCATCCTCCCCAGACCGAAAGTGTCGTAGCACAATCTTCACGTTGACAAACGCATTCCACGGTGCAGGTAACGCATTTCTTAAGTAAGGCCTTTCTCTAGGTGGCTTTTCCTCTACCAGGGACCTCGCTCCACGCAAGGGAGGTTGTGCATCTAGATCACCACCCCGCCACCCCAAAAATCCAAGGTTCGTGACTACTACATAGGCGCCCAGCGCTCCGGCCACCTCCTGTAGCTCCCGCACAATACTACTGTACCGCTCCTGCAGATCAATCCAATCCGGGTGCCCTTGCGATAGCATGACGGCATGATAGTCATTCCAACGGTCGCGCCATATGAAACTTGAGATGCCGTCGATGAGGATGCTGTCAATACGGCGCTTGGAGGATTGGTGCTCGGTGGTGCAGAGGTATGATTTCAGAGACTGAATCGTGAGTAGGAGCTGTGCGGAGGATGTCGGGCGAAAAATGTGGACGTGTGAAAGAGCGGTTTTGAGAAGGCCATGGAGCTGAATGCTCGAGATTGACGGAACTTGGAGGTACTGTCTGGCGCATCCCCGCATTACCTCGTATAGCCTGTTGACAGAGAATTGCGACTTGCAGTCGATTATCACGACTGCGCGACCCTTTCCCCCAAGTTTGGAGGGTAGAGTTGCGACAGCGCAGATGAGATATAGAAGGTGTGTTTTGCCGCAAGAGCCGCGAGATGTGAGTTGAATTACGGGGAGGTGAAGACGTTTTGGGAGGGCCTTTTGAGCTGCTGTTAGGGACGGGTTGAGAATAAGATTGAGAAGGGCGTCGATTGCAGGAATTTGAAGGAGATTTTGATTGAGATGGTCTTTGAGCCGTTTGCTATTCATGAACTACAATTTTACCCAATTAATGAAATAACAAACTACAATTATACCCCAGTGGTTGTTAGATTTGTTGTGGGTGGATAAGAGCTTACAGAAATAAGAGATTGACGCTTAATTTTTCCAGCCAAAGCTGGGGAGCTGAATGGGAGAGCATCTACATTTGGTGAATTTAGGGCACACATGATCGCGGGTTGGGGTTGGGGTCGTCGTGTTTATTCTCACAATCAATGACGTCGCAACGTCATTAGAGCTTATTCACCGGGCTAGAAATTACTAGTGTAGGGGTATTTTCAAGCCTGCTTCACTGACTACATGCATGACAGTATGTAGTAGTGATAAGCATGCATACACCCAACATCGTCGAGCTTACTTGTATGTAGGTACCTAGAGAAAACCCTAAATGATACATGAATTTCTGCAGATATATTACCTGGCTGCATAACTTTATAGGGGAAATCAAACACTCAATCAAGCTTTTAATGTTAAAGCAGGTGCGTAGCTTAATTGTGGATATCGTGCGCATACCTAAGAATATTAGTCGACTAAGCCTAAGGAAAGAATCCAGAAATACAGACTTCGATGGACAGGTAAATTTTCCAAGGGATACGTACCATCATTAAATATCGTTCGATGAAGATTTTGAGTACGTAGTTTCGATTTGAACTGTCATATCCCTGTAAACCGTTGTTTCAACGTAACACGAAACCTTCATCGGGATCTTGGATATTATATGTCCCTCGGCCAGAGATGGATCAAAACACAGCTCAATACGTATATATGGAAGAATTGACCCTCCCCATCCCCTCTCCCACACTATTCATGCAAACTGCCGGTTTGCCGGGTGAATAAAAAAGACTGTCCGTAGGTAAAGTAGGTGCGTGAAAACAGACATCCCATACAAACTGAGAGGATGTAGAGCAAATATATACCCTGTCAAGTAAAAACAAAGCAGGAATAGTGGGCCTTGGCGCAAGGGCCTGGCCAATAGAACCACACTGATTGACAGTAGTCAAAATCCTTCACAATCTTTGAGTACCTACCCCGCAGGGGAAAGAACGCAGCCACTGGCAGTGTCCTTACATAGATACCCCCGTACCTCTTCGCCATCGTTCCATACCTTCGTAGCCTGAGACATCGACACACAATTGGATCTTTCAATCTTGCTCACGATGAACCCCGCAAGACTATCATTGACAACGCTGCGCGTCGCAGTCAGGAGCTCGAATCGTCATGTCCAACGTCGAGGACTCGCTACTCTCTCAAGCGAGCCGGTCAATGTTGTCGCTGAACCAAAGTCGTCTTCCTTCTCACCCCTCCAAGATGCGCTTGCTGCGAAGGAATCCAGGAACAATTGGACAAAGGCCGAGATTGAGAGCATATACAACACAGGCACACTAGAATTAGCCTTTGCTGCTGTAGGTATTCCTGTCTTCCGATATATGGAATACGTCAGGTCAATTGACTCATCCGCTGCTATGTGTAGGCAACAATCCACCGCCGATTCCACAACCCGTCCTCAATCCAGATGTGCACGCTCATGAATATCAAAACTGGTGGCTGCAGTGAAGATTGCTCATACTGTTCCCAATCTTCCCGCTACGACACGGGTCTCAAGGCCACTAAACTCTCCAACGTCGAGGCGGTCCTCGAGGCCGCCAAGATTGCTAAAGCAAATGGTAGCACCCGATTTTGCATGGGCGCAGCATGGAGAGACATGCGAGGTCGTAAGACGAACTTGAAGAGAATTAAGGAGATGGTTTCTGGTGTTAGGGCGATGGACATGGAGGTGTGTGTTACGTTAGGAATGATTGATGATGAACAGGCGAAGGAGTTGAAGGAGGCTGGGTTAACAGCTTACAACCATAACATCGATACCTCGAGGGAGCACTATCCTAAGGTAATCACTACACGCTCATACGACGAGCGTTTGAACACCATCTCGAACGTCCGTGATGCTGGAATTAGTGTGTGCACGGGGGGTATTTTAGGACTGGGCGAAACACAGGAGGACCATGTTTCTTTCCTGTACACTCTGGCAACCATGCCTTCACACCCAGAATCACTGCCGATCAACTCGCTGGTTCCGATCAAGGGAACACCTCTTGGTGATACCAAGCCGCTGCCCTTCACGTCGATTCTCAAGACGATATCAACTGCTCGTTGTGTCATGCCAACCAGTATCATCCGATTAGCTGCTGGTAGAATAACGTTGTCCGAAGAACAACAAGCGCTGTGCTTTATGGCCGGAGCCAATGCGATATTCACTGGCGAGAAGATGTTGACCACCGACTGTAGCGGCTGGGATGAAGATAAGGCTATGTTTGATAGGTGGGGCCTTCGTCCGATGAGGAGCTTCGTGAAGGACGAAATCACGGCACCGTAATATAAATATAAGGTGGCCATCAACATACTGAGGACGACCCTCAGATGTAAGCGACGAGGAAAGTAGGGATGCTTTTCCTTGCGATTTCTGGTTATTTTCCTTTATTTCATTGATCATCATCCATGTGTCGTTATATGAAATAGCAATAGACTTACTGCATCTAAGATACGTATATAGAATAGTGACAAAAGATGTTTTTTGTGCGTTCGATGATTTGTATCCGCCGGGTGATATTAATAAGACGCATGAGCGGCGAGGCTGTTCAGGGCCCAGGGGACGTAAGTACTAGAGGAAGCGCTTAATGTAATCCAGAGATCTCGAGGATTACAGTCCGCCCTAGTTGTTCCCGCTTGAGCGATGAAGTACATACAGCACTTGCCGTCAGGAGAATTGATTCCAATTGTGATTGCAGGAACTATGTCTTAATGAGCGCGGATTGGATTGGGATTCGGCGGGTAACTACACAGCATAAATTTAAACCACCTGTTTTACCTGAGCCTATGTCAACCCTCCTGACCCTGACGAGCCCACTCAAAGAACCATTAAATGTTGTTTTAGCGGCTTCATCTCCTCAATCCCGACCAAGCGAACCTCTGGCTACATCAAACCACGCATCATTCATTGAATTTTTCTCTGTTCTACACCATGGATGATATCTATTATAATACGATCCTAGTATTAGACCCTCTTCTTTACGGTATCTGGATATTCCTCTGGCTATGGCTTACGGATCCGGAAGAACTTCATCGGATCCTAGCCCTTTGAAGGATCATAGATGTATTACCAATTTTTCGGGAAATTGATACTCGAGGAATCTGGTGCGTAGCGTGAAATATACGTATATGTTCGAAGGTTCATATGAGGTATCTAGGTGGAGTCGACGGAAGAATTTTTGATGGAGGTGATTTGGTTTCTCAGGAGGGATTGAGATAAGTGTGACCGGTAGTTTTCTAAATGTTTCAGGTATGTGAAGGTGGTGTAGGTTTTTCTTTGAGCTTCTAAACACAATCCCCATTTTCCATCCCTTTCACCATGTGTTTAGAAACTATTTTTCTCTCCTCGCTCCTAATTCTTTTTATATTAACTTGAACCAGTAGTTTCGGATCAAAAGCTGGTATATGCACGGATGAATACCTAAAAAACGAATCCTATCCCTATTGTATCTGTCAGCTGTCATTCGCTAGGCAGAAGATTCTTATTACTGTGGAATGGAGGAGTACGCTGAGGTATGTAGCTTCCTTCATAGCGATCGGGATTCTATCATCGTGACTAATGAGCTCCTCTAGGTCTATTGCATCTTGCCATAATACCCAGGATTATTAGGCACAGGTGGACAATACTATCGAAAGCAAACTGGTTAGACTTATTGATAGAACTTCTCAATAAAGATACACATAATAGAGAAAGAGAGCTCGAGTGCTAGAGTGAGATATCACGATGTGAAACAGCTAGCTTCGGTACTGGAGGTAACAGCTGTGCGCTGTGGGGAAACTTGTCGGGTTGGAGTGACGACGTTGCCGGAAGCAATGGTGCATGGCCAGCTCCCAATACCTACCTAAGACTTCATTTCATGCTTTCGGCACTGCGTCGTGGTATTTCCAGAGCTGTGGTTCAACCAAGCTTTGATCACAGTTTTTAATTATAGTAACTTTTTATGCACGTGACGATACCTGCATGAGGCTCCGGGGGGGAACTAGCTACCTAGAGTAAAGTTCGCGACTCCATACTTCATGATCACAGTTGCGAAAGCGCTTAAACACAGCTATAATAAATCGCCAGATTACATAGAGCTCCCTGACAAACAGAGTGCTATGGACAGGTCGTCAGTAACTCATCCCTCTCTGTAATATCTAATGAGTAGTAGTTACTGACAAAATAGCAGGAACGACATCAAAACCAATACCATAATGACGTCGACGATATCGAGGACTTTGAGGGCGAATCCCAACCACGAATACCCACATCGCAGTGCCCCCCAGCGATTGAAGTGCCATTGCGTTCAGAACAGCCGCCGATGCCAGCGGTGCGCTCGACGCCAAAGCCGCAGCAAGGGATACCGCCACAGAGTTCAGGGAAGAGGAAGGGTTTCTATGATGGCATAGATCCGGATCTATTCGCATTAGCTGATGTAAATGAGAGGAATGGAACAAAAAAGAAACCAAAGATGGGTTTCTTGGCTAGGGACAGCCTGTCGGCATTTCGGGGGGCCTCTGGTGCCGCCGACGATGATATAACATCCGCAAAGACAGGCAAAGGGTTACCAGTGCCAAAATCCGTACAAAAACAACAGCCTTTCGAGTTTCCTACACCGACCCCTCAAACCCAATCTAATAAGTCTAGAGGCTTTGCTATAGACCCCGACCTCCTCGCTGCCGCTTCTCCGGTGAAGGAGAAACCACAGCGCGCGATAATAGGATGGAAGCCGTCTATCTCACAGGCGATTGCGGCCCAGGATTCAAGCTCCAGGGTTCTATGGCCGACAGGATCGTTCCAAACCACCCCTCGGCAGATGACCAAACATAATCCAGTCCCTAGCGATGATATGGTTCCTGAAACGTCTCCACCGCCCCCCACAACACCTCCACGTCAGACCCTGCCTGTACCCAATGATGATTCCCAAATTTCGATTGCAGATTCTATAGAAGACCTTGTCTCCCCTAGAAAATCGGAATACCATCGCTCCAAGACTGAAGACTTTGATATTATACATTCAGATATCGACATCACATCCTCGCCCCCACTTAGTCCATCATCTTACTATTCCTTCAAATCAACGCATGCAGATGATGCCTCCGTTAGCGGTGACTCTGTCCCCGACCCGGATCTTATGACTCTCGATGATCTTATAACCCCGTTGCCAATACGCAAACGCCTTCTAAGAGAACTAACACAGCAACCCCCAGCGACACCTACGCCTCAAACACCCCGTCCAGGTTACTTTAACATTCACGACCTACAAAAATCTATCATTGTACCGAAAACAGAATCCTCACGTGTTCCGGACCCACAGCACCGCCGATACAGTCCTGGCGGCCTCGCTGATACAGTATTGGGATGGAGGGAGGAACTTCATAGTACTTCTGTTTTCAAGCAGAGGGTACAGCCGATTGGTGTAGACTACATTATCACTGTCATCGAGGTGGTTCAAGATGGTGACATGATAATTATCAAGGGACATGGAGAGGAAGGCGTTGTGAAGGCCATTATTTCGGGTCCGGCAAGGTTAGGGTTGCAAATTTCTGTGGGGCAGGTGGTACGGTATGGAAGGCCGTGGGTAGTAGTGAACTTACTAGAAGAGGAGTGGAAGTGTTTAATGGGAAAGGTAGAAGTCCAAGAAAGGGATGGAGATGTAGATATGGGTGAATAGGTAGCGCTGTCATCTCTAGTGAGTAATTCTATGGGTTTAAAGCAAGGTGGTGGGTAGATAGATGGCTAAGGGTAATAATGGTCATGCAATATCACTCGAATTTATTAATAGGTTATATTTGAGACTTTTATTGGTATGATTTACCTATACTTAAGTATACTCAACATAACCCATATAATATAATCCGCACCAGTCCTTGAATGCTCTTCAGAACGGGGCAATTATAGGTTCTAGAAAGATTTAGTGAATATGTTCAGCATCAAATCATAAATAACGTAGTTTTGCACACTGTTTCTAGTTTCTTGGGATGATAGCAGTTTCTTACTACGTGTTATTTCTATTGGTATATATAGGAGGTATGTGTGCGGCTTTTCGTTTGTGGCTGTACTGGTGCCGAATCTAATCCTGAAACGGCCTCTAGCAAAGATTCGGTCCTAACTTAGGATTAGTTCTTTATTTACCGTATTTTCTAGCATTTTGTTGAGCCATACTGTTATCAAATAAGGAGGTGAAAATTAATTCCTTCTGCCGTCTATCCACGAGGAAAGCACCTGTCAGAGATACCATTATCTAATATGAAGCAGTTTTTCATAGCCTTCCTCTATCAGAACGTCTTGATACTGTGGTCGCATGAAACGACCGAAATCTCCTTTACTACGGTATCTTCGTCAATACTAAGGCCAAGGTCATTTCGAGATACCGGAAGCCTAAGGCAGTAGCATCTTTCCTGTTCATGCTGGCTTTGAGATAATGCTTTATGTTCCACTATATAGAACAACCTCAAAGCACCTTATACCTTGAGTATTTATTTCCGCGGGTGGGCGTGGCCTTTATTGTTTATTGATAATTATTCTGGTCCCAGATCATGAGAGAAGGAATAGATAGCGGCCTTTCCACCTTTGTAGGTATGTCACGAGAGTGGGTACAGCAAGCAAACATTGAATCAGATATCGATCCACTAAGCGGTAAAGCCAATTCTGTTGGTGTGCAGCTATAGCTATATCGGTTCTTCGCTACTTCATCCGGATTATCAAACATTACCACGTCCATCATAGTCATGAGGTATATACAGACATATATGTACACGTCGTAAGACATGGCACGTTATCCTCTGGGTTAATCTGATTTGGTGTTGGAATTGGCGCTCAATATCTGTTCATAACCAACTGCCCATTTACGTATATGTATTTGATGTGTATACCGCCATTACCACGACAGTTTCAATCACTGGCGGCAGCTATGATCTTGAAAGTCGTTTCAGTCTTGCCTGTTTTGACTGTCTTGCCCGTTTTGCCTGTCTTCCTTGTTTTGCCTGTGTGCTTTGTCTCATGCTTGCCTCGAAGAAACGTCAGCAGTCGATGTTTGGCGCTACAAAATACAACCGCAGAAGTACAAACCCCCAAACTATTACATAGTATATTCATGCCAACTTTCGCGCTTAACTCGCTTAAACCACAGCTAGGTACATGTACTAGGGTGTAGCGAAAAGTGATCAGAATCTGATAAGACAAATACTCACGACAGGCATGAAGTACCCGAATATGCAGCTGCAAGTTTTTGGTGTATTTTTGACTTCTACTCCAATGGAAATTGCAGATTAGGACGTGCATTTTCGGGTACTTGTTACCTGCTGCGAGTACACGTATTCACCGCAACATTCACTTATCAGATTCTGATCACTTACCCTCAACACCCGGTACTAAATAACCTCAATTCTTAGCCACGTGGCGCAGCTCCGGTGGCGCCACTCCTTATTTTGGCTCGCTATTGTCTCACTAGTAGATACCGGTAAGAAATTGAGTATCATATGGTGGTGCCGAGGATGAACACAGTATAGGAATCTTCGTCACTGCGGAGAAAGGGCTGTTTACAATGAATAGTGAGCTTGTGCTGTAGTTACTTCACTAAGTTTGGCTTCTGTCGGAGAGTATGTAAATACATATCTATATCTCATGCTAGCTCAGGAAGTAGGCGCTCTTGTATTTATTTCACCGACCACAGGCTATCTCCTAAGCTTCTACAGCTTGACATGGTATTATGAAGGCTATGTCATGTTTCCCCTGCGTGTTAATGCCTATTGTTAGGTATATAGGTAGCTTAGATATCGTAGGAGGAAGAATTATCACCTATCAGTAGAGTAAGATGTATGGAGTAGAGCCGCTTCACTAACAATCTAGTACCGCTGACAAAAATGAAGAAACAGTTTCAAAACTGTTACTACCCCCCAACTCTCCTGAACCAATTAATTTAGGTGAGCAGTAGGGCTAGTAAAAGGCGCTGACCAAAGACCGGACCGCATGGCGCCTGAAGAAAACTTCCCGAAGTTACGGAGTGACGGGAGTTTTACCATATCAGCACTCTAGAATTGTTAATCAGGATGAAATTTCAGTCATCGTCTCCAGTTCCCTGGATTCTTGCTTTGAAAACGTGAACCTGCATTTACCACACGCCCACTTCACCTCGATCTGTCCGGGAAGCTTTACCGGCCTACCCTACCAAAATTCAAATCTGCCAGTTTCCAGCTCAGGTACCCTTCATTGCGGGGTGCTGAGTAGAAGGGAAGACACATAGCCGCTGAGGCTTACCGGTGGGTACTGCAAGCTCATACTATCAGTTTGATATTGCAATATTTTCGCATTAACCAACTTCCCAATGCCGGATGGTTCGGAATTTTTGTGCCACCTAGTTACTGGCCACCCTAGGGTCCTTGATAGCTAACCCCCGCAATGGATGTAGATTTTGGTCTTAATACGAACAAACCAGGCGGCGTCTTCTCACGCAGATTTCGTTTCTTGTTTTCCAGGCTACACGTTAAAACCTCTACGCATGACAGACAAGCTGAAAATGTAATCTTAAAAGCACGGGACCATTGGTTACGAAAATGCCTTGAAACTTCTCTCTCTCAGGTAAGTAAGCCCAGGTAAGTTCTGTGCTGTGCCTGTCCTCACGCATTAACGAACGCAAGCATGAATTCATTGACTACGTGTGTAGCTGAATCTTGTGAAACGTGGATCTCGATTCGACTTACACACATAACCCCTGTAGGAACAATCATGGGAGCCGAAGGCAGATCAAACCCGTTTCTAAAGCGATTTAGCGACTCAAACAAGAGGCTCTTTAGATCTAAAGATCGACAACGGGGGTGCAGGTTTGTAAGTAAATATTGTCAGATACCAAAATTAACCGAGCTTTTTTGTCCTTCCATGAGTCCAGTTTCAGACTATCTATAACCAATTATAGATTTGATGGTATAAACTTCTCGGATTGAGTCATAATCAAGGAAACACACAAAGAAATCCTTCTAATCCTAAACTGGAGTGAAGGTATCACCAGATCTCAGCCCTTACTCTCCGTTCCGGGTGTTGGTATATACGTATAGTGTTTGATAGGTCTGGGCATCTGATACCTAGCTAGCCAACTATCGATAATACGCTGCTGAAAAGATGGGTTCTTATTAAAGAAGCCAAACCCGACTTACAAAGTGAGTGTGATCCAGAAAACACTACCAGCCAACCCGGAGCGCCCCACCTCCCCCATAAATTCATCAAATCGCAGTAATGAACTCTCCCGGTGTTGGGTTGGAGGGTTCAAATTACCAAAACGTAAGTATTTCTTGATTGTGTGTGGCGGAGCCGAGCTTTCTTGCTAATTCGTATGAGTTTGAAAGCAGCCGAAAATCGAATGCAATATTTTGAAGCTTGACAGTCACGTACTCGAACGTATCCTCTTCTACCTGAAATCGCCGGGTATCCACAAGGGTCGTAATATACATCTAAATGGACAATCTGGAAGACACGAGACATACGAATCAGACCCACAAGACTTATATCACACCCTTCTTACCTGCAAGGCGATATTCAAACCATACGAGAATATCTTGCAAAAACGGAAGCTTCTTGAACTGTTCTACCTTCAGATTTCCAAACCCCCACATCATGAGTCGCGATTAATTGAGATGGAGGTCCCAGAAAAATTCCGAAAGTTTGTGGCTAACGAGGAAATGCAACATCATGCCGGTTCAGCGTTGCAGATCTCTATTGGGATTGAATTTATTTTCCAGTCGATGGGATCATTGAGTCTTGGACAATCATACAAAATCGAAAACGGCACCAGTGATGATCTGGTTGATCTCTTGAGTCAAAACTGCGTCAAGCGGGCCGAGACTTTTGGATTTAAGAATGAAAAAGACCAGTCTGAAGTGGATATATTGCGGGACCTAAAGAACCAGTTTCTCGGAATAATCAACTTCTATCAATACGATGCGACACAGGGTTATTTTGTGGGCAGTGGAAAAACAGGTGGGCACCGGCCAAAGGGATTTTGGGCCATGATCTGCCATTGCAAGAAGGATAAGTTTTTAGTCCTACATAGTGTCGGTGGGAATGTGTGGGATCGCAATTTTGCCTGCCCAAGAGTCGCCGAAGTCACTAGCAAATAGTAAGTTCCATCATTTTCTGTCCACCCTAGCTGGAAATATTGTGAGGAAATTATACGTACCATGAAATCAAGTTTAGGGAATCAACCTATTTGTCGTGATATTGCTGCATAATCATATGAACCTTGCTAACCCTGGACTTTAGTGCTCACGCGAGAAATACCTATGAAGCCGCATTAACCACAGGACACTAGTCAGCGCGGGCTTGTTGGATAGTGTCATAAAAGGTCCAAATTGTATGTTCCTGTTTTGTCTGTTTTTGCTATTGGAGGTTTCACTTACGAATGGGCATTTTCAATTGTAAATTGTAGTTCCGACGGAATGAGTGATACCTTGTGATTTGGACTGCCGTTGTGAAATGAAATCTTTCCTTTTCTCTTCATGGAAGGAGCAATTAGTGATGATCAATAAGTCGATTCAATGAGTTATAAGTGGCGAGAATGGGGAAAGTTTACCAACTGGTGTTACGCATGCTCTCTCATACCTTCCTCTCGTGAGATAATCGACAAATATAGAACTTTCCGCAGTATTAGCGTTATCGAGCTTTGACGAGAACGATGTGTAGATAAGGTCAGTTCAAATGAAGAGGCACGCAGAATTTAAGTAAACATGATAAACCTGTGAGAATCTTGAGAAGTGCGAGTGAGTGCCACAATATAAGCTCGGAACCAACCCCAGAGGGAAGCCCGAAGTGATGTTAGAGTATAAGAGCATGAAGTAAGGCACTTGTGTAACCTGAGCGTTCAGGGCATGACGTTACTTGACCACCGGGTATATCAACTGTTTCAGAATCGCTATTAGCCGGGTTGAGGCATAAAGCTTAGTATCTAGGTACACCCGTAATCAGTCATGATGTTACAACTCATCCAACCTCTATAAAATCATCATTCAATTGTTTCAGACAATGAATCACGTGATAGCCTTAATCTTATCATAATTCATCACTCGGTAAACCCAATGTTGAGGAAGTTCGATCTCGGCGGCGCGTGCTTTACACTATGGTTTCACGTAACAATCTATGTGATATCGATTCCTAAAGCGTTAATAATAAAATTCTAAGACACACTGTGTTATGTAGGGGTTCTCACATTGAGGATTGGACTGATGGACTGGTAGAGGTTGACTCTGCGGAAAGGAGTAGAGAAACAAGAGGGAGTCCCACTCTCGTAGGTAAATAGACGTGGTTGTAATTCAGTAAGTGGTAATCTTAGAGAAGTGGGAACACCAAGTACACACTAGGGCCACAGTCATAGATAGCCGCCAAGACCGAATTTGCCGCTGACTAAGCCATTTAACGGGTGCAGCGAAAGCTTGCAATTCTCGGTCCTTTTTGCCCGGATTTCTGCACAATCACCTCTTATATAAGGGTAATCTCTCTATAACGATACCAAATTCCGGTCCCGAGCGTACCGTTATAGCAAGCTTTCGCTGTATATGAATGTGCCATTAGCGCCTGACATATTACACGTAGCTACATGTACAGCCGCATTCGAAAAGTACTGGCACCCTACTATATTGAGTCGTTCATGAATTGTAGCCCACCAACAACCATGGCACTCGCGTATACTCAACTTATTGATAGGTATGAACGCAATAGAGACATTGTAGCTCTCTCTGATAACGGTCTCGAATATTAGAATTGCAAAGTAGAAAGGACTGCCTCGTGAGTTTAGCCCGGAGGTGCCAAAACTTTTCGAATGCGGCTGTACATACATAAAAACAGAGATATGATATAAAATATCTAGCTCTTTCAATGAGAGATACATTTAGATTACGTCTCGGATTAGCATGTCATCCTCTAATACTTAGCCGCTATTAGCTCCCATGCGGACAATATTTGACTTAGGAAAAAAGATAGAAGGCAAAGTTGAAGAACCCTCAAAAAATTTGATTTTAATTTTCCGCATTTAGCAAATAATCGATATCTATATGCCATTGACCTTGACAGCGTGGTAAATTACTACACACATGCTCCTCAATGAATCAGGTAGCCACGGTACCGCCCTACCTGAACAGATCATCCCCGCAATACAGGACTAGATATATCTGTTCCTAGACTCGGGGTTGATATCTCTAGCTAGGTTGAGTTTCAGGATTACATGTATGCCTGGCACGGCTCAGACATGTACACCTACCGTCAATTGTGGGGGCCGACGCTTTGATCGCGGTTAAAAAAGATGAAAGACTCGGGCCTTATTTTATATGGACCAGATGTTTTCTTTCCCTAAGTTTGATTTGACATCTTCGACCCCCACGTTATCCACAGGTTAATCTCCTTCATGTCTCCATATGTATTCTGTTCGTGTCGTTATTTAAATTCACTAAATTTCTCTCACTGACGCCTCTTCTTTAACCTAGTTTTTCATCATCATCCACTCCATCTCGTTCTTCCTTTCTAGCTACGCAGAAACTGAAATTCGAAATGATCACTATGAACCTGGAATTCCTGACAAATTGGAGTTTAATCCGTTATTGTTGACCTTAATATCGCTATCTAAATCTAGTCTTCTATCATCACTTCTATTCATTCCAAATTACCATCTCACTTCAAACCACGCATCTTCAACTTCCTCCTAGTTCTTGTATCACCTCTAGTTCCACTCAAGACCACCATCTAACTTCAAACTACGCATCGTCAACCTCCTCCCGATTCTTCTTAACGTACTCACCTTCGGAGGCGCCCCTTCCGGCACAACGTTCCGATGCTTCACTCTCTTGATTATTCTGATTCCCCGTGCTCTCAAGCGATCTCTTTTCCTCCTCATGGTCACCTCAGGCAACTCCCCAGATACCCTTTCAAGTTCCGGTAGCTCCGTGATATCCGCTTCTCCCGCAGGCGGGTAGGCCCGCCATGTGTTGTCTTCCGTGTGATGGTACATCGCTACATCCCCGCCCTCAAAATCCTCAGGCGCATGAAAGATATCGGGAAGATTATTGGGGATAGCTACTGGATCTGAGGGACCTCTAGCGCGCGTATTAGCTTCGGCTTCGGGCTCATCGCTGATGCCGGAGTAGTAATAGGCTGAGTAGGAATAGCCGCTGGGGTCGTTGGCGCGGGCGTCGGCGAGGACGGCGGCAATCTCTTCTTCGGTCGGGGTGCGGGGTCTGTTGTCGTCAGTCATATTGAGCTGGTAATTGGTGGTTTGGTTCTTAATAAAAAATTTATAATTATTCTTATTGGATGGTTTGCTTTTTGGTTGCGGATTGATCCTACTGGATGCTGGGATGAGATGGGATGGAGAATCGAAAACTACAGCTGGCTCCATGGCTTTTATTGCGATAGATTATTACAAGAGTTCTCAGAAGTGTTCTTGAAGAAACTCGCACCTTGTAATACCTGTGCAAATATTCTTCATGGTGCGCTCTAAATTCGTCAATCTCGAAAGACAAATGTGGGTTAGGGTTAGTTTTTGGTTGTGTTGAAAACGAACGCGCAGAACAAGAGAATAACGGATTCAGATGTAACCCGAAAGAGGAGAAAAGTAGTTCCCGAGCAATTGGAACTGTGGGGTAAAATCATTGATTTCCTTCTGTATTTCCTGTTGGCGAGAAAGCCTTGGTGACTAGGATGGAGTTCGTAGGATATAAACCACAAGTACATCATAGGACGACATAACATAGCCCGAAAACTATCGAAGAGTGCGATCCCTAGAAGAAAACTGAGTCAGCGTGGGAAGAGAGACAAAGGAATAATATCGCAATCTGTGACCTTACTTTGTTAAGTTTGATTGATATACGCCTAGCTAGGCAGAAATTCGAAAGGAGGAAACAAACAATTGCGCTTATCGAAGCTTCCAGGATTGTCCCTGCAAGTATCTGTAGGACAATACTTATTGCTCCCATTCCCAAAGTTGTAAAACGAGGCTAGTTGTTGGTAGTTTGCTCGATGGGTGTGTTAGGATTATCTATTAAAGCGTCATTCAAAAGAGGGATAAGGGAAAGTGTTTGATGCTATGGGTCAATACCTTAGGTTACGCTAGTTATGTAAGTCTGCTGAAATTTACGCTTCCATATCTGCCATAAGTGCAGGTAGATACAACTGTCCTGTTAAGTTCTTCTATCCGACCCCAGCATCAATCAATTCACAATCACCATCTATTGATTCACCGCTATTACCACACAGATATCCTCCAATCTGCTATCAAGCCTCTACTCGATCGACGTGTGTAACGGTCGCTTAATTATTAGGAGGCAGGTAGCTGGCATTCTTAGCCAGTAGCTGCACTCGTTCATGATCAGAAAGCCTATAGCCTCTCCATGTAAAAGACGTTCGCTTACGGTCCGAGGAGGAATCGACTCACATCTCGGCCTTATCCCTTCACAACCTCAAACCACTTGCTGCGTCCGAACATCGATTATCCCTATCTGGCATATTTCATTTCCACGCTCGCTGCCGACCCTCCCGTTGTTCTAACCGCTTTCGGCATAGTGCGCTTCGAGTGATGGTCCATGATTGGATGTATGGCAGTTGCCGATTCCCGCCAGCGAAAATATCTCGCTATATTATCTGAGCTTTGAGGGGTAAAACCGAGCTTCCGGATACGTAAGAGTGGGCTGTGCGCTTCCACAGTAGAACTTGTGTGGGCCAATTGTGCTGAGAAAGTTGTAAATTTGAGGACGTCATGGGGAATGAACAAGCCTTGATTTCCAGGGTCCAACCAAGGGTAATCAATTAATCAGTTGAAGATCAAGGCTTGATTCTTGGGAACTAGGCCTGTCTTGTCGATTATCCCTCTGTTCTGGGCCGTTTTTCAGCTCCGACAGATGCAGCTCTAGAGCCTTGTGCGGCATCAAGTGCCGAGTTGCGCAGCTTTCTCCGAAGGACAGGTGGGTATATAAGGTAGAGCTCATGGCTTAAAGAGATGAACTTCGAACTCTCTCACTATTCATACAACTCTCAGTCACTCACACTACTATATACTCAAAGACTCATACAACTATGTCTTTCAGCGAGACCACACGATACCACCAGCTCATCGACGGCCGAATCCTTGAGGCCGAATGCCTCAATGAATACGGTGATTGGGTCCGCTCCGCCATCGATCTCAACAACTACATTGGCAACATCAATGGTAACTTCTATCCCTACTCTTATTGCCAACGTTTATATACTCATCAAGAATAGGAACCCTTGAATGGGACAGCGCCGGTTTCTTTGATACCGCCGTCAACGTCAACTTGGTCGAGTTTGGACGAAGACTCGAGGCTGTTCTGGTTAGGGAGAGCGGGATGGAAGATATCTGTAGGCTGTGGCTTGACGAAAGGATCTCCAACATTAACGGGGAGCTCGTTTACCGTAAGCAGATCTCACCTTGACCACAGGATTTATGAGTACCTAACTTCTTTACAACAGAGGGCAGCGGACGATTTCAACAAGGTGGATTTCAACAACCGGGATTAGGGCAGGTAATCGAAGACGTAGCCTACATGGAAGAGCAGAGAATCGAGAACGATGTCTACAGAGATGAGGCCAGGGTTGAGGGTGCGTTCTACGGGGCTGAGGCTGCAGTCGAGGGGGCAGTCTACAGGGAAGAAGAGAGGATCTACGACGATGAGGTTAGAGTTGAGAATGACATCTACCGGGATGAGGCCGAAATCGCAGCTGTAGAGAACTTCAGGCCGGAAGTGGAGGTGGAGGTTGACTTTAACGGAAGAGGTTACTACTAGTTTTAAATCTGGGATATATCATGGAGTTTATTTCACTTAGCGTTAGCATCATTCGGAATTGAAGCCGTGTTTTAGAAAGTAACTACTAGCTCATGAAGAGGTTTTATCTTTTTGTATCTCCGAAACTATGCTCCGAAAAAATACTTAGGACGGGTCTCACACAAACGCGATAGGGTTGTTCCTTGGTGGGTGAAACCCGAAATTTCGGCATTTCTCCCGAGGTGCGCCACCAGCCCGGGAAAAGGTTTATGCGGGGAATAGTGGCGCTCCTTAGGGCTGAAAGTGTCTCGGAGCTCAGTACGGAGATCGCCGCATGACAAGGTTGCGTTATGCCAAGGAGAGAGCTTAACGTCTGACCTTCTTATGTTCGGTTTGTCTCATAGAATGTTCTTTTCTGCGTCTTTTTAGGTCCCTTGAAGATTTAACGACGATGTGGTAGCGCTCGGAATAGGGAGTTGTATGCTACTGTTTTCTTGGCGCCGAGGTTTGTACGCAGTACCCTCTGTCCTGCTCTTCTTCGATCCCAACCTTCAGCTCCGCTTCTCGCATCACCAATTCCATCGTCGTCGATGTATCTCTACATTCCCCCTAGTGTTCCATCTTTAAGAGGCTCAGGTTAATCTCTCTGAGCTTTGTATCCTGAAAAGCTACCTATATCTTGGCGCGGTGCCAAGACTGCAATGGAGGTTACTTCCTACCGTCTTTCCAAGGCTCTCGTGGTTCCTCTCTTCTTTGAGTTTACTAAGCGCATTCTTCATCAAGAAGTATGCGAGGCAAAATCACGCACGGCCCAATTTCAGCGGTCAGATAAGGGGTCCCTACCTAAGTCACATATTGCATCACTACCTGTCACTCGCAAAACCTAATTTTTTACAATGTTCCTGGCCAAGGAGACTTTTATTTTAAACAAAAAACACTAAATACATCTCTCAAAAATTTTCAATCCACCAATAACCGATCTTCCAGAGATCTCCCTTCATCCCCGCCTAAAAATACATACTCAACTTAAGAAGGAGGAGCACCCATACCACCAGTTGGGGCACCACCCGCTCCAGTACCAGTTCCGGTTCCAGTTCCGCTGCCGCTTCCAGTACTCTTGTTCGCCGTGAGGTCCAAACCGATGGAGATGGCTCCCAACAAACCGTCAGAAAGTGCGGATCCGAGCTTCTTAATAGTGACGACATCGGAATAGCCGGCGGTGACCGAAGCCTGTTCCGTGAAGACACGGTCCACAGAGTTGAGTGTGATGGCGACGGTGTTGGTGTTGTACGGCGAGGTCGCTTCGACTTCACTGATGAGGGTCTGCTCGAAGAAGACCTGGCCGATGTGAGGAATCGTGCCGCCGCTGTAGGTACCAGCGGAGCTGATGGAGCCGCCGATGTGTGCAATGAGATGGAGATGGGTTGCACGTCTTTTTAATGGGTTAGTCAATGGTAGCGAATATTTAGGAGCGAGTGGAAGCATACCCTCCGTAGTGACCGGGGAACTTGGTGAGCACCTGAACGATACCATCCTCATCGGATTCAACAAGACCACGGAGTTGAGTCTCTCCCTAAATAATTTCTATAGTTAGCGCAAGGTTTAAAGAGATTATGAGATTAGAGGAGAACTAACCAAGGTGTTCTCAGCAGAGAAGCCAGAGTAAACACCGGTGGAGTTGCAAGACCAGAAGTCAAGCATGACATTGGGAATCACTTCGCAAGTACTGACGTCAAAGACCTGGACATCAAGGAGCATGTCGACACCAGGCTCATCCTCACGGATATCATCTCTGATCAACTCGCCCGACAAATCTACCTCATGTTAGTATCGATAACAAGCAACAATGTGGAAACCCAAGGGTTTTGTTTACAGTAGGGGCCAATCTCCTCTTCGGGAGCCAAAACACAAGTTGGGATAGCGCCGTTGAATGGGTCCACGGTGGTCGCTGCAGCAACTGCGGTGGCAGTAGCGGCACGCTTTTGGTTCTGCTTCTGGTAGCGTTTGACGAAAGCATCGCGCTTGATCTTGCGCCTGTTCTCGACATTGCGTGACTTGAGCTTGTTCTGGCAGGCCTCGAGGGAACGGCGGGCGTTAGCAACGTGAACGTTGCGGGCTTCAATGCCAGCCTCGGTTTCTGCAGCGCCGTGGCCGAGGGCTACGGAAGCAAGGGCGAGAATGCCGGTGACGAGGATCGATGGGTTGACCATTTTGAGAGAATGAGTGTCCGAATGTGGGATGTATGAGAGGAGTGAAGCTGAAGATGAAGCTGATGCTGATGTTGATGGTGATTGAGGGCTGGAGAGATGGCCCTTATATACCTATCGAGATGGAGGCATACTCGGGGTTTTTCTTGCTCCTTGCTCAATTATTCTTCAGATCACTGCGTGTATCCCTATCCACCTCACCAGGAAACATCTGCCACCAAAGGATATCCCCACCAGGATCTCATCTAGATCCCCTAGCTGAGTAAAACATGCAAACTCCTCTGTGCCCATGTAGCAAGAAAGTTGATGGTTGGTATACATTAAGCTTTACCAAGAAGAGCTAAAGCTTCCAGGGTGCTTCCCCCAGCTGCTGCCAACATCATACATTGAATAGATCCGCCGGGACGAAGGTTCTGATTATCCGCTGTGGGGTGGTGCTACTACTTTCTTCGAAATAGAGACCATGGACCGGTGGTAACGTCGCTCGGAGATGTCCTATCCCGGTAGATAATGGACACATATGTCAAGCATTTCTTTGGGTATGCACTAGCAATGGTCCGAATTTTCAAACCTACATGTATATACATGTAGTTATCGTACCTAAAAAAATCCATGTGTATCCGTGTTATTAGGCTTTTAATTATGTCTAAACAACAGTTATTAACCTATTTTCAGAGTTCTGCATGGAGCGTAAACATACTATCAACGCTGGACAGCAGCCATTCCCTTACACCGTCAGTCCAGGGAGCGAAACGAAGAACGAGTTCGCGCACGTAATCCGGCGTTTTGCTCAGATCTTAGTTTCGTCTAGATTGCAAAAGTTCTGGCAAATGGCCATCTGTCCAATCAGCACGTCGTTGTTTTCAGACTGTATGTCATTGTTGCTCAACATACTACGGAGCTGCAGGGAAAGGCAACATCCGAGAACACGCGGCGCCAAGATATGCTTAAATTTGTTTTATCCCCTGGTAAGCAAGGTGTAGATCGCAGCCCTTCCCCACAACCATGTTCTGAGCGCCTGTCAGTGACATACATGTATGTACTCTAGTGACATAAAGACTTTTCGGCTCTGCATCCGCTGCAACTACCGTACATGTATTTTACCATCACCACCACCACCACCACCCCAGATTCAGTCATGGCTTTTGAAATCACTCTTACGCGTCCACACTCTACTCTGTATGAAGAGCCCCAGCAGGCGATAATAGAGGAGAGAAAGGATACATATTCTTCACATGTCATGGCTATGAGGCGAGATTACCTTTGCGTGAAATATTACTGGTTGGTTTAGCCACTCTACACGCTCTGCAATGCTCGTTAGGACTGTTTCAGGCACAAGGCCCAAGATATATATTGATTGCGTTCCGATCGGGAATGCAAGGGCCACAAAAGCTTACGCGTCTTGGCCCCATGGCAGGCACCCATCCAACCACAGCGCTCAATTATTCATCCAAAGAATCCAGACATTTGACTCCTAATCACTTTTGACTCCACGCAGCCTTGGAAGAAAAAGGCTTACTTATCCCTGACGCGATGCAGGGATAGAGAGTTGACATCTGGCATAGGCTGGCTGGAGTGAATCCCTAGCTTCCTCGGCCAGACTTGGTCTGCAGCATCACTCGCTCTCTCCCCTATAGTCAAGATATCACATCGTCATAATGCCACTCTCCTCTGGGAAAATACGGTGAATATCATGATCATCACTCTAGGGAGTGTTGAAAAATTCGTGCTGAAATCAACTTTGTTATCGATACTACGTACCCAGGACCAGGCCACATATCAATCTACCGGGTAAATATTATTCCTGGACTATATGAACGGTCAATAGGTATGTACCCAGGGTATGGCTATCATATAATAAAACTCAGCCTTGTTATGCGATCAGCTCACAACCGAATTTAGTTCACTAGAATCAAAAAGTTCCTGCAATCTATACTTCATGGGAATAAATGTGGATAGGCGGGCCGGATTATCACCGGAAGGCCATTGTTAGATGTGCGAGTGATGGTACATGACTGTGGCCTGTAACCTTGGCATTCGAGAAGTATTTCATTTGTACGAACGCTGCATGAGGGGCATGATGGTTGTGATTACCTGGGATATATAAAATGAGAGCGATAGGCATACCAACAGCCATAATAAATCCAGGAAACACTGGTTATGTTTCACACTATAGTATAGTTAACGAAGAAATCTATTATGACATGGAGATGTTGCGTGGCGTTGATTTCCCATAGGTGGTATATATGGCCAATTAACCTTGATAATGAACTATCGCAATAGCCAGGGGTCATGTCAATACACCGGCTTTCCACCGATTGGTGCTAAGAAATCAATCGTTTTGTAGGAACTCTTATCCTTCCTGCCAAGGAGGGGGCGATCTGGTATACAGGTATCACGAAAGCATAGAAACCGTTACTAGGAAACGAATCACAGGTTTACAAGAACTGTAATAAATATTAATGAAGTTTTGTCCGTTCTGGATCTATTGTCTTCGCTTTGATTAGCAAGATTGGTGGCAAAGTACACGTATCTCAATTTACTATGGCCACGAAGCGCAACGCTGGGAAGGGAAATATCTCATCTACATAAAATAAGCAGCAGGACATACCATCGGCCTAACCACCGGCCTAACCGCCGGTTACCAGCAGAATTCAATTGGGTACGCCGTGCATGCTTAGCTCCGGCCGAGCGATCGAAATCCATGACCATCGTGATCGTTCTATCAATCATGGTTTATCACTCTTATTTGCCTCTCGTCACCGACCGTACTACCTGGCTTCGGCGGTGAGTATCTATTTCACCGAGAAAGCACCTGATTCTGTTGATGGATAGTCTTTTCAGGCCGGGGAGATTTTTTCTAGCAAAATGCTTTAGTGCAGAGACGGGGAACAGCAACTTGAACGCCGTTCTATACAACTGACAGTTGATATACGGTTTTGGAAACCGGGTGAGGGTGATGGATGTCTAGACCGCCTAGTTTCTTTGCTGACTTGAACACAAATCACTAAACACTTTAATTATGGTTTTTTATGGAGCTTAAATCAAATTCATTGTTACTTGATTATCACATAATTAATTGGCAGATGGACAGACACAAGTAAGTCTATGTCTATTGTAAATACCTCGAGTATCAGTCTTTTATCGAACACAGAAAATGTCACGGTTTACCCTAGTAAGTCCGGTTAATCTTGGGAAATATACACTTAACACTATTATCGTTTTGCGAGCGTAACAGCCTCTCTCGATCTCGGTACTCCTCGAAGGTTTCCTGCCATCAAGTCATTTCCCCGCCAAGGCCCATCTATTATTCCCTGCCAAGGCCTTTATCCGAACCCCATTCCGTCCCCACAATCTACATGTACCTGTGTACATCCATAATCTCGGACTTCGCCGAGGCTGGTTTACCGAAGGGAGCCGTGGTTAGAGTAGAGTAGCGCACTTTGTACCTACGGTTTCAGCGAGGGTGGGGGAATTGGGGTCCCCAATTAATAGGGTCCTATTATGGCTAGCCAGTGGAAATGAGGCGCTTGCCCTCTTTGGGAACGGAAAAGTAGCTTTGTGATGGGTTGGTCATTTGCAACAGGCTCATGCATGCAGGGGGAGGATGGTAACCGCCCACTCTCCTGCCTGTATTGGAATCGGTATTACTCTGGCTGTAGAGGCCGATGAAGAGGAGGAGGAGAAGAAGGAGGCGGCGAGAGTTGTTTGAGGTGGGTATTTTCTCCTTTAGCGAAGGACGGGGCCGAGGTGGTGATGGTTCTCTAGTGTGGTGCGGCTGAGCTTTGTGAGGAGAGAAGGCGAGATTGTGCTTGTGAAAGAGTGCTTTTATGCCCGATATTTTCTTTTTACTGGCTTTGGCTGCCTTTTCTTAACTTCACCCCTGTTTGGGATGTTCTTTGTTCTCTCCTGAACTTTTCTTCCCTCATACATCGAAAGCGGAACTATTCCTCTGATGTCTTATGCTCAGAATTTCCAATGGTACTAACCACGGTAATAAGGTCATCATGTATTGAATAGTGGTTGCGGCGGCTGTTTTTCAGGTCATTGCTACGTGCCGGGGTATACGGTGCATATTATTCTAGACAACCCTTTCTCTTTTTTCTCTTTCCTCGGATAAATATGGTATTAGAGTTAGCTTTTGCGCTTGAACTTCCTATAGGTATTGGTTTTGGATATATAAGATGATATGTGATACTATGCGTGCACCATACATATTCTAAACACAGTCCGGAGACTCGAGTGCGTTTAAGGGTGTGATCGCAAGGCAAGAAGAATAGGAATAGTACTCGAATTCAAATGGGGATCACAGAAAATGCAGTGCACTAACTAGTTTGCTGTTTCCCACTTAATGAGTGAGCCCATGGTTGGATCGTGTAAGCACAAATCTTTAGACACGGCCTGGCCAGAAGAAATATCCGTTCTGGTTGAATATCATTTGATTTAATAAAATCCCTTACTCCCAACGGTAGGAGGTTATTTCCATGGTTTAGGGCCTGTTTGAGAGCGGCCCGAAGCAAGGTTATTGGGGTTTAAAACTTTGTTCTAGTAAACCCCCGTCCCGAGAAAATGAGTTGTGTTTGGCATACCACTTTGCGCATCTGGGAAACAACAAGTTGATTTCTTAAAAAGAGAGTTTTTAAAAATTAACCACGCTCTGGCCTGGTTTTCCACCGTAGCTGCAGTAATCATAACTCCCAACTCATCGCACTGATAGCCATCAACAACACAGCCTCTATAAGATTTCACAAATTTCTCTCAAGTCTGTTACTCCTAAACGGCACATTATTTTGAAACACCCTGTTAAAATTCCCCCGTTCTCCCCCTACTAACTAAATCCAAACAAAATATTATCAATCAATCAATCTCCATGAGAAATGAAAGGTAGAATTGATTATAGAAGCTTTTTCTTTTATTTCCGGAGGGCGATACTTGAAAATTACCGTTTAGTGGCTTTGAAGGAAGGATCTGCATGGTTCAAGATCTCATATTCTACCACAATATCCTCCATATCTGGGGGTGTATCTTCTTCGAGGAGGTATGTAGCAGGATTCCTTTTCACCCCCGCCCTCTTGGCGACCTGAAGTGCTGGCAGGGCCGATGATGAGTCTCCTTGTGGTAGGTTGACGGCTGGCCTTGTTGTCCCCGAGACTTCTTCTACCCGCGTTGTTCCAGCACCTAAGGATAACTTTTCTTGTGGCCTGCAGGCAGCATAATCTGTTTCCACAGGAACCCTAACTTTCACCTGTAGAGCTATAAGCCTCGATGATAACTCTTCTTTTGATGCCCTGAGAGATGGATGCGCATCATCCAAGATCTCATCTTCCACAACGAGAGTTTCCATGTCCAGAACTGAGTCCTCCTGCGATAAACATGGAATAGCACCAATATCTCCTATAATACCCTCTGACTGAGCACTTGCAGAAACCGAGGATGACTCTTCTTGAGGTGCCCTGGAAATAGGGTCCACAACCGAGATCTCCTTCCATCCTGTAATATTTTTCAGTTTAGAGTTCATATTCCTCCCTATCGATAGTATAGCCAAGTTCTCACTGTTCAAGCTCTCTGCATTTTTTGTAGGAGCTTGTGCAAGCTTCGGAACTAGTGCTGCTACTGTGTGTGAAGCGCTGGAACTTGGAACGGCTGGGATATTTCCTCTATTTACACAAACTACAAGAGATGGGACTGAACGGGGTCCCGAGGATGGAAGAACTGCAGCGGCTGAGGTGGTTTTCGTCCCCAGTAAAGTTGTAGAGTTTCCGGGGTCCTCTTTCGTAGCTAGTCTCATGCGAGCCAACTCTTGAAGGAAGTATTGATCTACCAAGAGGGCTTCCGCAGCTTTGCGGCCTGCAGACCTGTTCTCAAGCGGTGGTTAGCATGTCACTTGAGAAATATTTAGTTGGAGAAATGTACTCTTCACTTATCTCCCATGCATGCCCTACAATCTTCTGACGTCCCCGCCACAGTAATATAACCTGTATATGTACGTCTTTATCTCTACGTTCCGCCGCATGCCGATCTTCAAGACGTGAATAAATTAACTTGGCGTCAATTTCATTCACGAGCCTGTCAAGTGCTTTCTTTGCGGAAAAAGGTAGAGGGGCTGCCTTGATATTGTCAACGACAATCTGCTCAAGGGCCTTGAGTTCTTTAACGACTTTACTCTCCCTTCCTTCACGTTTTTCATCTTCCGAATCCGAGATAATAATGGGATTGGCTTTATCCTGCCCCAGACGTATATTGCTGGATTGGTGTGGTAGCGGTTGTAATGGCGGACTCCCGTAATCAAGATCAATGGTTTCCTTTGCGGCTTGTTGGGCAACTCTGCACCTCAATTGAAATACCCGTTGTTTCTCATCTGCCTTTTTTGCATTCCTTAAAGCCACCATACTCTGTTTTTCCTCCATCTCTTCCGACTCTGCCTCAGCCAAAGCCAAAGCCACGGCTTTGCGTTGGGCAGTCTTTACAGCCATTTCTACCTTTTCTCTCTCGGTCTTCTCAGACCTTACATTGGCTAAAACCACAGTGTCGGCTTTGAGCTGGGCAATCTTTATAGCACTTTCCACCTCTCTCTCATTTTTCTCGGATTTTGCTTTTACTGATGCCTCCCTTTTGAGCCGGGAAGCCTTCGCAGCCCTTTCCGCCTCCTCTCTCTCGAGCTTCTCCGATTCGAATCTAGCTAAGGCCTCGGGCACGAGCTGGGCAATCTTCGTTTCTGCCTCTTCCCTTTCGATCTTCTCGGATTCTGCTTTAGCAAAGGCCTCTAATTCGAGCTGAGCAGCTTCGGCAGCCCTTTCCACCTTTTCTCTTTCGATCTTCTCTGATTCGAATTTTGCTAAGGCCTCGGACACGAGTCGGGCAACCTTCGCCTCTACCTCTTTTCTTTCGATCTTCTCGATTTTTTCTTTACCTAAGGCCTCCCTTTTGAGCCGGGAAGCCTTCGCAGCCCTTTCCGCCTCGGACACGAGTTGGGAAACCTTCGTTTCTGCCTTTTGCCTTTCGATCTTCTCGGATTGTTCTTTAGCTAAGGCCTCTAATTCGAGCTGAGCAGCTTCGGCAGCCTTTTTTTCCCTCTTTTCCCCCTCCCCCTTCTCGTGTCGCACTTGCCCTTGAGTGAAGAACCCGGATTTAGCCTGGTCAGTCTTCGTAACCTGAGCAGCCTCTTCAACCGTTTCTCTCTCGATTTTCCCTGATTGTGCTTTAGCTGAGGCTAAGGTCAAGGCCTCGGATTTGAGGGGCGGAGCCTGAGCAGCCTCTTCTACTCTTTCTCGCTCGATTATCTCATATTGTAACATTTTGGCTTGAGTGGAAGCCCTGAATCCGATCTCAGCAGCCATTATGGCTAGTCTCGCTTCTTTCTCTGATTGACGTCGAATATCGCCGGCCGTAAATTGGGTATTCTGCCTAAACTCCAAGTGATATTGAAGCTTCTCTGATAAATAGGCGTAGGTCTCGTCTTTCCATACCTCATCTCCCATTGATAACAAGATAGGCTGGTACAACTTCTCCAGCCAACTCGTCAACACCTCGAAAGCACCATGTGGATTGGAAATCGCCACTGTTGCGACATACGCCCTGAATATGTCTGCCATCTCTTTGCTACCTGGGGCATCTGTGAGTGAGTTCTGTATCTTAAACTCTTCCTCTAGTCCATACCTGACTGCAAATTTGGTGAAAACCTTATCGGTGAGCAGACAATGGCGTAGCTTCCCTAATTGGACTTCCTCGAGGTTTTTGTTCCGGAAGATTATTCTTGACATTAAAAGGTGAATCCATGAGCTACCAAGCCAGCTGAGACGTTTATGATCGGGGGAAGGCCCTTGGGAGTCCTTGGTGCAAAACACTTTGGTGCAGAGGTTTCTATCCGTGATCGATGGGAGAAGGGGAGGCCATTTAATCTGTGAAGAATCATCATGGGCGGAGATACTAGATGTCTCGTCGTACTCCTCAGCTAAATTCTCAGATGGATTTTCATCGCCCTCTTCAGACAGGGATCCCGAGGCCTTGCAACCTCTGATCTCAGTTTGAGGTTGCACCATCAACTTAACTTTTTTGCACACTTCCTGTCCTTCTCTTTTATCATCGCCTAAAAACATGTACTTCTTTCCATCAAATTTACCGACCCAGCTGAATTCCCCGCCATCCACTCTGGTCTTGAGGATTCGAAGAAAGGCTTCTTTCTCTCCTCCGATACACCTTTGGGTATTTGGTACCTCTGACTCTGCGCTAAGAAGCTTACACAGTGCTTTACCAAACTTGTCGAATGCAAGTAGTAGCTTCTTCTCATCCTTGGTAGTGTGATCTGAAGGCCCAGGGTCGTGAGAGTCGGAGTAAGGTCGTTTCTTGGATTGTCCAATGTTGAATTTCATATTCTATGGTTCTCGTTGGGAAGCCGGCGAGGTGATTGCCGTGTTGTTGTTAGAAGCGGTTGAGTTGTGGGGTGTCGTAACGCAGCGGAGTGGCCCACCAATTCTGTGACCGACCTTGAGCGGCACTGGGGTAGAGAGCTCCTTCATGTACAAAGGCCCCGCGCCCCGATTAATTCCTATGGACCCTTAAAGATATAGCTATTATCTTATCTTCTTGAAGCAGTTATATATCAACGCATAAAAAAGCGAAAACTTAGAAACAAAACGAAAATTTGTTTTTCCGTGAAATGAATCATATGGTATCACTCGCTATAGCCTTGTCTTTAAATTTCCTGTTTTTTTTTGTTTTTGTTTTTTTAATTCATTAATCTTAAATTTCCTGTTCATGTTATTTACATAAAACTTCCGAGATAGGAGTTTAATTTATGCACTGTTGTTTTATATCTAGGGGTAACCATAGTGGATCTTTTGGATATCCAATCCGTTATGCCGAGGGATATATGGCTACGTATATTTGTATGAAGCCTCTAAATCTACATATTATACACATACGTATAGGTGTAACTTGGGGATACTTGTCTTTTATCGAACGTATGCAACAGATCGGACGTATCCTACTGATTTATGAACGGACTACTCAGCTGAGTCATATGCACATGCTTTTGCATAAATTCCTCCTAACTACATGTATCCGCTAGACATACCCGCGTTCCCTACACAGCTAGCGTCTGTGAAACCATCATTTAGGTTCAGGCATTATAATGTATGAAGATCTTTTTATTTTAACCCCGTCTCACTCCTAAAGAACCTAACCTTCGTTCATAATTCCTCCACCTGTTCGTGTGTGCTCTTTAAATCTTCTCTGCTATCGCATTCATAGGCCCGGTTGCTTGAAGGAGATGGATTATATTATTTAAACATACATACATGTATTTATGCCTTCATTACCTCTAGCAGCTAAGATCCTTGGGGTAGCTCTGCATAAATAGTTTCGCTCCCCCTTCCATTTGAAATTGCCTTTCCATTTTATTGACAAATGTTGACGTACTTCTTCCCGTATTTCTAAAGGATATGCTGCATGAGCTGCCCGTCATCTAAACTTGATGCGGGGATATTGATCCAAGCGAAGCCATTTCTAAAATTCGGCATTCTCTCCATTCCAGTCATCCCAAGAAAATCCCTCGCCCTTCTCTTCTTCTTCTTCCTCCTCTTCTTCTTCTTCCCACCAACTATTCGATACCTCTTTCTTCATAGATCGTAGGCGCGATTGAAGGATCTCTGGAATATCAGGGATTCTCGAACTGGTTGAGGCTGTATTTTGAGATATTCTTCCACGACCTTTGAGAATGGTGAGTCAATCGCCGGTCAGCATGTGCACCTAGTTTGTGGGTCATATCCCACTTACCTAACATAATCCCATGATGGCCCGATCTCTCCACGTACGGTATATTAGACACCCTTCTCCGCAAGTTTTCCAGGTCGCACTGGTAGTGATAATCCTTCTCAGCAACATAGTTATATTTTTGTCCGGTCTCCTCCTTCAAACCCTCATTAGCGCCATATTTCATTATCAGGAGGTCAACCATATCCAAGAGTTTGTGTTTGAACGCCACAAATAAGGCCGTCCGCCCTCTAGAATCCCTCACGTTCACATCCCCCTTCCTAGTTGCTAACAACGTTTCGATAACGCCCAGATGCCTATACTCAACCGCAAAATGTAGGAGTGGCACACCTTCCATGAAGTACTCCTCCTTCGACGTCAGAGCTGCCTCTAGGTTTTGATTGAGAACTTTCATGGAATCATTTAGTTGTCGACTGTTCTTCTTCTTGAGCTCCGACTTCCAGCGAGAAATAGCATAGTGCAGCGGTTTGGCGTTATGGTCATCGATGGCGTTGACGTTGGCGCCGGCATTGAGGAGGAGTTTAGTGAGAGCAGGACTACGTTTGGAATTTCCAAGATGGAGAGGTGTACGATTAAACCAGTCTCGCTGATTAATATCAACACTCTCGTGACCGATTGCCATGAATACAAGGCGCGTATTTTCGCTTTCGATCGCCCAGTGAAGTACACGGCACCACTTCCCACCCCGATTACAGTTGAGTGCCAGGCGCCCTCCCTCTCCGATGATGTACTTTACCGCTCCTTCGGCGACGCTGGTGTCGGAACATGGCACTAACATATTCGGCCTATTGGTGGGGGAGTTGTGGAAGTAGCAGAAATCGATAGTAGGCGAACAGCCTTCAAGGACTATCTTTTCGTCACTGACAAGGGCGCCGATAAAGATTTTTTCCATGCAGGAACATGTTCGGGTAACATCTGTCGCGCGAGACTCGACAACGTGCGATTCCAGAGACAACTGATATTCCAATAAGTTGGGTCTCGCTGGGAGGAAGTTGGTTGTGGGGGAGCGTTCTTCCCCGGCTGTGTTCATTTTTTGGAAGACTTCTGAATGTGTGGAAGTAGCGGATACAGATGCCGAAGGGTTTTGTCGTTCGTGAAGGATGTTTGGGCGGTGAAGATGGTTGTGTGGGGTTCGAAGGTTGATCGATGTGTGGTGTGTGTTGAAGAAGTTGGGAAGGTGCATATGTGCCGGATTCAAGAGAATTACGGCCCAGACGTTTAACGAGGATTTGATACAACAGGATGCCGCTGAGGTCTGTTAATCATTCTTTTTATATACGTGCAGTTACTAATTGAAATTTTAGTATTTCCCCTCAATATTCCCGGAAACAATTTTCCTATGTTATTAACTAAGGCAGTGGATGTAAATTACTTTCCCCAAGTTTGATCAATAAATAACTTAACAGCGGAAGGGGCTTCCCGAGATTGGTGGGGCATGGAGCCTACTATAAACGCGAGTGATAATCTGTGATTAAGGCAAAACCAACCTAGTTCTACTTAAACTTTTATCAAGGAGGCCGTAACTTGATCCATTTGGGAATATTTAATGAGAGAGGAAACAATCCACACGCGATCCACACAATTTACTATTGATATATAACAAGACATGTGGGCAGCTAGCCACTAACTGTGTGAGGTAAATCGCTGATTTAGGGTTCAATACCGGTACGTTTAGTGTCGAAAAAAGGAAAGCACTCGTGCTTGGGCAACGACTAATGGTCCTTGGAATTTACCTACACACATACGGTATATATTATATATGTTGTGATATAGCTCGAGTTAAAAAAACCATCGTACTAGAATGCGCATGCGACCTCTGCTCACAACAAAACCATAGCTACATGTACCCCAACACAACGATGCGTCTAGAAATTATTCGAGAGGCTAAATGTGACTCTCGGGCTCAGTGTAAATTTGATACCTTGATTGCAAAATGCCAAGATCTTAAACACATTCAAGATTTTGAGAAGGTCTTCGGGATTCCACCAACAACAATTGGCTTCGGTCATAACCTATTCCAGTTTTGTTGATTCTCATCTTGCAGAAGAAATATTGAATGATTTTGTTGTGTTACTTGGTAGTGTCGGAAATGAGCTCTGCTTTGTGGTCTTGGTAAAAAAGTCAAAGTTGAGAGAGAGACTGAAAAAGTTTCAACTCAAACTCTTTCAAGTATCCATCCTAGAGTTCGAAAATATTCAAAGCAAGTACCAAGACCCACCTGCATATATAGCCAGTCGTCCTCTTGCCCAACATCCTCTATAACATCTACCACTCACCCAATTACCTTACACCAGCAGCCCTCACATTCCAACCCAATTAAGCAAACTCAAATGGCAGACCAGGTTCCCACTCCACCACAAGCGACCACTCCAATTGCAACTCCTACGCGCCGTACCCCTTCGGATGTCTGGCGTGAGATTGAGGATGGGTACATCAACCCCCCGCCACTCTCGCCACGCCGTCAACGCTTGCAAGAACAGATTCCGGGTCCAGATACACCTGGGTTTCCTGGTACAACCAATCACCACCAATTGAGCCCAAAAGAACGGCACTTTCAGAGTCCAGATGCCCCAGCTAATTCTCCTCCCCGTACACCACCAAAACAGTACCCGCAAAGAAGTCCGAGCTCCATTTGGCGCCACATTCGCTCCGGCTATGGCCCCGACCATAACTCCAATGCCTCTTCTTCTCCTCCGGAGGACATTGATGATATTACACCGAAGGGAAACAGCGAAGGATCTGCATCTTCTAGTAACCAGGAACCTTCGTTAGTACCTGATACCCACGATTCTCATCCTCAATCTACCTGTCCTGTTCAACCCAAGTATTATCAGAGTGTTTTCCGGGAACATTTCGATGGGTTTCCACCAGCTCAAGCCAAAAAGCCTCCTAGACGGGGGTTGATTACTGGTGGAGGTGCTGGCGGGCGGAGAGATGTATACTACGATGGCACGTTGGGCGAGTGGAGAGCTATTCCCCCAATTCATGTCGATACTGATTCGGAGTCGGATAAGAACTCCGAGAAGGCAGAAGAGGAAGAGGGTGCCGGAGGGGTGGGTGGAAAGCGGAAAAAGACGGAAAACAAATTGAAGAAAGCAGTGAACTGTGTTGTCGGTGCCTTGATCAAGGGGAAGGAGGATAAAGATGATGAACCGGATAAGAGCGACAGGTTAGATAGGCCGATCGAGGAGCCAATCTTTGGATTCGAAAGCATCTATTAGAGGGTCCGACAGCACAACGAAAGGAGCCCCAGAACTAGGAATTTGAACGATCTTAACCTTAACCAAAATTAAGCTTATAAACCGTGGTGGAAGCACTTTGTAGGCCCGTGGAGTTAAAAGTAAAGGACAGCACGAGAAAGCATATCATCTGCCAGTTATGAATCAAAATCTTCAAAAATAAAAGATGGCTCACACACTATTCAAATATCAATCAAATGTGAAACCAAAATAGACTAATAGGGTTGAATGATACATCATGGGAAAACAGCTACGAATGGCCCAGCCCCCGTCCCTAGGTGTTGGATAAATACATAGATGAACAGGATTAGATTAATCCGACCAAGCCTCTCCGCTTCACGCGTACCTAGATTTCTCCCTCATCAAACCATCCTATTCTCATCTAAGATAATGCGTTCCAACATCCCCTCTCTTCACTTTGCCTGCCGAACATTGGTGACAGCTACGTGTATTACCGGAGTCATCGAATTGAGGACAAACGGTTGCAGCTTTCAGCCAAGCTATGTGAATACTTGTTACAGTATTAACGTTTTCCCGTATGTATCCGTCGCAAAGGTATTTGGTAAAAAGGCTGTTCTTTATTGATAAGGATTCAAAACCGTGATGGCGGGGTATATATCCTATTTGCTTTTGTCATGGAACAGTATGAATCCTCATGTATGTACGTACTAACGACTTCCACTCAGATTCACAGTATAGATGATGTAGTGACACCACTACGTTGCGGTCAGTTAAGATCTTATTTCCATTTCCCCAAGCGTCAACTATACTCATGCTTTGATACGATGTTAGCACTCATAAAGTACCGGTACGTACTGTATCTGTCAATTGACTACATTTAATAAATCAGGGATAGCTCAGGTGTTAGATCACGGTACACAACCTCCTCAGGCCTCATAATATATCGAGAGCCAGTGAATATCATCATAAGGACTCATCTCACCATACCAATAATCACGAAAAACAAAATATATTAGCAAAAGGATGAAGCCGAAACAGCTGTTGTTTTACAGGAGGTTTCTCAATAACATTTCCTTATAGTGCACATATACTCGGGAGTTCATTAAATGGTCGGATATCGTTGCAACCAAATCCCTACTAAGAATTCCGACCATTTAATGAACGCATGAGTATATATGCGCATGAATTTGTCAATACTTCAAGTCCCAACTCCAACTAAGAATACTTATATTATACAGCTGTTACCAAACAGAATTTATCCAACATCCGATCAGTCGTCAGGGCTTCACCTATATTATCTGGCTGAGGCTGGGCTAAGATGTACTTCTTAAGCTAAGTGCTTTGGAGCAATTGCAAGGGACTTGAATAACCGGCTATCCGTCCGCTTAGTCATCAATACTGGAGTACAGCTGATGATCGCGATAAAAGATACGAGCCTTGGCACAACCAAACTACACCAGTAGCTCTCAAGTGATGCAGATTTATTGATGTATACTTATCTAGCAAGCTTGCTTATGCAGCAATTGCACAAGAGAGATACATATAAATTGAAATCTGATAGGCCTGCAAAATATCGGCGGAAACTTAAAACTCGAGACTAGGTATCACAGCTTTGCGTTCGTTGTGAAAGTTTCGACATTTCCGAGCCACTGTACGGGACCACGACATCGGTGCACGAAGCGACGCATATGTTACAGGGAACCTACCATTGGGGCAAAGAAACAGCATCTCTCAAAGGGCCTGGTCCCACGGCGTTGGTACCACGGTTATTGGACCGATTCACCAGAAAACTGTATGTGTAACATCGATTCTAGATTGCCCATCCGACTCGTTTAGTTCTATGTTTTATAGAGGCCTTGATAGATTGAAAACGTTAAAAGCACTACGATAATACGATTGTCAGGTACAGCAGTGATTCTCAAAACCATAAAATCTAGATTTGAGTTATCTACCTGATTGGTAATCGGGTAAATATCACTAATTGGACGTTTTGGTAATATATCCTAATAGAGTATATATATAGTGTTTAAAACTGCCAATCTAATCTAAGCTGATCCGACAGTGAATGATCCTTCGACTAAGATACTGATTCAGGCTAATAACATTATTAATGCAAGTGTTATTCCCTTAGGAATTAGTAGCTACTTAGTGTGCATTAATTTCTTAATTTAGGTTAAATTGATAGGCAGATACTACTATATTCGAATCTCCAGAAAAGTCAACTGGCCTCATTTGTTGGAGTGTTAACCAAATCCTAGTGAAGGCTACTGTAACCTCGTGCCTACCAGCAGCTCGTTGTCCCTTATAGTTCTGAGAATCACTAGTGCTGTGCTTGATAATCAAATTATCTTTGTGTTTTTAACCTGCGAACGAGTTTAAGTGAAGGCCTCTACGAGTATTTTATCGAATCAAGAGTTCATAGATAACAATCAATTTTTAGGTTGTTCGGCGATTATACCCAAAATCTCTTCATATGCCTCTTGTGATTGGGTGTTTAACGCCGGAGATCTCGGAGATAGAGCAGCCATCGAAGAAATCCAGGAATCAACGAAGGCTTCGAGACATCGGTAAAGAGCCTCGGGAACTTTTGGTTCTTACAGAGATGTGTCACAAACGTTTAAAGATAAGCACGATCCTCGGAGCTTGCACAAAATTGTGCCATCCTTTCGAAACCTCATCAATAGAGCCCCGTATATGACTCACTTGATTTCTTTAAGTTTGTTTTAGAAAAGAAATGTTGAACATTGTAGTTGGTAGATGAGTTATGAGAATTCAGAGATTTCGCATCGATCTCGATCCTCCTAGAGCGAAGATGAACCTGAGGCCAGTTGGTTATATTGCTCGAGGATGAGGTGGATTTTTTAAAGCGTTTATCCAATCTCACAATGTTCTCATGAAGATGATACATGTAGGTATTGAAATAATGTACTCGTGACTGTTCTCTATCGCAGCTGTCTTTCAAAAAACCGCAGGTGATTTGTTGTCTTGACTTTGGCCCAATCCGGCTTAGCTTACTATTGAGTCAACCTCTGAGGCGATACTTCCAATAAGACTTGGGGAGGGTGAGAGTGGGTGTGGGTGTGAATTTAACTACAGAGATTCTCCAGGCTGATATTAATAGTGCAAAGGAAACCCTCTGGAGGTGCACTTGCAATTGCGGGCGTATCTCAAAACTCTATCCTTTGAGTGCTTCACAGAACAAATTGAATTGTCATCGATAAACTAATACGCGTAGCCTTTGACCTAAGCAAATATAATTCCTATCAGTTTGCATGGTTACACCACACTACAAATTCCCCCACCCTGCTTCGGTGACGTCGGCACGCTATTTTCAAATATTGGCACTCGCCCCGCAATCATCAACCCAACCTTCACTGCCATCGTCACCGTATCAGGTATTTGCATAATGGCCTCGAGCTCGAAGTCCACCTTGACGATTGGAACGCCCATCAGGGCAACTGCCGACTTCTGCCTTCTCCCGGTGAGTGACCCGGCCCCGGCCCTCATTTGAGATAAATCTAACATAGAATCTACAGCTCGGAACCTCCAGCGCGTCAGTTTCCAGACAGATTGCCGACGTCCAGCTGCTCATGAAGAACAGCGGGCTGAATTACAGCATGCATAGTGCTGGGACCACCGTTGGTATGCTCACTCACTACGAATATTTGAGACTGCAGGTAGAGCTCTGTTAACGAATATGTAACAGAGGGTACCTGGGACGAAGTCACGAGGGTGATTGGGCAAGCCCACTCGATGCTGCATGAGCAAGGCATCGTCAGAGTCCATACGGATATTCGTATTGGAAGTAGGTAAGCAAGCATTATCGCCCCATACCATATTACTTCCCACATTATTAATGAACCGGTTGAGTGCAGAACGGATAAAACAGAGAATTTCAGGGACAAAGTGACAGCTGTGGAGAACCATCTTGCGAAAGATGCCGAAGCTGCTCAATGAAATGTCAAGAGTGAGGCATGTAATAGAGCTGAGATATATACTTACATACCCACTCGACCATGTACGTACCCGGAGCTAGATATTACATAATTACATACGTACAGAATATCTTTGGAAGCTTCGGCCGTTCCTTGGAAACACTGGAAAGAAAACGAGCGCTATTGTGAAGACTGAAAAATACTCCAAAGCTGGTCGCATTGTCTCCTCCACACCCGCGGTCACAAGAAGAAAACGCCGAAGATCGGAATTTTCCCCAACGTCATGAATGTTCAATGCATATTTGTTTTACGCGAGAATTGGGATACTATAATAAATTGTAGCTGTGAATTCCCTTCCTCGAACATTTCTGAGAGAATGAAAAGGAAGGATAAAATTCGAAACTTGACTAAGATGTGCAGTACTGCAGCGGGAAAATACGATAGAAAGAACAACTATGTGACGCGCACTTATTGCGTCGTCGTCCTTCAATTGTCGAATGTCTTTTCTCTTTCCCTTCCCCTCTATTGTTTTTGTATGCTATTGGGTGAGGGGTGAAATAATATTGTGATAAACCGAATGGTCAAGCCAAAGAAAAAAGCAAGAAACAGGCGGGCAAGCAGATCAAATTCATGCCGCAGATCAGAGACGAGACAGGCAGAAACGCTTTTTGAGGTTCTACAACACAAGAAAAGCCCCGTGTGGATAAGGCTACCCTATCTACTGTACCCCTACATCCCTCCTCCTTCTCCACCTCCAAAAAACAAAGGTTTACATATAACGGCTCCCCCAATGGCATGGGGCCTGCAGGGATCACAAATTTACCTAGACCGCCAATCGAAACCTGTGCGGGTGGGTATGCTAGGTGATACGCGCAAATCCTGTGGTATAAATAAGGGTGGTTGGAGAACCTGGCCTGACCGACGAGGCGAACGTACTTTCCTTGCTTGAACTTCTTTAGCTGGCTGAATGAAAGGTCGACACGATCTACCATCTGTGCTCTGACCACCTGATACACCTGCCCGTTAAATTACTACTTCCCGACGAATATTCTATCCTACCTACTTATCTCCCCACCATTCCATCCACGACAACCTACAACTAACAACCTACTTCCCTCTCCCCCGCCACCAACCGAAACAAGACTCTGCGTATTTGAATAAAAACTCATCACCATCACACACTGACCACCACCACCACAATAATAATCCATAAGGTTAGCGCTATCCCATCTTTTTGAAATTCCATGAGCTGACGTAAACTCTAGATACAACCCCTCAGAGGAGAAAGGGCAGCCGCAAGATAGCGTGAAATTCTGCACCTCTTATAAACTGGTGAGCTCTCAAACCAGAAATAGCGAGAAAGAGAAAGAAAGAAAAAAAGTCTTCCACAAATGATCTTGCCCCGAAATGGATTGCGGGCCTTACCGCTTCACAAACAAATAGAAAGAACAAGAAGGAAAGCTGAATCTTTGCCAGCTTCTCAGCACCGGGTGAAAAAATCCCCACAGGAAAAAAATCAGGAGCAAAAAAAAACTTGCTCAGAAACGAGAAGAATAAACAAGAGAAGACAGAAAAACGACACAACACAATCATGGCTTCAGGCCGACGACTACGCACCCGCACTAGTAGCGGAGTACCAACATCACAGCAACAACAACTTTCAGATTGCGGCCACGACCGGTCTCAGCTCGACCTCAGCGGTGATCGCGATCTTCCCTGCAAGGTCTGCTGGTCCAACCGCGAGATTCTCATTCAGCGGCTCATCGAGCCCTTTGAGAACGCGCTGGAAACTCTTCAAGACGAGGGAGCCAGCGGCTCGGCAAACAGCACCCCTGAACGTGGGGTGGTGGTATCATCGGGAGATGCTCCTGTTGGTGGCAGGTCCCGAAGTTTGAGGCGGAGAGCGGGGAAAAAAAGGACAAGAAGTGCTTCCCCGACGGCGGCGACAACACCGATGGGAATTGATGGGGAGGATTTGAATTTGTTGGGTTCCGGGGGTCCGGGTGCTGTTAGGCCGGATGAGGAAGATTGCATTCACGTGCAGGATATCAGCGTCGTAACGGTGCAGAGGCCCCAAAAGAAACGGAGTAAATCTCCTCCCGATGAAAATAAGAGTGTGAAGATCGCAGCTTTGGAGCCACAGAAAGCGAGCACAAACATCATCCCGCCAACAAAGGGGAGAAATATGACAGTAACAACCGAAAAAATGCAAGAAAACCCTTCACCACCTGTAGATTATGCAGCAACAACGAAATTGCCGAAAGTGACAGAGAAAGCACCACCCACACCCCCAACACTGCCCGCAAAACTACCGAAACAGAAACAACAGAGAACTTCACAGGTGCAGCCGCCGAAAAAGGGCCAGCAAACCCTGTTTTCGTTTTTCTCCAAATCTGCCGAAGGCGCAACGGTAAAAACCGAAGAGACAAATGCGAAGCCAGTGACTATTTTTAGCGCAGGAGGGAATAGCAGCGGGCCGAGAAAGAGGGACGTGGGAACTCCAAAGGCGAATGAAGAAATCGTTGTCCGGACATGCACAAAGGTAGCATCACCACCGCCCCCACCAGCACCACCGGCAAGAGCAGGGACTAGGAAGAGCGCCCGAGATGTAACAGTAAAATCTCGAGAGACCATCAACTACAGGGAGGATTCAGATTCAGATATCGATCTCGATTAATGAAGGTTTTGATTAAACAAAAAATGGGGTACGGGTGCGCGTAGGTATGTCGGGAGCTCTCTTCACATTTGTCGATCTCTTAACAAGGATGATTGCTGAGTTTTTCTCTCTAAGTTTGGGAAATCATATAGATGCAGAACCACTCTCTTTAAAATTTCGATGATCAATGAGAATTCAAAAGCAGCGGCGTTTTTTGGGGGGGAAGAAAAGGGGAGGTTGATGTCCATTATATCTGTGGAGTTCTTTTAATTTCTTGGGGCGGAATATGGTAAATTTTCTATGTTTCATCAAAAGTCCATGTTACTTTGCTGCGCGGGGGGCTAGACTGACTGCAGATGCTTAGGTGCTGAAAATTTCCCTTACTCACTGGGTCTTTTCTTATTTTCGTAGACATACACTCTCTTAGAATCCATTTCATGAATCTTGGGTGGGTGGGAAACGAAGGCGTTGGTAATGCAAGATTCCGTGTAAGTAGCATAGCAGCTACAAAGGAGAATCAATGAGCTTACTGCACTCGATTTCCTTTCTAGCGACCTATTCAAATTTGTATAACTTTCAGTGGTGAGTTTGTAGAGGTAAACATACAGTGCGTATTATCTATCATGCTGTACCAGTATTTGAGTACTACAGCTCGTAGATTTCGCAATTCGTTCCCGTGGTGAGGGCTTTCGACCTTGTGGTTGTAAACTTCTTTTTCTCCTGTTCCCCGTACTGTAGACAACTCGCTTCTTACACCAGACGTTAGAAGTTAGCATTAGCCCTAAAGTTATCTAAGCTTAGAGCCCACCATATCTCAATTTCCTCAGGGACACGGTAGAGAACAGTACTTACCTCAACTCCGCGAGCCTTTTGCCGTACCCCCTCCCACCCATGACGTGACCACTCAGGATGGGTATGTAAACCCTCCCCGCACGTCTCGTCCCCCTGAAACCCTTCAAACTTCATCACCCTGGGAAGAAAGAAGAACTGCAGAATAGACCCTTCCCCTATACAAAATATTACACTGAGATGTCAGCAATTGGGGGTGCTGCTGGTAAAGAAGGTCTCCGAAGAGGTGCCAGGCGAGACCCAGAACTATATGTAATACATTCCCTCCCACTCCAAAAGATATTAACCTCAAAAAGCGGCATACGATACTGATATTAATGATAACGAAAGGTGTTATTCGCTCTCATGTGTGGAGCCTTTGCGCTGGCTGGGTACAACTTTTGTAAGTTGCCTTCGTCCCCACGCCTTGCTCTATCTAAGGCAAGATAGCTAATCCAGCAACCCTACCACAGCAAGAAACCCAACCATGTCCAGCTCGCAAGAGCCCCGTATCAATATGGTGCCCGACTCTGCTCCCTGGAAAGATGAAGACCTCGAGAACTCAGACAAAAACAACTATAAGTGCGGTCTCCCTATCACCTTGAACAACGCACAAGGCGAGCCCGTGACGCCTACTACACAGGAAAGACTAATGACATTACGCACGCGGATTATAGATACAAGTATCATCCAAACGCGGACTACAGAAAACCGCCAAAGAACGCCCCGAGTGCCCTACATTCAGTCATTTTACCGAATGTGACTTTGCCGAAGGTTTGTGCCAACTCTTGCTCTGGTTGAGGTGGGGGCCACTGAGTGGAATGAAGACACATGGATACTGACATTTGAGGAATAGAGGTTGCATGAGAAGTACAACAAGTACGGGAAGGATAACTACTAGCTTGGACTGAACTTTTTTGTTTTGCGCAATGAAGATAGATATGGGGCCCTAGAATAGCTTCATGTGTATATTGCACAATTGCATGTGTTCAGGAAGACTTGGCGGACATATCGCTAGAGCTATTATGAACATCTAGAACCGTCTGAGAACCGATACCGATAGTCTGGAACCCTAACCCTGACTTCAACCTCATGCCAAGTCTGTTATTTGAATCTCTGAGAGAGATAAACGAATTCAATCCCGGGAACATAATCATAATAGTAGGCTGGACGGGCAAATAAGTATCACCCTGTCCCTCTGTTTTCTGCAGTGCTCGTAAGAGCTAGGAAAACATTAAATTTAAGAGATTCCCGATCATTATATACCTGCAATCTCCTTTTGGATATTGCAATATAGTGATACTTACGTAATTAAATTGATTAATGGTGTTCTAGTGTTCGCATAGAACTAAAGTTGGTCGACGTATAAAATGGGATAAAATATAGCGCAATGATACCCCACCATGAAAACTACACAAAGATAATTGTATCTAATCAATTCATTCTTTGATAAGTATATGAATTACCAGTTGAGGCCCGTAGCAAAGAAATTCGAATGATAGTGGGCCCGTTTGCTCGTCACTGGTTTTTTTTCTTTTTTCTCTTTCTCTTTCTTCTGAAAAAACCCACACGAGAGTAGCTGTGTGACAAATGACACGCTGGAGGACACGTGAACCTATGAACTATTTAAGTATCAGCATAATAAAACCACGTTCCAGCATATACAAATAACCACGTGTCTCATTGTGTATACTATAAGTATAAGGCCCATCTTCCTTTCGCCCTTTTAAATTTTATCATCATTACAATATGTTGATCGCCGTCATCTCCAAAGCAAAGTAAGTAAAATGTATCGAGGCATGAGACAACACGTGCACTCTGTATTCATATTTCAAGTACCGAGCCTTTTTCTCTTTTATTTCTTTTCTTCTTTCTTTGCTTCCGAGCACCTCATCCCGATTCTTAAAGTCCTCCCTCTAATTTCCGGTCAGCTGACGAAGTTGGAAAAACAGACCAAAATCGATACAATTGAAATATCTCAGATCAATGACCTTGGATAGATGTCATTCTCAGTAACAGAAAGCTGGGCAGAGACTTCAAGCATTCCTGCGAGGAGCCGGTTGCCAGCAGGTTCGAGTGAGATTTCATGATTCATGACAACACCATCGGTACCCCATCAAAAATAAAGTCCTAAAACCATTTCTATAAGATCAATATAATCTCTCTTGAATTGAATATTTTTCCTCTCTTTTTCTTTTACAAAAAACGTTGTGCTAATTGGAGTTTCACGGGAGTATAGTAGGATAAAATCTTAAGAACTCAATGGGAACACAAGAATATCAAAACCGGGTCGAAGACTCAATGAATTAATACCAATTATGTTCGAATAATACTCTTTCAAGTCGACTAGGCCCAACTAAAGTTTTCATCTTACCTCTAAATTATTCTGAAACATAACCCTAGATAAGTATCAGAGTAAAAAAGCGGATACTCTAAATGCGCAATACAAGATGAATCCACGCTAGCTATGGCCTTACCTTGTCTCTTATAGGTTTCCATTTACTAAGAAATCTCATAAATAAGAAACTGCGATCCAAGAATCGTAATCCAGGAATGAAATATCTAATTTCAACTAAAATAGTAATATGTGATTTCTTCGGTTGATGGTCCTCTATATTCAGCTGGAAAACCATAATTACTATTTCCCCTTTCTTCGTGAGTACCCATTCGCATTTGAGAAGAGAAGTAAACTAACACTACCTTTGGTCAGGGGAAAAGACGAAAAAGTGTTATGACTATATAGGCACTATGATCTTTTCCGAGTGATACCGTTGCTATAATCAGGCTGCTGGTCTCGACTAAAACAGGGTAAGCTATGTCTTAACCCACTTGAACTGGGGCTCAGCTCAGCTATACACAACCCTCTACAGTATAGTCTAACGCAGTTTGAATATACCCTCTTGTCTTCCGAGCGAGTTCCCCACGCACCGATTATTGGGGTCTCACACGACACAAAGGCTGGACGTCGAACCGAATCCGCAGCCAAGAAATATTTGTATGTTAATTGAATGCGCGTTATGTCCTGTGAATAGGAACTCTCTCTACATATATGCAGGGGAAGAAAGTAGTGAGACTTAATATTTTGCAAGGCAGTGACAAATCGTGTTTGAATATGGCCGAATCTCAATTCACTCGTGCTAATTAAGTGTAAACTTTAGGAGATCGATCGAGGCTGCACCGACTTCAAGGCTGTGCTGAAAGACACAACTGTTTTTGAACTCCACCCCCGAGATGAAAGCCATAACTACCAACCATTTCGCAAAATATTGCTTCTACCCCCCTAATATCCGAGGTACGTACTGCCAGTACTGACTAACAGCTAATTACACAGACGCGCGGTAACCACGATCATCCAACCCCTAAATGACTAATCTCCTTAGCCAAGTCTTTCTCTGATTGGGCTAATCGATTGGTCGAACCAACAGCCAATCATACTCAGAGCCACCATATCACTCTCGCAGGCTTGAGTGCATATATACTCAGTGAGTTGTGGTAAATTACTCCCCAATACTTACGAGTTTACTTCTGTATTTCAAAACGCACAGGAGTAAGGTATCACTAGCCTCAATACCCAGCACATTATATCACTCGTCCTTCTTCCCCACACTAACGTTATCAAAAGATGAGTAATTTCTCCTACACCAATTTAATAATATCGATTATCCATTTCACAAGGCACCCCATACTGGGACCTGAACCCCAAACCCAAGCCCGCGGATACGTACTACCCTCCACCTCGAAGCCTGATAGGACCCAACCATGCCAGCTTACTCTACATTCCCCGCTAGTCAACGCATCTACATGTTACGGGTGCCTGATCGACCGGTCAAGTTACAGATCCTGCTGTTTCTGCCCCGTGTCTTTTATTGCCGCCTCATCTCCTCTGCCTAGTTACTCTAAATGTATGTACGCATCATCGATACGAGACGTACCTGCAGTTTACGCCCACTCTACTCGCCAATGTAGGTACCGTTTGAGGCCCTGCCCCGTGGCATTGCATATATACCATCCTAGGACCCTGAATATGCGGCTGTCTTTTCCCTCGCTTGTCGCTGGTTCGTCAATCTCAAGGGCCGATTCAGATCCGCGATCTAGTTGTAATTGATATCAACCTGGTTCTTGGACCCTTTCGTGTCACAGGTACCCTGATTTTGATATCCTGTAACTACTTACACGTGATACTCTCTCTGTGTGCCTCTGCGATCGCTCAGTGCATTTCGTTTCATGATTCCCTCCTCCCTACCCTGCCAGTTCACGCTGTAACATCCGGAAAAACAATGCAATGAAAACAATTAGTTTTTAAAAGTAGTGTTCATTTTTTTTCCTTCGTCCTTCTTAAAAGTGACAGTGAATATAGATCAGGTAGAGAAAAAAAAAAAAAAAAAAAAAAGGTATGAAAAGTTACAATCCTAATGATGGCATCAAAACGTGACTTTTTTCATCCGTCTCTGCTCCTCCCGCCGTATCTTAAAAATAAAATCCCAAAGCATCCCTCGTAAAGAAAAGTGATTCTGCCATGAGGACGTGATAAGGAAAAATAGTATGAATAAAAAATAATAAATAAAAAACTCCAAATGCCAAGCGAATGCAAACGCTGAAAAAGAAAAAAGCACCTGAAAAACAAAAATCCAAACAATCATATCCGCATGCTAATAAGATTCTGCCCGCATACCATCACCCATGCCATGCATATGTCAAAATAAAAAATAAAAATAAACAGATTTAGACCCAAATAAAACGGAAAGGAAATAGAGAAACCAAAATACTGTACACCACCGCACCGGGTGAAAGGAAATTCACATTCTCGTCGTTAGGTTCGATGTGATCCATAATCAATTTCAATAACCAAACTTTCTGTTGCTGTCCTCCGTCGTTATTTATTTCTTCTTACGTCCCCAAGCCATCATTGACGTCACTCTGCTCTTGAGCATAGGTCTTGGCGCAGGCTTCTGCTCAGCAACGACAGCAGCTGCGGCTGCTGCAGCCTCGCTGTCAACGATCGCCTTCTGTTCCTGCTCAGTAGGAGCTGGTGGAGGAGGTGCCTCAATGATCTTTGGCTGGGGTGCAGGAACCTCCGGAGCAGGCTCAGCAGCCTTGGGCGCCTCGACGACGGCAGGGGCAGCAGGGGCAACCCTTTCTACACCCTTGCCCTTATCAGTCGGGGCGGCGGCCTCAGCTGCGGGTGCCTGTGGAATCTCTTCGCTCTTGCTGGGCCCGTGGAGACTGATTTGGCTGGTGGCGGCGGAAGAGGATTTGGCTTCGCCAAGGTTCTGTGTGGACTTCTTCTTCCCGAAGGCCCATGTAGGACGGCGGGGGAGCTTGCTTGGTCGGCCGTCGTCGCTCTTCCCGTCTGATGTTGGCGGGCGTCCGTCTTTGTGGGATTTGATGGATGCGTTTGAGCGCTTGACGGGCTCGGCGGGGGTAGGTTCCGCCGCAGCGGTAGTAGCAGGAACCTCGAGGGCGGAGGAGGAGGGGGCGGCCGCGGCGGCGTCGTTTCCGGCGGCAGCCTCAAGGTCTGAAGACTGCTTAGCTGCTTGTTCTCGCTTCTCTTTGGAGGACAGCTTGTTCATCGTGTTGCTCCAGCTCATTGCTCGGGACATTGAAGATTTCTCTTTCTCAGAGCGTCTGGATTCCGGTCTTGCCGCAACAGCATCATTGGACGATGCCAATGGCTCCGGGGGAGTAGGTGGGGGCGTAAGCTCACCTAACTTGGCCTGCGAAGAGGATGCAGACGCTGGCGTCGAGTTCTCGCGCTTCATCTTCTTTCCAGGGAACACATTTGTCAATGATCGCCTGAGAGAGGAATCCTTCTTGTTTGAATCGACTGATGGAGCCCTGCTGTGGGATCCAACCATGCGGCGGAAAGATGGCTTTCTGCTGGGGCCTGACTCGGACCTAGTCGATTTGTCGTCTCCAGCAACGCTAGGGGGTTTACCTGACCTTGAACGGCGGGTGTCCTCGGCGCTGGTAACCTCGGGCTGTGACTCTTCCTTTTCGTCCTTCCCTTCGCTGTTGAGGGAGATCTGATCTGGGGAGGCGGTTGTTGGGTGCTCGATGAATGAAATATCATCATCGGCCTTGTCCTTGCCCTTGGGTTCAACCTCGAGCTTGGCGCTGGCGGGCTCAGGAACCTCGGCGAGCTTGGGGAGTGCTTCTGATGAACTGCTAAAGGACTTGCGGTAGGTAGGTGCCTTGACCTTAATGTCAGCTTCAAGCTCTTCTTCCATCTCTTCTGCCTCGGATTTTCTTGCGCGAAGGAGCGCCTTAACCTCTTCCGCAAACGCACTGCGTTCGGGAGCGGGGGTAGGGGGGATAACACCAATCTCAGGGGGTGAATTGGGGATGGCTACCGAAGTGGACTGTGTCTCCGACCCTTCGGCCTTTTTGAGCTCTTCTTTGGGCTCCTCGATAACTTCTTGCACCTTGGGAGTCTCCACCTGAGGCGATTGGATCGGGGCTTCGACGGGAGCTTCGACGGGAGCCTTGACCGGAGGTTCGATGGGGGCTTCGGCCTTGGGCTCCTCGGCTTTGGGAGCTTCGACTTTGGGAGCTTCGACTTTGGGAGCTTCGACTTTGGGAGCTTCGACTTTGGGAGCTTCGACTTTGGGAGCTTCGACTTTGGGGGCCACAACAATAGGAGCTTCAACGATAGGGGATTCCACCTTGAGGGCCTCGGTTTCCTTGAGCTTGGGAGCTTCAACCTCGAAGGGGTTAGAGATCTCGACAAGTTTGGGGGTTTCAAAATGAGTCTCAATCTCCTTAGTCTTAGGAACTTCAACCTCTTCAATCTTGGGGACTACAACATCCTCAACGACTGCTGCTCTAACCTCTTCGACCTCTGGTACTGTGACTTCTACCTCTTTGGCCTTTGGGGCGACAAAGTCTTCAACCTTGGTGATCACGGGTTCTTCGACTTGGGGGACTTCGGATTTGGGGGTTTCAACCTCCACAGGCTTAGGGGCTTCAAACTCCTCAGACTTGGGGACTTCAATGATCTCCTCGACCTTAGGAGCCTCCATTGCAACCTCAGGAACTGAAGGCCCCGCCTTCACTACTTCCTCCTCGGCAGCCTTGACCGGAACCACCTCCACAACGTCGACCTTTGGTGCCGGCTCGACAGAGACTTCGCGGCTTAGTGATGGGGCCCTGATAGATGAGGCAGCTGATCTTCCCTTCTCGACAGGAGTGAGCGATCGGGATTCTCTGTATCCTTCTCCGCCGGTGACCGGGAGGTCAGCAACAACAGATCTAGAGAGAGTCTCCACCGAAAGCGTTCGCTGGTCGTATGGGCAAGCATCCGAGTCCACGACTGCTGGGGGAACGATCACCATCGACCCTGTCTCGACCTGCAGAGCTGGTGACTCAGCTCGTACGCTGGGAGTTGGGGACGGTTTGTGACTATCAAATGTCCATGTCGGCGGATACTCCGCTATTGGTGATAATGGCTCGGCCTCCTCAGCCTCATCAATGGTCTCAAGCATCTCGTCTTCCATGATCTCTGGCTCCGTTGATTTTGGTAATATCGGGTCGGGATTCTGTATTGGGATTTGTTGTTCTACCGAGCGTGTTGCTCGGCTTTCCTCGGCATTGGTTAGGTCGATGCCGGAGTCACGTGAGCCGGCTTTGGTGGAACTTGTTGGTGTTCTTGGCGTTGTAGTTTCAAATGAAGCCTCAAGAAGGAGTGGTGTTCGCTCTGTTTTGGAAGACTTCGAACTCTCGCCCACATCATCCTCCACGACTTCAATTGCTCGTGCCTTGCCCTTGTCCCTCTGGCCCTCTCTCAACTGCTCCCCATTGGCTGTAACCGCCTCACGTGCTGCTGCTGCACCAATTGCCCTCTTATTGCGATCCCTCTGTTTCCTCTTCTCCCTGCGGAGACCGAATCCACCAATGAAAACCCACAGATTCTTTGGTGTCCAGAAACTCAGTGCAATACCGATGCCGAAAATAGCAGCTAGGAAGCTACTCGCCGAGAATCTCCCTGTACTCGCTGGAGCGGGGGTGTCGTCGGGTTCTGATGTAGTGGGAACGACGGAGATCAAACTGTCGCTCGCGCAATCCTCATGAATCGTTTTAGCCGTCACGATTGTTATGATTGTGGGGGCACTCGAGGGGGGTGGGAGGGAAGAATATGTGCTATACCCAATGGACATTCCTACGCCGCCCAACTCGCCAGAAATGCAGTTGCTTATGGGCATATCGGCGGAACCATCACTATGAACAACGCCAGTGTCGGCAGCCCTCGACCGCGAAAATAGCTGATCGAACATGGTGGGCGGGGGTGTGGGGGGTGAGAGGGAGGGGGCGGTTTCCCGTTGAGAGAGGAGGCGGTAGTGTGATGTGTATAGGTGATGTGTAAGAAGAAGGACGTGAAGGAGAAAATAATAAAATGGGAAAGGGTTACAAAAAATCAAGCAAGATAGAACCCGGTAGAGGGGGATATGAAGAGGGAAGAGGAAGAGGGAAGAGAAAGAAAGAGGAGATCGATGGTAGTAATACTAGTACTAGTAGTAGTGGATTACGGGGATGGGTAATGGATAATAATAGATTGACAAGTGTTGGTGTGGGTGATGGCTTGTGATTATGAAGGGACCGAGAAACACAGTTATCTCGGTTCAGGGAATAGCGGGGGAGAGATTGACTCCTCTTTTTTGTCGGAGAGAAGGGAGACGAAACGTCCACGAGGATATATATTCCCAGGAAGGGTAAAGATTGCAATAAGTGTGTGTGTGAGTGTGTGGTAGGCAGGCTGGTAGAGTAGCACCAGTAATAGTGAGTGTGCGTTCGAATCTTCCTTCTTCTTGGAGACTGACGGTCTACTGAGATAGAGAAGGTAGGCTGATCTGACCGATTGACGTGGTTCGCTCGAACGGGAGCAATAGAAAGACAGTATTCGAAGAAGAAGGAACGACGACGTCAGACACCACACTGCGGTCTTGAATGATTGCCGAGTGAGTGAATGGGAGTTGAATGAAAACAAATTATTGTTTTTTTACTCGTTTTTTTAAGGGGGAGTAAGTGAACGAACGAACGAACGAACGGGAACGAACGTGATAAAGGTCGCGAGAGTTGATTCGAGTGAATGAGGTTAAGTTTGATTTTCTCATTCAGATTCAGACTCAGATTTCAACTCCTCTCTTCTTCTTCTGTATGTACCTCTTTCTTTCTTCCCTCCCTATTCTCCCTATCCCTATCCCTATCCCTATCCCTATCCCCTTCTCTATCCGGAGGTGGAAGACAGTGGGCGTTCTTCCTGGGAAGCTCTACCTCCGAGATGTATGTATGTAACAAGGGCACTAAAGTGCTTTTCTCGATGTGCGTTCCAGCAACAGAAAAAGCAAACAGGAAAAGATGTGCCGGGATTGAGGTTCAATTCTCGATTCGGATTTGTGCAAGAGGCTACAAAAGTACTGGAGTGCAGGTCCGTAGCGTGGACGTCTACAGCTGGCAGCCTTTCCAACCCCCCCAGCAAGCGAGAACACGTAGACACGCTCCTGCGAGTGACAACGGGGAAACAGCCTATCGTTGAAGAGGGTGGTCAAGGAAGCGATTTGCGCCTGCAGTAAACGGTACCAAGCAGGGGCAAGCGACAACGGGAGTCAAGGTAGTTGGTTGGTTAAATTCGTAGTACTTGGTAGGACCCGTAAGGAAAGACGAAGGCAGTAAGAAAGAAAGAGGACGGCGGACAAAAAAGCATGTGGGTAATGAACGAGCAAATGGTACCGGAGAATGATAGAAAGGCTAAAGAAAGGATCCTCAGGAATTGGTCTCAATTGGATGATGTTCGGCCTCGGGAGGTGTGGGGAGCAAGACTTCGTGGACCCAGGAAATATTGCAAAAGGCTCCGTCCGGCTGGAGTCTAGATGGATCAACCACCACTCGTATCCCACCCCCATTACGCTAATCCCTGTATGTTTTGTTGTCAGTGCCCTAGCCACACCAAATCGTGATCGTGGTTGGTTCAGTGTTTCCATCTCTTCACCGCCCTTCCTATCAAACATCTTCCCCTGGGCTGCCGCGCTCAGTGATACTGGGGCTGTTCCCGGCCCATCCTTATGACCATCATCATCATCAGCAGCATGTGCGTCTCCTGCCTCCAGTTTCGCTTGATATGAGGTGGTAATATGACACCAGAGACCCTTTCTAACGGTCTTCGTTGGCCATCCTTCGTGGCTGCCCGGCGAGCAACCATCTCATCATCAGTTGAGTAACCCTGGAGGTGATGGCAGTCATCACGAAACACGAGGCTCTGACACGCCGTTTTAAATGCGGCTCTGGTTACTCTTCACGTCAACCCGAGTCCCGGGGACAGTTGGAGAGAAGAGAAGAAGAGCACTTGTAACTTGCACCTTTCAATTGACTTGATACTACTTTCCCTTCATGATTCATTATGCGTAGGTACAGATCTATCTTGGACATAATCGCAATTGGTAAGTGCAATTGCAAAAAAAAAAGTGAAGCTCAGAAACAATTGGAGGTGCCGCTCCGTACCATGTTTCCTTTTTGCTATCTTTCCACTGGCATACTGCAATGTGCGAGTACATGCGTTGGTAAACACGCTAAGCCTAATTGATACGCCAACTGGCAGAATCAATGGCCCGATCATCCGTAGAGAAATGTTTTGCTGTCTTTGCAAATTGTTTTCCTCAATCAAGTTTTCCTTTTTTTATGCTTTTTTACCGCCCGGGTTTTGCGAAACTTATTCCATATGTTATCGTGGCGGAGGGCGATCGCGATTTTTACTGATGCTGAAGCAATTCGAAACCTGAGTAAGCCGTATCAACTCTAACGGATTATATAATTGTACCGAAGTCTTAGGTCTCTCTACATATGTGCCTGTGGCGCAAATGGAAAAAGAGAAGGTCCAAGTTCTTCCGTGTCATCTCCAGAAAGCATTTATTTAACCCAGATCCTAGTACATACATGCTCTGTGGAAAAACCCCCCACTCAGGACGGCCCTGGACGGGTGCAGCTCGGGACGACTCTCTTGATTGGGGTTGTAGCCATGCATGAAGCTGCCCCGAGCTTTACTCCCCATTCAAACACTGTGTTGCTCCGTTTGTCTTCTTTTTCGCAGGAGGTGTACATATAGAAGGTGTCGTATCTACCTATGTATCCATCTATTGTGCGTTCAACTCGGGCAGAGATCCCTATTTTCCCACATACTCACTTACCTTACTGACTTACATACTTATTTCTCCCATGACCGAATATGACAGGAAACCAGAGCGATTGAGTACAGAAAAGACGGATGCCAAGAGACATATCGACATCTCTCCTGCACTGCACACAGCGCTCGATGGATGGAACCCCACAAGTAAGCAAGCAAGCTTAACCCCACAAAAACAGCCATTACACACGCGAAGGATTTCAGATCGGCCACATGTATTTCTACCAGTGGGAGAAGGGTGGGTGTTCTCTACGAGTAGAAGGTTTATCTTCGGCGAATAGCGAACACATCGAGCGCGCACCTCCGGAGAAGTTCAAGGCGATACCGTAACCACCCTCCGATTCTGATCACTATGGATAGACCGGAATGTTTCCTGCGGCTCTGCGGCTCTTACTTAGTCTCATTCGATTCGAAGGGGACCTGTCCCGCTGTTTCCCGTAACCCGGGCCTTTACTCTGGAAATTTCCCACCTTGCCCGCCTTTCCTTCTCTTCCCCGACTAAGTTGCTACCTTTGCCTCTTTGGCGATCGCGTTGATAATCCCTAAATCCGCGCACCAAGAAGAGGGCCCGGCAAGAAACTCCTCCCGACGCAGCTTGTCCCAGTAGGCAGAAACTCTGCTATCATGTAAGGGGAGGCATCTGGTTGGCGATGCGTTTAAAGGTGTTGCGCTGGCAAGCGTTGTTTCCCTTTTCGGTATTTTTCGCTCGGGTCCTACCGCACTTGGTTTGGGTTTGGTTTGGTGGGTTAGGGTTGTTTATTTCAGTTTGGACCTGCTGAGAGGTATTTCTTGGCTTGGCAGAAGTCATAGCCAAATCTAGAACTTCGAAGCGCGCGGAAAAGATACGATATGATTGTGATGGAGAGGATTCACTGGAACTTATTGTTCGACACCGGTCCACCAGGAGTTGGATTTGCAATCTGAATCGAGTGGTTGGACTGGACAAAGTCCTACCAAAATGTCTAATGAGCCTTGCAAGTCAATTAGTTAATCTAGGATACTAGGAATTATTAGTGGTGGACGCGATAAGAGATAAGAGATGCATAAAACTAGTCGCTGCTTGATATCTCTTTCTTTGGCTTGTATCGAACCAGCTGCCTCAATTTTTGTTGATGATACTGTTCCTTTGATTGGCAGGTAGCTTCTAAGTTCTCCGTACAGAATGGGGACTTATTCTTGGTCTCAGGAGGACTTACAAAATTCAAATGATTGCTCTTCCTAATTGTTTTGCCAGCATGAGTAACAGGGCACGGCGTGTTTAACTATTTTGATGAATCGAACTCATTGCTACGCATTATTTATTACTCAGAGTAAGTTCCTACGCACACTTTGTGCTGTGATCCGTTGTTGTTATGCTCGCAACGAATAATATTCATCCCTTCCCGGAGGCCCTGCAGCCCGCAGCCCTGGTTTCAACGCACGTAACTTCGCAGCCTAGTCCGTACGTGTAGAAATAACTCTGACCAACCCGAATATTCGCATTAATATTCATAGAATCATAGTGGTGATATAACCCACAGCGTGGTACTAAGCCGAGTGTAGGTATTGAGATGCTGTTCAAGGTAGATAATTCTCTATCGTTTTATTAACGACACATAACTAGCTGCATGTAGTTCTCATTGTCAGTAAATCCTTATCCAAACTCAAGGTATAGATAGTGTACATACACTCGACCTGGAGATTTACAGGCGATTTTTGATTAGTAGGCATCGTTTTAGCACCTTAACAGGTACCCTGGTCTATTAAGGTTAACTAATATATAGCGTTCTGTACTTGCTTGTCGTCAATCTAGCAAAGATTAAACGGCCAAATCGGATGTAGTTGTATTAGTGCTGTGAGACTGAAGACTGTGTATCAAAAATAGTCGAGGGTGCATGTTTAGGATGAAGGGGAATTATGATTATGATGGCTGTGATGTAGGTGACTTTGATAAAAAATGATTGGGATGATGGAGGTGGTTGAGGTGGTTGAGTTGATGGCTATTGGGATGATGACGGGGAGATTCGGCTTGGCTACATATAATACTAGTGAGGAGCGGCCTCCGGCCGCATATAAAATTAAACATCAGTTCGAGGAACCGCCGACATGAAAAGAAAAGGCTGTAAAGATCTAGCAAACTCACAGCTCTATTTAGTGTTTCGAATTGAACATACAGCTCTATACTATGGTTCGAAATAAAGATCGATTCCTCGCACGCAGTCGGGGCCGCCTGCCGCTGCGCGGCATGCTGGGCCCCTCCTTGCTCGCGTGAAGTGTTAGTTTCGGAAGAGCTCAAGAAGAACCATTGATGGAAAGTATAAAGGTTATAATATAACGTTGGTCAGAGGGGCTATTATATATCATGACAGAACTCGTGGTTTGATGACTTAGGAAAACATGCATGAAGACATGCATGTCGTCTCCCTTAATGCACCCAATTCTTTGTCTATCGACAGCTAGCTGTAGCCCACCGGACTATACTCTAGAGATGGGAGGTAACTAACCAGCCAATAGAAACCTTTCGTGGTGACAGAGATACCTGACTATTCTATTTAGATATGGAGTTTGGAGGGTTTGGACACAAACTACGCGTATACGGGTTGATGATTTATACTAGAGTTGCCAGGTAAGCTTCAGCGCAGCACCGACCCTTAAGGCATTAAATTTCTGAGCGAGCACTTTCCAAAGTTTCCGAGCCAATCGCACCATCCACCTCTTGTCTCAATCTGGAACTACTTAGTCACTATGTAGTATAGTAAGAAACATATTTCTGCTATCTAATCACTTTGACAGCTCTTGTGAAACAGATGATTCTTTTATGTGTGATCTACAATCAGTTGCACTTATTAGAATGAGTGATATATATATAAAAGACACAAATTTCGGGTTCGAATTTTAAACTTAACCTAATCCTTTTTGTTTACTACGTATATTTCCCCCTTATCAGATGCCTTATAAATATACATCTACAAAACCCCAACTTTTGATCTCTTACACTAAACCTGAATTCCCCGCCGCACATGTGCTCACGTACCAATATAATGCTACACTCGGAATCGTTCCTCGGCCACATATATGTACAGGCACATAATGAATCAATTAATCAACCAACCAATCAGTATATGTAATACATGTTCATATGTGGGGTGTGTAATTAATGAAGTAATCAATCAATCAATCAAACATGTCGGGGGGGTGACAGCGAGTGATTTACCATGACCGACCCGAGTTATTGTTTGATTGATTGATTACTTCATTAATTGGCCAGAGTTATTGTTGTTATTATGTCAATGTTTTTGAACTTCGGTCAGTCCAATTAGTAAGTCAACAACCATTGAATATCGTATATACGTATCTATTGCTCTTTATATAAAACTATTAACGAGTGACTATTATCTATATGTGTGTCCTTCAACTAATAGATATTTGTAACACTTAATGTGGGAGATCAAACACCGATTCAGAGAGATTATTTATATAGATACTTGTATATAAGTCTTACTTTACCCTTTCATATAAGCCTTGTATCCGTTGACCGATTCTCGCGTAATATTGTCAACCTCTATAGCTGTCAACCTGATCTCAATACAAATCATTTCTGGCCATCGCAAAGACAACTTCTCATGCAGATTAGACCACACAGGGAATAATTAGCATTATAATACGTGAAATATCGTGAGCAAACACTAGCGAGGGGTGCATATGTGCCTTTGCCCAGTGCGTGCATGGGCATACCTGATTAGAGACAAGTTGATAAACGTTTCTGTTAGAGCTACTTAGCTTTCCTACTACAGTCTTCTTATACGCCAATTCAATCTTCAGACTGATATGCGGGGTCAACAAAACTCAATTTTGGAAAGAATAGGAATAATTAATCATAAATTATCACTCGACTGCTAACCCTAACCCAATACGGGTTGAGGCGTTTGCTCTTGGTTAACTACACCTACAACCACCACTGGACTAAAGCAAGGTAACAGCTGCTTTTCTCTAACTATCTTCACTTAATCATTGATGTCAATGATTTTGAAAATTGAAATATTAGTTAGAAAGGATAAACTCAGGAATTGTCAATCAATCAATGAGGAAGGATAAACACCATGCAGAGCTTGGCATAGTTAAAATTACGGAAACAGTTAGCTTGCTACCTGTAGGCGGCTGCAAAGAGTCAATGCGATTTTAGAGGGCCAAACCCCTAGCTGAATCAAACTTAGCAGATCATGTTGTCGTAATTCTCTTGAAATTCGTTCCCCTGGACCCAGCGTTTCTATGATACCGGGGTTTCTGGAACAACTGCCCCAAAGTAGGGTTTGGGGGACTTAAGGTATTCCCAGAGGGATAATCAGATAAAGGTTTAAAAAGGAGTCGCTTTATAACTTGGAGTTGTTCCGGCTCATATAGGATAAGCGCCAATGAAGTCGCGTACATGAGAATAGACGCCTGTCTGTTCTATTATATATGTGTCGAGACAAGAAGCGGATCCTTCTCTAGCTTTTCATATAAAAGATATGTATTCAAAAAAAATTGTGTCTAAAAGTATATCCCGGCAGAGCCAAAGCAGGTCGACAACGTTCCGGACACAAGCTTGAGGTAGAAGGTCACATGCCATAACCTACAAGGACTCTTGATTATTAAGCCTGAGATGCCTTATTATAACTGGAGCTGCGCTGCGCTTAGCAACGCCCTGAAGCTCACGGCTCATAGGTACTCCTACTCTACAAGCTCCCTTCTCGCACTTGTAGCCTAGTTTAACTTCAGCTTCGCCGTAACTCCTGCAAAGTAAATTAACGCCTTCCTTTCCTTAATTTCGAAAGGCAACCGACGAAATTAAAAAAGTCAAGACAGCAGAATTCTTTATTTGATACAGGGATATATATATATATGCTTTGTTAGGTCATATTCTTCATGTGAAGTTGTCTAGAAACTTCCCGAATTGGGAACGGATAACTGCTTGACGGTCAAGTCTCTACATTCAAGCTTGAGCTGCTCAGCACGATGATGACTCAAGGATAACTAAGCAAATGCTGAGCGACTATGCCCACTTAACCCTGAAGTAAACTTCAGGGCACAAGGCTTAGTAACCTTTGAGACTTGAGGGTGAGGGGACACATGTTGTGATGGAGAAGAGGGTGTTTGTGGGGTTTGTGGCTTACGTCCCGCTCATCCGTCTGCTCCCGGGAAAGTATAGTTTCTGAATAAATCAATTCGATGTCGGGTTGTTCTCAATGTTATTAGCTCGATTGGCTTGATTAGGAAGTTAACCTTTTAATCCCATAACATACTGTTAATTCAAGCTATGCATATAGTGTGAAAGGATCAATCCTAAATCGAAAATAAAAGGCCTTGTTCTTGTTCAGTTATACCTCCTTATCTATACTACACATGTAATTCTCTTAGCACTATGGAACAATTGTAAGGCTCACGGGATTCCAGATAGTGATGGAGGCAAGGCTTGTCGAGACATTCACACGATTTGAGAGGCTTCTTATTAACTGCGGGTATCTCATGTATGAATAAAAAAAAAAAAAAAAAAGCGGGTGCCTCATGCGACCTGCAGGTGATCAAACTGCTGCAACCGTATTCTTAGTGTACTTCCCGTGTGCAGCTTCTTAGTGAACCCCCGGTGTGTTGGTGGAATCGCTTCAATTAGGCTGTCTCATCCTCTCTCACAAAGCCTCTTTCAATGTCGACGGGATATAGGGATCGGAAGCCTTACTTAAATTATAAAGCCTTCAGGCCTCTTGGCCTCACCTTTGTCACGAGTTACGGGCTTGTCTTCCCGAGCCGAGCGCGTGTTGTGTTAATTAAGCTCAGGTTCGCAGAGTCAACAAGACGTATTGAAAGAATCAAAAAGATAGGGTCGGAAGGGTGGACTATAAATATTCTGCTTTTCTAGTCTTGTAATGGTCTTCTGACGTTCTGGACTTATAACAGGTTGTCATTTTAAAGGTACATATGTAGATTAGCGAATATCGTAGATCGGTAAACTTGGAACTCTGTAAAATCCATGCATGCCGACTACGAGCCCTGCCTATTGTTATTAGTTATTTGGTAAGTTTGCTCTCGAGACTTTAAACCGATTCTTTTGTTGGCCTTCGAGCCTCGACATTCCGAAATTAAGTGTGGATGGCTTCTTCTCATTTCGTTCGAAATGTTAAACTGCGATATTATGCAAGTCAGTTTTCCCATCTCTACAGCGTGTGGTAAGATTATTGTTGAAGTATGGGAAGAGTCCTATTGGCCGAGTCAGCCACTTAAACCCTGTTTTTAGACCTCTGTTTTCACAATAATTCTACCTCTCGCTGCACCAGCGCTGCACAAGGGGGGATGGCCGAGGGTGTTTATGAAGAATGACTGAATACCAAGTTTGGTGGTGGGATGGCAGATGAAAGAAAAGAGGGGATGGACATCGCTGATGGAACTAGCGGCTGGCTGGTCATATTCGCAGGGGCCGTGTATATTCTAGCCTCTCTAAGTCTGGTCTAGTGAGAACCTTAAATTCGCTACCGTTCCTACGGTTGCAGGTTCTTTTAGAGATGTGGTTGCCGAGAAGGTTCTATACTAGGCCAACCCATATGAATGCTGAGATCAAATTGATTCTGGCATGTTCGATTAGTCCCTTGGCGCGTCACAACCTCATGTAGGTAATCAATTGCAAAGAAGCCTCTACATACTCGGGTATGTTCTCTCAGTATACTCGGGGTTCGCTGGTAACAATCCGAAAGGCAAGTATTATCTATGCTCCTATATAATCGGGAGTATCGAATCCGGCTATACCGGATGCTAACAACCAGACGCTATTAGTTATTACCCTATCTCCACGTGACAGCATTCAGGGTCCATTGTCACCGCCACAGTTCTATTTGCTCTACCATTGGCCCTCGGAAGCGAACCGCCACAACACAGCTGTCCTGATTCGAAGTGTTTTACTGGCTAGTAAACCTAACCCTCACTCCGTAGACCTGTTTCTCTGTGAAGTCACCGTTTGTGACTTCTTCTTTAGAGTACTTATTCTGGTGAGTCCAGAGTCTGTAGAGAGTTAGATTTCATGGCTATCACCACGCCGTCGTGGGCCTAATATGTATGTCTTCATCTGCAGAACAAAACCATGGTTTGGATGAACTGTCCAAGAGTCAATCACATGACACTCTCTGATAAGCGTTGTGGCAAAGGTCATTAACCCAATAAAGTTTAAATCCGATGATCAGCGCATGAGCCACATATCTATTCGCCACTTGCGAGGTTACTTCGCCAATTTTTTTTTCTTTCCTTGTGCTCTTTCATAAAATCATTTCCTCAACTTCAACCGATCATATCAATCAACAACTCATGTATTTCCACCGGTCATGCAACAGTGTCCGGTTTCAAATTTTACAAAGTCGATCCCGATTGGATCGCTTGAGATAGTTGCTCGTGTAGGATAGGTCTACGTACAGACTTCAGCTGGAATTGACCCAAAGTTCCGAGGCAGGGTGAAGGTAGAGCAGGGACGGATACAACTCGAGAAACTCCGAAATAAATACTACCCCTACCAAAACGTTTGTTCTTATTTAAAGTTGACTGTACTGCTTAAGTAAGGAATTCAATACCTGGCAAAGTACACTGCCGATCTATTGGATGGCGGTGTTTGTATTACCGGATTTTCCCGGGTCATGAGCCCTCACTCGAAGCTAATGAACGTGTCTTGGGCTTGTTGGGGTACCAGGTCCCTTGCTTTGGTTGAGGTTTCGTACCAGGTGGAATGATACATAGTTGATTTTTGTATGCAGGGTGTGTACCGCCATACTTAATTTTTCCTTCCCTGCGTAAGCGTCGGGTAGGGCGGAGGGGTGGGTTATGATTTCCAGGATTTCGCCTTACCAAGTCAGGTGAAACTAGCTAGGTAAAAAATGATTTCATACTAATGAATACGGGGCGGACATAGAGTGGCTTTAGGAGATGGTTGGTTCGGTGGCAAATTGTCTCCGAGTGAAATGATATTTCGATCACTTTTTAGAATTGAGGACACCTGTGGACAACGACCGGTCTACTGCAAGAGGTAGCAGCGCACAGCGGGATTATGCAACCAAGATATTGTGAAGTGGCCACCGAGAGGTGTCCACGCAAGCATCATAACCTATGATATGTATGTATTACTATTCAATTGGCAACAACCTCGTCTCGGTACCGTTTCGGGACTGTAACTCTCCCGTATTCAGTCCCTCTATCTACTGGATTTCGTATTTGCTTTTCTGGTTCTGAACACTGATTCTGATCTGTGGACGGCCTCAAGAACTTCCCATGAGCCTCTCGATCTTGAGTGACGTAGCCGGAGAAGAGAGCGGATTTGGTGTTAGCATCGTTTCGTACCTTTGTGACCAACTCTCGCTTCAACTCATCGAAAACACCGTCTTCGAAGATGGGATTCTTCAACGTAAACAGTGAAAGCATGACCTGAAGTACCTAGCGTACAGTCAGGGCACCTTATGCTATCCACACTTGGAAATTTGCTAGTTATCCGCCGAGCTTTCACTCCATGGGCGGCGGGGTTCCCCGCAATGATAATCTGTTGTTTCTAACTCCATTTTGGGAAAAGGGACATGCGAAAGGGGAAAAAAGGTTAGAAATCGGCCGGGTAAAGTGGCGAATGAGAAAGTTCAAGCAAAAACGGGCCCCGGACAGACTTTCCGTCCAATCAGCAGTGGCGTAACGGGGGGGTACCCCCCAAGAACAAGCTGGCACTCTTCAAGGACGAGGCTGCAGAACTGTCAAGCACCCTCGGTCAACCTCTACCCTTCCGAATCGCCCTTTTCGCGTTCTGGAGACTCCTCTAGCGGGCGGAAGAGAAGATCCTTACGGAATATAAGGCTTTGCTTGCCATACTCTTCAACCTTTCCGTGAAACTTCCTCCGAGTACGTACACAGGATCACCAATCCTCGCTACATCGCTCTGAAAACTGTGGGTGTGCGCCACAAACCCCCTCCCACAACCCAACTTCAACGGAGTTAGCTTACTTCTCCCATCAATCAATCCTTGGAATAGATTCCCTGTTGAACAAACGGTTCTTCTGGGTTTCTTTCTGTGGTGGTCGATATAGAGATAGATGTTGATCTCCTATGGAACCTCCTCCAGGTCGCTACAGTGTTCCGCCCAAGAAGGGTTCGTCAAGCTCCGGCCCACCATCTTCTGTCGATGCAGCATTACAGAAACCAACAATCCCAAAATCGAGACGTTTGAGCAAAGAGCAGAGGAAGAATCGCTACGATCGCATAGAAACGTTAACGAAGGAATTGAAGCACGCGCTTAAGGATGAGATGACACGAAGGAAGGACTCATGGGATGTGGAGGGAGACAGGGAGGAAGAAGAGCAGTGGGAAAGTCGGAAACAAGAAATATATGATGGGCTTTCAGAGTTGACAGGAGAGATAAAAAGGGCTCTTAGAGACAGAAACAAGGAGGCAGTTTTGGAAATGTGGGGGAAAGAAATGGAGGGAAGACGGGTACAAAGAAGCAGTGGATCAAAAAGAGACGGGGACTGGGATGGAAACGGCGAGGATGGGGGGAAAAGCGTAGCGGGAGGAGATGGATGAGTATAATATGGGGAAATTGTGGGCGGAAGGAGGGATAAACTATCTTTTCCATCATATGGGGCTACGAGCATCTTCGTTGGTGTTTTCTAGACGGAATAGAGGGTTCGTTACCATTTCTTTGGTGTTTTATATATCAGTTCTTTTCTCAAAGACTCAGTTGATACCTCACCCCGAGGAGAAGTTTTACTAGTAATTTTATTGATGAGAGGTAAATTTTGTTTAACCTTGATTTTGCACCTGTTAGACCGGATGCCATCCTCTGGTAATATTTTGCATATATTTGAGCATAGTTACCGCTTTGTTTACCCTCGTTCTCCTTTCCCTCTGCGTCTTTCATACAAAGTACACATTTGTTGACACGAATACAGACAACTGAGGGTGGGCACCACATCATCCAGCGCACTGCCTATCACTCCTTTGCAGTTCCCCTGATTCTGAATCTACCGGGTTTGCCGAGTTGGCCTTAACACATGCCCCTAATTGGTATCGTGTAGGCGCTATATCGATACAATATTGTCAACCCTGCTCTCAGATAAGGGAACTTTTGGCAAGTCTCTTGTAGTATCGCTTGCGATCCTCGATGCTCGATGTCTCCTTCGTATAGTAGCGGTTGATAGTTCCGGCAGTGGCGTGTGAAGTGGAGTTGGATGCCTTCCCTTGGTCTGCATGCCTGTATGTAGTCGAGAGCACCGCCACCACAAAGACAGTTAGCAATCCCGGCCAACCGGATAGCAGTATTCTAATAGATTCAATTAGGTTATCTATCCCCCGGGACTTATGATACCAGATCGGGGATAGGGATGGGACGGAGGACGATGAGAATGTGACATTATTCGTGCTTGTAAATGAATCTTTCCCAGGATATATTTGTATCAGGTGTGAAAGAGTAATGACAAGGCAAGTTAACGTCCGTGAGCCACTATAACGCCTATGACCTTACCAATAACGGCGAGAAGAGACGTTTGCAATCCACTCATTACCAGTACTAGGGTGGTGATGTGCGTAACAGAAATCGCAGAAAGAAGTTTTGCGGAGTGATGAGTCGTAAGCTTGTGGTTTTAGAGCATTCACGGAAACCTTGTCGTATGTGGTCAGTGTTATTCCCCATACCTCCCTGCAAGGCGGTTGTTAATCGACAGCTGATAAAATCGCAATGTTTGGCTTCTGTATGCAGATCACTTCCTGTTTGACCCGGGTTGCTGGCGAGCGCCACACCGAATCCGGCCGGGTGGCAACCACTAAAAAAAGAAGCTGGCTCCTCTCTCTCTTCTGATATACGCGTATCCTCAACCCTTCCTCCCTCCGAAGGTACATTTGGACAACTTCGGCTAATCCGTTTCGCCGGGATGGAGCTCCGTTGAAAAAAAAAACGCCCTGCCAAGAGACACGCATAATTTGTGTAGTAATTTAAACCTTGGAAATTGAGGCAGGAATTAAACGCAGGGCGAAGGTTTTTTTGTAGTTGGGTAGGGGAAACCCTCGGACGAAGCTATATACGGAGCGAAATGATGGTGTCAGGATAGTGTAGAATCAGGTTTTCCGAGACATGGGATCATGAAAGTCTTGGCAAGGCGGACGTCAGACAAATCGCAAGGAAATGAATGAAAATCCCAACGACAATAAAGCGGGGAGCATGTAAAAGGCGAGTGGCAAGAGTACTGGTTAAGTGCAGGTCTTAAGTTCCAGAAAGTTTTGACGAAGCCGAAGCCCGCAATGCCGTGCCGATCGCCCGAGTGATATTCTATGATTCTATTATCGTTTGTTTGTTGTTAGATCCAAATAAGCTTTCAAGTACGATCTCAGAAGTGAAAAGGTCGAACAGATTTGTAATATCATAGTTTTCCTTATCTAAAAGACATCCCATATCTTCATTCGAGAAATAGTGTTGTTAAAGTCTGGGCCTGTGGTCCCAAGTTACCCTGTATCAAAGGCCAATTTCGCTTAAAAGCTTAAACCGTTTCCATACTAGCCTTGCTGTCTAGGAATCCCTTAGATTTTGGTAAGGTATATTGACACCATATCATGGATGACGTCGTTCAAGAACTCCTGTCAGGATCCCGTGAATATGCAGATTGGAATACCGGTATTCTGGTATTCGGGCATTCCTGCAAAGCATTTCGACGGGGCACTTATTTGCCACACCTTATTCAATAGCTTGGCAGTACGTGGTGGGAAAACTATTTCCCGAAGTGTTGTCAGGGTGGATTCGGTGCCACAGTGGCGGCGATATTGCAGCAGTTTAACGCCCTGTGTGGTGCTTTGTGGCTTCAGCGCGAGATGATGCTATTGGTGCTGTATGTTGGGACTTCGAGCCCAAGGCTTCTGGCACCGTAAGGAATCTGAGCCCAAGAGGTTATGGGAAGATGATTACGGCTTCGATCAGGAGTGTGTCTGAGGGGGTATGAAAAGAAAGAAGGTGAGATCAACGATGATAGATATTGAAAAAAAACTGCCAACTCACTCGAAATCACCCCCCTTTGAACTAGGTATCTCGCCATCCTGCAGCTGTCCTGTAGTCCCAATTGGTATTGCCGGTTGCCGGAATCTTAGCGATCACATGACAGAAATAATTAATAGAATTAATTGAACTGAGGTGCTCGATACCCTTAGATCCTCTCATCTATAGGAGGAGAGTTAACAAAGCTGGACGATGTTTCCATACTCAAGGTCAACTATGCTAGTGCCAGAGACAAGTTAAGTTTTAAGCCAATCAAGGATCCTCCCAGATTGATCAGTAGGGTAGTTTGAAAAAACTGCGGGGTTGAAAGGGGTTGATGTTGTCTAAGTGGGACATAGGCACTAGGACTAGACAGGCTGGTATCCGTTAAACGCCTTCCCGGGCCACACGAGTACTCCCTCGCTCGAATAGTTGGATATAGAAACCGATTAAAGTGTTTATCATTTCTTTTCTTTGTTAACTGTCCGAGTGAGGAGGGATTTCAAGTGGCTCAGGAAGACATTTACCAAAGACTATGTCACACCGAACTTTGTTCAGACTCAACCCCAGTTTTTCAACTGGGATTTTGCATTCTGAAAAGCTGAGATGAGCTTTCTGGCCCCGGCTCTAACTCTAACTCTGGCTCTGGATGGCTTGTTGCTTTGAACCATGAAAAGGGGATGGCGATGTGAGTAAGGGACATAGTGGGCTGTGATCATATAATTGTGATTGGAGGATTGCATAGATCGAGATTTTGCCCTGGGTGGTGGAAATCTGACAGTGTCAGGGTCCGGGGTGGCACAAATTTGGGGCGCATCAGTTATCCGCCAGTAAACACATCCAGACATGCGCCGTCTACCACTTTGTCGACTTCGATTCTTTTTTTTTTTTTGTTTAATTCATCGCGATCGTCGACTTCGATCAATATCTAGAGTAATTAGATGTGTTTGACCCACAAATCCCCATCCCAGTCAGATTTTGATAGCTGAAAAACTCAATAAATTATCTAATTTATGAACAGAGCCAGCCCCGTTTTCCGTTAACCTGATCAATTGGTGTCAATCCTCCATGATCCGCAATCGAGACCTTCCGAATTTAGAGCCGGCCGCGGAGGCTTTGGCGCAAATTGAAAAAAGTTTAGGAATGAAATATCAATATATCTGCTAGCTAGGCAGACCTGCAGCTACTAGAATTATTCCAATATACGCCTTCGTTTTGTTCAGAAAGAATAATCCCCGAAGATTCAATATATGATCCCGGCCAGCATGCGCAAGAAATACTAGTACACATAATTTACGTACCTGCTGGGCCTATCGTGGGAAAGAAGAAAGCTATGTATATTAAATGTAAGTATTACTAGCTGATTGATTTTTGCCGTAATAATGTCTGTTATTGCTGAAAAGGTATATATATGCCTCCCCAGCTGTAGCGGTTGTCTGGTGTTGCAAGCCCTTGGCACTTCGGGTTCAATCTCGCCCTACTCTAAATTCCAGATTCATCAAGCCACCCGCCTCATATCCAAATCTTGGCCATTTCCCCATATTCATGCAAATCCGGGTCGCGTCAGGTACCATAATAATAAAGCCTGTGATTACGTCATCCATGATGTCAACGCTCAACGTATCCCGGTCCCCGGTTCATGATCAGGAATCGAGACACAACCAAGGTAAAACAATGCATGTAGATCGCGGGTTGTCCCGCTGAGAGACATTTGGAGGCTGGGAACCTATTATAAAATATCTGAAATGTGACATGTTGCTTCGAGAATTAACAGTGGGACTCATTTTCAGCTTGGATTTTAGTGCGGGAGAAGGGAGGTTGGGAAACCTCGTGTTTAGAACCGCTCATATTCTAAAAGTTGATTCCCCGAATTGCAAACGAATCATAGATCATCACTCGACTGTTGTATTCTTGGCGCGAGACACGCAAAACAAAACCCCCCCCCCCAAAAAAAAACCATGAGAACCAGACGAGATGAGAATGAAATTGAGAGATCTCGTTTAGACTAGCCTGCCCATCAGCGAGCGTCCACCAAAATTTGGTGGGTAACCTGGGGGTAGCGGGCAAAATAGCGGGCAACGCTCGCTGAGGGGCCGCGCTCGCTAATGGGCGGACTGGTTTATATAACAGAAAGGTCTCCTAATTTCATATGACTCTATTTTATCTTTCTCTCCATTGACTCTTGGAAAGTGAGGTTGTATCAATTTCGATTGATTATTCTGCAAAGCTGTAGGTAGATATTACAATTAAAGTGGGTGCAAAGGACTTTATATTCGTTCGAATCATAATAACTAATATTTAGTTAGCCTGTATTAGAGAGTTGTCAACGTCCTGGGGATAATACTCATGATTAGTGGTCAGATCTTCAGAGATCTATGTGTATATTGTAGGCACATGAATCACTGACTACCCTATCAATTTCCATAGATCTTAAACGTCTCTAAAGCCTATTCCAACTTAGACATCTGTTTTTTTGCAAAGAAAAAAGCCATTCTAAATTCGTGGTCACTTATAGGAAATATATCCTCCTCTAATCCCTTAATCTTTCCGTGACCTTGCTAAA